GGGCAGTGTGGCGCAGTGGTTAGAGTGTCAGACTAGGACCTGGGAGACCAGGGTTGAAAATTCCACTCAGCCATGAAGCTCACTGGGTAACCTTGGGCCAGTCTCTGCCTTTTGCCCTAACGTACTTCACAGGGTTGTTGTAGGGATTAAATGGGGAGACAGAGATCCACATACACCACCTTGAGCTTCTTGAGGGTGGGAGAGGAGGGTATAAATGCAACAAATGAATAAATAATAATTTCCTGGAGTCGTAGGCTCCTCCAAGGTCTTCCTCCCATTCCTTCACTTTAAACAAAATGAAAAGAAACCCTAACCAGTCTGACAAAGTGTTCTGTGTGATTCCAAAGCTCTAATTCACATAAGCCACTTTTAATAAAGTTAGTACTTTATTTTTCCTACTTTCACCAAACAAAAGTTGCAGAATTTCCAAGTTGTTGAGGAGGTCAGGTTCCCAGAAGTCAGCCAGATGTGAACCTGCCCTGCTCTTCCTTACTTTAAAGAAGGCAGAAGCCCAAGCAAGAGAAGCCTCCTTCTCTCCCACCCTCTCCTGCATCTGTCTACAATCACTGCAGAGAGAGCAAGCCATTGGGGTTAGGGGCTTGGTACCTCCAAATGAAGGCATTTGGGAGCTTTGAGGTGAGGGGAAAGGCAAGTGTAGTGATCTGTGGACAGTTTGACACACATATATATACACACACACACACACACACACACACATATATATACATATACATACATACATACATACATATATATATATGAATTATTGCATGTAAATGCTCATGTTGCATGGCTATTATGTTGCAATGTAAAGTGCCCAGTAGCCTTTTGAGAAAGGGGGATCTATACATGTCTTAATCGATCCATCAATTAAATGTAGTGCTGGGGGGAGGAGATCCCACAAGCCACACCTGGGCTGCTTGCTCCCCACCTTTGCTCCATGGGCCCAGCAAAGTGTCAGAGAAGAGTTGTGGGCTAGTTGCATTTAGGATAGCAAGCATGAATCTAGATTAATTTTCCTGTAGCTGATGCTTAAAAGTTGTTAAGTTGGGAGTGCATAATCACACACACCCAATACACACGCATTTGTACTCCCCCATACGCTACACAATCACAATTTGGCAAGCACTTTCTTGAGGAGAGGAGGGTGCCTGGGTGGCAGCTGACATTTCACTCACTCTGTGAGGTGAGCATGAGGCGAGCTAAGCTGAGCTGAAGAAGCAATGCACCTGCATTGAGGCACCGTGAAAGTTAGTATTTGCAGAATGGCCCAGTACCAGCTGGAGGATGCAGTGATTCATTAATCTGTGCATCTTTGGGGAATCATAGAATTGTAGAGTTGGAAGGTAGTCCCAACCCCCTGCAATGCAGGAATATGCAGCTGGCCCATATGGGGACAGAACCTGCAACCTTGGCATTATCAGCACCATGCTCTAACCATCTGAGCTAACTAGAGTTTCTCACTAGTCAGGAGAGTCTCAGGCTCGCCCCCTTCCTGCTTCTCATTATGCAGCAAATGGAAAGGCCATATTCCACTTCTAGAAAGAGTTGAACATCTTCTTGATGTGCCTTTTGTGGGACAGCACTCTGGATGGAGGGGCAGCAAGGCATTCCATTAGGCAAGAAGAATCCCTAGCACTTGGGGGCGGCGGGTGTGTGTGTGTGTGTGTGCTATTTCCCATCTTCTCTCCCCACAGTGGTAAAGTGCCATCTGCTGCCCATCTACCAAACTGCAGCCAACAGGAAGATAAGCCTCCACCAGCATCTACTGTCTTTTGTCTAGTGCAGTGTTTTTCAACCACTGTTCTGCGGCACACTAGTGTGCCGCGAGATGTTGCCTGGTGTGCCGTGGGAAAAATTTAAAAAGTCGAAAGATTTTTTTAAAAAAATCAAATTTTCGCCCACTAGGCGAGCGCCGGACTGTGTCCTGGGTATGGGATGGGGTTTTTGACCCCACCCTCGGCCAGCAGGGGCGCCGATTGGTGCTCCTCAGGGGGACACCCTCCACTTTTCTGATGTCCGGGCTGTGATTGGTCCAGACTCCAGCCTGGACCTATCACAGTAGGACATCATCTTCCGAGAAGAAGACATCGCAACTCGAGTCACCAGGAGGACCGGAGAAGTTGTCATTTTATTTCTCTTCAGTCTCCACTGAATGCCTTGACTGGGTTAGGGACCCTTATAGCTCAGCATCAGTTGGTGGAAAGGACATGACTTTACAGGAGCAGGAGGAACTAACTGAACTGAGACAAAATCGTGGTTTCAAGCTAAGATTTGCTGATCTACCTTTGGACAGTTTTTGGTTGGATACTGCCAAGGAGTTCCCCTTCTGGCAAACAAAGCTATTTTGACATTGCTCCCATTTTCCACTACATATCTGTGTGAGATGAGCTTTTCAAGCATGATTGCTATAAAAACTAAATACAGAGAGAGACTGAGAGCTGTTGACGAAGAGCTACGTGTGTGTCTTTCTTCGATTCCAGCCAGAATATCAGCTTTGTGTTCAGCCAAACAGGCCCAGGTTGTGCACTGAATAAAGTATTTTATAATTTTTCATATTTCTGTTTACTTACTATTTCATAATAAAGTAATTATAAAATACTTTCTTTGTGTTTATTTGATTCCTATTCAAGAGAATTACTTTATATATAGTCAATATAGGCACAGAGTTAAAATTTTTAACATTTCCTAATGGTGGTGTGTCTCGTGATTTTTTTCATGAAACAAGTGTGCCTTTGCCCAAAAAAGGTTGAAAAACACTGGTCTAGTGCAGTGGCAAAGTGGGCTGCCTAAGGGGCTTTTAAGAGGAAGGGGATATTAAAGACTAAGAAGACTTTGAAAAGCTGGTATCACTGGATCAAGTTCATCAACTTCATTGAATTATTTAAACTAAATAGTTTTAATTGGATTTGGAATAAATGTGCAATTAATTGTTACGGCTTTAAATTTTGATTCCATTGTTGATTTCTTCAGTAGGTTGTGCTTGTGCAAACCACTATTCTGAATGCATTTTATAGGGTAGGGTAACAGGTACTGGGGGGGAATTATGGAACCAAGGAAGCAATGGCCTGGAAATGTTTGGGAACCACTAATCCGGTGAACTCTGCTTATCATGTAAACTGAGGTCTAGAACTAGAAGAACAACGGAGTAGGCAGAGGATGTGCAACAGCGCCACCCAGCAGGCATTCATCTGGCAGGGACTCCCTTGTGAGAACAGAACAGAGCCCCACCGCATACAGAATGGCAGTGGTAAGGCCCAGGTTTCCCTGGCCACCAGCCTCAAAGAGGGTGGCCAGTGAGAGAGAGTTGTGCAGAAGATTCCCACTACAGCAGACCTGTATCACAAGATCTGGCAGATGATGCTCTCTCCAATAACATGCAGGGAAACCAATAGGGTGTGTGCCCCCCCCCCAGCAGTCCAACTCCAGCTGGCTTTCCTCCTCTGGCATTTCCAGTTCTTTGCATGCAATGCAAGGCTGCCAGGGCACTCATTCAGCTGAGCCCAAGCACCACACCCAGTAATTCATCCCTGGAAAGACGCAGACTGATACCTTGCTCCTCCTCAGCCCAAGCAATTCATATTTCTTCAGATGATCTCATCACCCCTGGAGTACAGGGAACTCCTCCTTATATGAAGACACTCCCTTCTAGTCTCTTGTAGGGGCCACTAAAATGGGGGGGGGGCAACTAGCAGCACTCCTCAGTGATTGAACTGGGATATAAAGGTTCCTGTGGTCCTCAAGTTACTCTAAGCTGAAGAATAACCATGCAAAGAATTGGAACCTATGGGCAGACAGTGTTGATATTTTTGCAGAGGGATCACACCTGCTGTCGGTTGGCTGCCCACCAGCAATCCAGCCACTGCATTCTGCACCAGCTAGAGTTTTGGGACCAGACTCCAGCTGGTGCCAGAAGGAACAGGCAGCGTAGGACCGTATGCCGGCACAACCCAGTGTGTGTGTGCGGGGCGCGCCCCCGAAGGGCGCGGAGGGCACCCTCCACGCGCCACAGTTCAGGATTAGGAGTGGGGCGGGGAGCTGCCAAGGTGGGTGGACGGCAGCATTGTCGCCGACTCTCCTCCCCCAGGTCAGGCCTGGGGGAGCGGAGCTGCACCAGGCACAAGCGCCGCAGCCAAGGCGCAGCTCCTTCTGGCACGGAGCCAGGCTCCAATGAAGGAGCCTGCTGTGGGGGCGACTGTTTGCGTCCCCATTCAAAATTGCGCCTGGGGCCACGGCTCCCCCTTCCCCCACGCTACGCCTCTGGAAACAAGAGATTTGCTATCCTGCGGTCTGTCAATGCATTGTCCAAGGCAGAGGAGCTCTCCAGGAGCAGAATTGACTGGCAATCCTCCACTTGTGTTTTGCCCTCTTAGAATCTCTAGTCTTAGGGCTATCATTTCCCCGCTTATTTTTATTTTTTAAGCATGTACCGCCTGCTGTTCTTGAGAAGAGAAGGCTGCACCTCTCTCTCTCTCTCTCTCTCTCTCTCTCTCTCGCAGCGCACCCACGTGAATGCAGAAGGCCCAGGTAGGGATAGGGAGCACCTGTCAGCCAGCACCACCAAGACTGAGCTAGATGGCTCAACGGCAGAAAGAGGCTTGCTGGCCTCCTCTGGCGACTTAGGGCTTGGCACAGCAGCCGAATATAGCTTATACAGTTCTAATGGGTACACTTCCTGGTGCTAGGGAGCTATCTGTTCAGCATTTCGGTCATCGCTACAATAACTGCCATCAGCCCTTCTTTTCGTGGCTCGCCGCCTGCCCGGTCCTCTCCCTCGGGCTCCCTGCCCATCCTTTCATGAGAAAAGACGCCCGTGACTGGAATAGGAGCTTCCGTGCCTTGACCGAGGCCCAGCGCAGTCTGGCTGGACAATGAGAGGTTAATGCCGGCCTCCTCCTCCCGCCCCTATGCATGGACCGTACCATCCAACGGCCGGGAGCGGGGGGAAGAGAGCGCGTCGCCCAGCCTGCCGCCCGTTGGGCTCTTCCGCCTGGGAGGGCAGGGCGGGAGGCAGACGGGCCCAAGTGCCGCGCCGGCGCCTCGCCTGGGCCGTTAGCGGGTAGGCTGCCCGCCCGGGCCGGCGGCAGCTGGGGCTCGGGGCCGGGATGGTGCGCCTGCGCCGCCGCGCCTGCCTGGCGCTCTTCCTCTGCGCGCTCTTCGTCCTGGGCGCCCTCCTGGCGCTGCGCACCCTCAAGCCCCCACCCGACGACCCCCGGCGCCGCCGCTTCCCGGGGCCCTGGCCCGAGGAGAAAGAGGCCAAGGAGGCCCCCGCCCCAGCCGACTCCCCCGCGCCCCCGGACGGGGCGCAGCACCCACCCGACCAGGACGCCCCGTCCGTCTCCTCCTCGCTGCACGTCTTCTACTACACGTGGTACGGGACGCCGCGCTTCGACAGCCGCTACCTCCACTGGGACCACGTGATGGTGCCCCACTGGGACCCCAAAATCTCGGCCAGCTACCCGAAAGGCCGCCACAGCCCCCCCGAGGACATCGGAGCCAGCTTCTACCCGGCCCTCGGGCCCTACAGCTCCCGCGACCCGGCAGTCCTGGAGGAGCACATGCGCCAGCTCCGCGCCGCCGCCATCGGTCAGTGAGGGCGCGTCCCCAACTCACCGCGGGGTAGGGGTGCGGAGAGGAAGGAGGCCGGGGGAGGGGTGGCAGACTGGCCACGCTGGCGAGGGCGATCGAGACCCCGACCCCCGCTCAGAAGCTGCCCCATAAAGCCCCTCGTCGCCTCTTGAATCAGCGGCTGCTGAAGTCTCTGGGAGCATCCAAGGCCGCAAAATATCCCTCATATCACAGAGGGGAAGCCCAGAGATGCTCCTCAAAGGATAACAGCCTCCCCTGCCAGCAACTCGTCTAGCTTTGGCGGGTGGGAGGTGGGGGGTTGGAAATGCCACCTTTCTTTTTTTTCCTCTGGGGTTTCCAGGCAACCCCGAGAGGCTGAAGTCTGAAATTTCAGCATCTGGACCTCAGATGAAATTTCAGCACTGCCTTGTCCTGGACAGCTCCTCCCCCATCACCACTTTTGCTGCAGAGGCCAGATGTCTTGCTATTGGCAGGCACGGAACAAGGGATCAGGAAAGAGAGCCTACCGAGTCAGAGCCAAACATCCTGTTCTCACAAGAGCCAATCATATGCCTGTGGGGAACTGCAAGCAGGATTCGGGGGCAACTGCTATACAGGTCAACCGCTATACGCAAGCATTGCTTGCCTCCAGCTGTGATGGCAGAGCATAGTCTCCATGGTTAGCAATCAATAACCTTCTCCCTGAATTTGTCTCAACCTCTTTTAAAGCCATTCAAGCTGGTGGCCATCACTGCATCCTGTGGGAGGGAGTTCCATAGTTTCTATGCATCAAGTGAAGAAGGGGCAGGTTAGTTCTCTGAGGGGTGGGGGGTGGTAGGTGCAATGGTTTTGACTATCTTTTTGGCCTAGCAGGCTTTCAGCATCCATATTTAAGGGGGGCATCATCATCTTCAGATTGTAAAGCAGCCAGATGTTGAAGGCAGTCTTAGCTCCTGCGGGTGGGCACAATCCTCTCTGTCTCTGCAGGAGTCATGGTTCTGTCCTGGTACCCCCCTGGCCTAGCAGATGACAACGGTGAGCCTTCTGAGAGCCTGGTGCCCTTCATATTGGACGCCGCACACAGATACGCAATCCAGGTGCCTGTTGTTGCCACTGCTTGGGGCTATTAGGCGAGTTTTATGACAGCTGCTTCCAACTATGTGGCAGCCAGGGTTGGTGGGGGGTTCCACTCATGAGCAGTCATCCACAGTGCAAAGGGGAACTACAGGGGGTCGCTGTTAATTGGTTAGCTTCTCCCTGCTTGAAGCCTTGTAATGGGGTGGGGTAATCTGGAAGTTCATGGAATAAAAATAGTATTACAGAGCCATGCCTGCCTGTGACAGTTCAGTCTCTTCTCTCTCCACCCCCAAAACTGATTTTGATACATAAGAAGGAACAAAAACGGAGGGAAAGAATGAATCTTACATGGCAGATGGCTGTCCAACTTCCGTTTAAAAACCTCCAGTGAAGGAGAGTCCACCACCTTCCTTTAACAACTTTTAACTGTTGTGGTGATGGCATAGGACTAATGTAGGTGGGAGCGGGGGTGGGAGATTACTCTTGCAGTTGCTGCTGCCCACTGACTGTGTGGCTGGGGGTGCTGCACAACTGCTGCTGCCCCATGTTCCTTTTCTGCAGGTCACCTTCCACATACAGCCATATAAAGGGCGCGACGACAACACTCTGCACAGCAATGTGAAATATATCATAGACAAGTAAGTACAGTACTCAGAAAGCAAAGGGTTAAAAAGATAGGAGAGGCCATTCCTACCCTTGAGAGGCTTGCGTAGAACAAAGGGCCACTTTTGCTTGTGTGAAACCCAAGAACTCAGGGATGAAGATGAGCGTTGCTTATTTAATAAATAAAGAGTGTTTAAACTGTAAGTTTTAAATGCTACTTATTGAATTTGTGGCAATCTGCTCTTTTGGCTGGAGAAAAATGGCCCTCATAAGAAAACCTAAAAACCTTCAGATACTGGTGATGTGGTCAGGCTGCTGGGCTGGCTGGAAGGGGGAGAAGGGGGCTCTTTGCTCAGTCTCCCTGTCAAAGGACCCCAGTGCTGGAGCTCAGCTTTCAATGGGTATCTGTTGGCAGACAGAGAATCAGAGAAACTGGAAGCGAAGAGGGTACTGATGCAACATTCGGAGCGGGGGGAAACGAGGCAACTTGCCTTCTCTGCTAAGAGCAGGACCAAGTTTCTCTAGGCTGCTTGTGGACTTATAAGGCCAAATGTGGGGCATTAAACAGCCTATTATCTTGGCAGGTATGGAACACATGATGCTTTCTACAGATACAAGACCAGCACGGGCCGGAGGCTGCCTTTATTTTATATTTATGACTCGTACCTTACGCCACCCGAAGCATGGGCAAACCTGCTCACCCCTTCCGGCTCCCACTCTCTCCGCAACACCCCCTATGACGCCGTCTTCATCGCCCTGTTGGTGGAGGAGGGGCACAAGCACGACATCCTCTCCGCCGGCTACGACGGGCTCTACACCTACTTTGCCTCCAACGGCTTCTCCTACGGCTCCTCCCACCAGAACTGGAAAGCCATCAAGGCCTTCTGTGACTCCAACAACCTCCTCTTCATCCCCAGCGTGGGCCCTGGTTACATCGACACCAGCATCCGCCCCTGGAACAACCACAACACACGGAACAGGGTAAATGGCAAGTACTACGAGACGGCCCTGCAGGCCGCCCTCATGGTGCGCCCGGAGATAGTCTCCATCACGTCCTTCAATGAATGGCACGAAGGCACCCAGATCGAGAAGGCCATGCCCAAGAAGACCCTGACCCGGCTCTACTTGGACTACTTGCCCCACCAGCCAGACATGTACCTGGAACTAACCCGTAGGTGGGCAGAGCACTACAGCAAAGAGAAAGAGCAGTGGCTCATGTGAGCAAGCTGTGGAGGGTTGATTCTCCTGGGCACGAAGAGACCCAGGGAGAAGCTGGTAGCCATTCAGGTGGAGGAAGCTGCTCTCAGAGCTGTAAGTTTCTGGAACCTGGGTGAAGAGGGATGAGCTGCGTTTCATGTTGAAATACCTCTTGAGAGGTTTGCTATGCTCCTGCAGGGCAGCACACCGATATACGACTGTGCAAAACTCCCCAGATAGAGTTGAGCTAGTGCTCTTGCAATCCTCCTCACTCCAAGCCCTCAGCTTTACTTAAAAGAATAGATCTCTTTGCCTGCTGCAAGCCAAGAGGACAATTCATTTCAAATCTGAGTTCTGCAGGAGGTGCTAAACTGAACAGCACATCCCTGTTGCTATTCAGTTCCAGGGATATTTATTCCTTCTCTGCTGCCACTGCTACTTAGGCCTCTACCCTGTTGCTGCTCCCAGCAAACATAACCTGATGGAGCCCTACCCTTATTAAAAAAACAAAACCTAGACAATTTGTGTATGCAGGAAAGTTCTCAGAAACCACATGCTGTATTATGTCTTTGGAATTCCAATGATCAGAAATGCACCCAGTCTTGCAATAAAACAAGAACCTCACTGGTGTTGGCATTTATTCCTTCAAGACAGGCAGCAAGAACAGAAAAGGTGATGCCCCAGTGACCTAATGGGGCGTGGAGTTTTGGCGTTTGCTTCAAATGGAGACTGCTCCTTAATAGCTTGTTGCAGACTTTGTCGAGTGAGTTGTACTGTACTCCAACCTATGAATAGTTTGGGGGCTGGGCTGGAAAGAGGAGCAAGTGTGTTGTTTGGGCCCCATGCCTGCAGTTCAGGCAAAGTTACTAAGAGAACTCTACTGTGGTTGCATGGGGAAAATGAGCTAGATTCTCATTTTACCATTAATCCTACACCACTAAGATTATCAATACTGCATGTCACCCTCCAATAGGTAATTTCCCCCCAGTCTTAGAATTCCCCACCCTCCGCATACTAAAGAACTTGGAGGCCAACATGCACTAGGTTTCCATTTTAATGATATTGGTCAAAAACGCAGCCTGTTGCTTGCCCGTCAGTGGCTGGTCTGGTCTCTGTTTTCAGTAGAGCTGGGTTCAAGGCAGTTTGGTCCCCCCTGGTCACAGGCAAACTCCACCTACCAGGGCCCCTCAAAAGGCATCTTCTTGCTTTTCTATACACTCCATGATTGTCAGCTGCACTGTCTTGTTCAAATGCTTCAACCCCTCCAGGCCAAGTGTTCAAGGGATAGAGAGGACAGACTTCCTAAAAGGGAGGGATACTTAGGCACAGAAGTGTGTGCCCCTCCCTAAATCCGAAAGGAAATGCCAGGAAGGAGAAAATACTTCGGCCACAGCAGGGCCAGATCCTTCTGGATTCACAGAAGTCAACTGGGAAACGAGGGGAGGCTCCCTTTGCACCCAAGAAGGGCAGAGTTATACTTTCCAGGACAAGGCTCTTGCAAACAGCTTCCTGATATGTCACACACCATCTACTTGCCCAGAGACTGTGTGAGTTGACCACATATAGGCAGATCAGCTGTCAGGCCATACTTGACTGCCAGGATCTCAACGGTCTGAATAAGTGCACTGCAGAAAAGAAAAGAAGGAGTAAGATGCTGGGGACAAGATCTGCATTGTTTGCAGCTTAATATTCTTGAAGGCTAATTTAGCATCATCTGTGTGTTAAATGCAAAGTCAAAATAGGAGGTTTGACTCAATTCACAAGGCACTCCACCTGCAGGAGTAAGCAGGTGTGATTCTGGGAATCATTTGCAGGAGGAGCCTGCCTCCTTTAGGACCACCACCACACACCCCAAGGACCACTGTCCTCGGGCTAAATAGTTCCATCCTATTCAGAGGAAGACAACTCTGCAGCCTACAAATGCCACTCAGGTGGAGAGGAGGCTGTGTGAGGCTTACCATCCTCCCCGGATAATCTTGAACTTGCCAGGAACAGAAAGGTCAATCACGGTAGAGCCTAGACGGGACTCTGGTCTATGGATGTCCCCAGTGGGGCCCCCATCAATTACAAGTGACAGGTGAGGCCAGAGCTCTTGGAACTCCTGAAATATAAAAGAAGAAGAGAATAAGAGCTCAGCAGGCTCCTGAGCCAGTGTGCACCACAAGATGCTAATAGCCAGCAACCACAGAGAAAAGGGTACCATAAGCTCCTGCTTAAACACACAGTGGCTTTACTCTCTGAGAGGAGCAAGCCAATTAAAACAAAATGGAACATAATGCCCTTCCCTGGGGACTTGGAGAGCCACCCAGGCTTCCATTATCATCCCGTCCTACAGGTTTCAAGCAGCCCTTACCGTGACTGTGAGGGAGCTCGCCCCCTGACTGATGTTTGCGCTTGTTAAGGCCAGAGGGCCAGCACACTCCCTGGCCAGCTCCCTGATGAACCAGTGACTTGGGATGCGGACACCAACTAACTGTGACAAAAGCGGGGTGGGGGAGAGGAAGAGATGAATGAGTACCACTACTTACTTTTAGCTTTTATGTATATATAGTTTTAAAAGGCAGGATATTTATACATGCATGTATATGAAAGCATGCATACATATACAATATATGCCCCACTTTCCACTGCACAACAGCATTCAGGATAGCTTACAGTGAAGTCCAACACAAGTTAAATTCAGTAAAAAAAAACCTAAGAGAGCATGTGTAGCAAATAAGAAGTTCATCTACCAAAACACAGGAAACCCCTTAACACACTAAATTAAATGCCTGCTGGAATAAGAATATAAAAAGGCTAGGCAACAGAAAGGGGGATCAACAAATTTCCTAATGCACAGACACAGAGGAAATCCTAAGTAGTCAGGCCTCCACTACTACCACCAGGTCATGAAGAGCATCCCTAGCAGATCTTGTGGGCAGGTTGGTATGGAGATTTCCCCACTCTGCACTGTGAGAAGAACAACCCACATACACCCCTGCTCATTTGAATAGGACAGGAAGTAGGAATCTGTTGCACCTTTATCCCACCCATCTCAGAATGCAGCCACCCCTCCCAGGCCACATAACTAAGTGAAACTAAAACAGGAAAAGAAGTAGCCATGCTTAGCTTGAGACTTGCAGTCCGGCAATAGCTTTTTAAAAAAAAAATCCTGAGGAAAATTAAAATCTCCACTAATATTCCCAACCAATCAGATTTGCCTTTTAGCCTGGAATGGAGGAAGGTCCACTCTGATGTCAACCTAAGAGCACAAGCACAACACCCAACTGGTAAGCACCCTATTGGGAAACTGGGAACTCTCCAAAAGGTAAAAGGGTCTCTATAGAACTTGCTAGCCAAGACTCACTGGGGTGAAGGGGTTCAAGTCTTTGTTGAGGGTGTCTGAGCGCTCCAGGACCAGCGTCACTGGCCCAGGAAGGAGTTCCTGCAGCAGCTTGTCAGGCACGCAAACGTTACAGTACCTACAAAAGGGGAAGGAGAAAGTATGCACAAGGTGAGCCCATCCTCTGTCACGCAGCCAAAGGCAAGCAGCAAAACAAAGGGGCGGGCTACCAGACTAATACTTGACTGGAGGCGCTCGTTATTTACTCTGAAAGAAATAAAATCAGCGCTTGTGTTTTTTAACTTCAAACGCCACTGGAAACAAAAGGATTAATCAGCTGATACACCTCAATGCCAAAGGGGGGGGGGGCTTGCCTGGGTTTCTGCCTTCCTGGAAGGGGCAGAAGCGGCCGGGGGCCCTATCCACCGACTTCCCTGCTTCGCCGAAGGAAGGAGGAGGAGAGGCGGAGGGAGGGCCACCCCCCCATTGCAAGACCCCCACCTCCTTCGCCGACCCCGCCGCACCTGTAGACGTGCTCGACGTCGGCGAGGCAGATAGCGAGGGGCTTATTGGCGGCGCGGCCCTTCAGGCGGTAAACGGCCCCCAGCGCCCGCGAGTCCTGCGCCAGGCAGGCCACGCCGTAGACCGTGTCGGTGGGCAGCGCCACCAGGCCGCCCTCGCGCAGCGCGGACGCCGCCGCCAACAGCGCCGACTGACGGTCCGGCCCAGAAGCCGGCAGAGGCATCGGCAGGGGGACCCTCGCCATGGCCGGCAGTCCAGGAGCGGAAGGTGCGCCCTCCTCAGAAGCAGCAGCCCCGCCGCCGCGCCAAGGTCTGACCGGGAGGGACGAGGAGGAGGAGCAGCACCAGCAACGCCGGAGCCTCAGACCAAGCAGCAGAGGCGCTCTGTACATGCGCAGAAGGAAGGGCGAAGGAGCCCCTCTCCGGCCAGCGGCTCAGCCAGTCAAGCGAACACTACGACGCTCTCCGCTTCGCCGATCCCCTACATCCGCGCCTCGCACGGGGACGACACTTCCCGTGCCGCAAGCCGCTGCCATGACGCAATTTCTGCCCGGCGCCGGCTATCGGGGCGGAAGGAGTGGCGGCACCGCCCAGGACAAAGCCGAGAGAGGCGATAGCCCTAGAGAGTCCCGGGAAGTACTGCTTCCGCTCCTTACAGGAAGTTTAGGCTCTGCGTGAGCCCCCGGACGCCAATTGCAGACCATAGACGTGTGAAGTGGTAGACTGGCCTCGCCTTGGCTTTCCCAGGGGACAGAGCCCGCCTATGTGTCTCGTTGCCCGAGGCGTGCTAAGGGGCTCGCCACTCTGCGGCTGCGCAGTTGCTTTCTTCCCCTGCTAGCCGGGTGGAGCTCCGAGAACTGGATTGGGTTGGGGGGCGGCGGAGGCACGACCCCTCCCCACACGCGCCATCCTGGACAGAGGGAGTGGGGGACACACACGCGCCTCAAGCGGCCGTTGTAATTAGTAACATAATAGTTGCTATGAATAAAAGGTGGAGGATGCTCGGTAGCAACCTAACACCCCAACATTATTATTAATAGGTGCTAAGAATATAAGTACTATTATTTATTAATATTATTAATATTATTACAAAGTTATTAATATACCGAGGCAGCTAAGAGAAGCGTTTGCCCCCTTGGGCTCATCCTAGTGCTTGGGCAAAGCGCCCCCCCCCCGTTTCACCCAGGTTCCTCCTCAGCACTAGTCAACCAGGAGGGAGAGAAGGCTCCACCCTGTCTCGTCGACTGATCAGGTTTGCCCTCACAGGACACAATGAAAATTAAGAGCCCATCTAGTCCAGCATCCTCTTCCCACAATGGCCAGCCAGGTGCCTGTGGGAGAAGCCCTCTACAATGCATTACAGTAGCCCAGTCAGCAGCTTTCCAGGGCATGGGGCATTGTGGATGCACTTGTCAGTATATGGAAACATCACAGCTGCAGACAGCCAGATTGTTGACATCACATGATGCACCTATCTGTGGGAAAGAAGAATTTCCCAGGAAGTTCACAGGCTGGAAAAGTCTCTGTGAAGAGTGTAATTTGAAACCTTCCGTGTGCGCATGTACAGGAAGTTTGTCAGACCTGCTAGAAGAACTGAACTGAAAGGACGTGTTTTTCTCTAGTGCTGTAATGTCAGAAAGAAACATCATGTAAATAGATTTCTGACTTTTCTTTCCGCTGCGGAAGCAGGAGGAGGGGTTGTGCATTTTACCCACTCTTGGGAAAATGTTGCCTATCAAAATCTCCCTGGTCTGTCTGGATGTCAGCCAGAGGAGGTTACCGGTATGCAAGCTCCGAGGACAGTGAGAGGGGCCAGCCTCTGTGGAGGGGGGCTTGCAAACCAACAGCACTAACCCTGTCCACAAACTAAAGATGGAATACCTCACTTGGGGCAATGTCAGGCTTCTGGGTCTTGGGTCAGCTAATCATTGGAAGCTACCACTTCCTCCTAAACTTCAGCTCAGGCAGACTGGAGCACATTCTTGCCTTCTCCAGTACATTGAAACACAAGCAGCTGCATTATCCCAAGTCATACTTTTGGTCCATTTAGCTCAATATTGTCTAAGTGGGTCTTCAGAATCTCGGGGAAGCCTTTACATAACTTCACCTGAAAATACCAGAAATCGAACACCAGGGACCTTCTGCATACAAAGTGCGTACTCTGTCACTAAGCTAAAACCCATTGAAAATAATTCCAGTCACCTCCAGAAATGATTCCTCCAAAGGCACCAGATTTAAATAAGCATTTAATTAGGATCCCAGTGGTATTAATATTGCTTTCAATTAAAAAATTAATTTCCACTTCCTTGCAGGTATTTCAAAGTACAATATTAATTTTATACAAAATGGAGCAGTTAAGCAAACACGGTTATTTCACATTTTACATTCTTCAAAAATACAAATTCATGTTTATGCTTCTGGGGTTTTGGAGAGGCTCTTCCTTTGGAAGTACTGTACCTGTAACTAACATCTTCACATCACTCAATGCAAGGACATTTGTTCCCATGTTTCAGTTAAATTAAATTTGTTTAAACACAAAACACATACTCCTGAGAGAAACTGGCAACTTCAAATGATCTCCGCTTCACTCCTTGCATAGCTCTGGAGTAGAGCCATAGCAATGCCATGTGTTGTTGTGGAGGAAATCTGGGCTAGGAGGGGAGACCCAGAAAGGCACTTTGCAAAAGTTACCCGAGAGCCTTTGGGGGCCTCCAATTACACCGCTCTAGGGCACAAGCCCACACCCCATGTGGGAAGGTGGCAGTTATGGAAAAGGGGCTTGAAATTTATGGAAAAGGGGCTTGAAATTCCCCCTTGTGCAAGGTTTCTCCCCCCCCCCACCTCTATCTCACACATGCAGTGTTAACAGATGGTGACATCTCCCTACCCGCAGTGACTGGGAAAGAGGCAGCCTAAACCCTCTCTCAGGTACCCCAGGAACCTTAACTTCTGTCTCCGCCAGAATGAATGGCAGCTCCTTCCCAATTCCCCACAAAAAAGAGCATTTGGAAAGACACAACACTGCAGAGCAAAGGAATGAGCCATTTCTATTAACAAATTGCAGAAGAAGAAAAATTAAAATATCTCCCTGGGCTTTACCAGTGAAGTTCATATGAGGGGAACAAAAAGCCAAAACACCCATTTGTTAAGGAAAGTAGAAACTGCATTTCCTTGAAAGTGTCCACTGCATAGAAACCATTTTTGGCCAGCATGCATACGACTAAGAAGACAGTGTGGGCTACACACCGTTTCCACAAACAGACACACACACACACACACACACACACACACACACACCCTACATAAATATCCAGTTTCCTTGGCATTTCTCAGTGCAGAACCAGAGTCCAAACCTCCAAATGAAACAATGTAAGATGGAAAAAGCTGAAAGGTCAGCCCTCAACCCAGCTACATGGATGCTTATTTAAACAACAAAAACCCAAAACTGGAGTCACAATTTCTAAAAGACATAAAGGACAAATAATACTCTGATAAAAAAAAGGAAATCCAGAGTGTGTAATGTTAAAAAGAATAAGCTTTTCCTTTTGTGGTTTTGCAGAGGGTAGCTAGCAGGCAATGCAGCTGCCTCCTTCTGTGTCTCTTATTTCTCATGAGTAGGTTCTCTCGTTGGCACCTTTAGCATTTTGAATAGCTCACTTCTACAGATCAATCACTAGCAGTGTGCTTGGAGAAGGTGCCAGAGGAAAATACCACTCCTTTTTGGGAAATGAAGGATTTTTCCAGTTTTGCAGTAGAGACCCTTGCAGTGCAGTAAGGCAGGAATGTGACATCCACCCTAGAAGGTGCTGCATGCCAATGTAAGGACGGCTTGCATCTGCCTCCCTGCCCTCCACTTCCCTCTCTGGGGCATTCAGAAGACAAGGATGGCAGCTGCGACCCTATGAATGTATCCAACTGTAACCAAAGTCACCTCGGAATGAGTGAGTGACCAACCTGATTCCATTCAGTTCAGGCTCCTAGTGGAAGTTTTGCATAGACTGGACATTTGCTTAAAACATGCATAAGTCTGAAGAAGGCAGAGCACACAGCTTAGCCAGTTCCCACATCAATTCTGTTAATCTCACACGCACGCACATGGACACGCATTGGACGCACACACAGAGCGTACGAGGACGCCACGCCTAGCTACACATATTGCACAGAGGTTAAGTGCTCTTTTTGCGTAACCACATTTAACTTTTACTCAGAGGGGGTAAAGGAGGGAAAGAACCCTAATAACTTTGTGAAAAGTTATTTACAAAAGAAAATTGCAGCAGTCAGTTTAAAGAGAACTAAAGTGCATTTTAGAGCCCAGCATGTTAGTGTCATTGGAGGAGCCCCAGCAAAATGTTTCCTTCTCTAGACTCCAGCAGTAGCAGCAGCTTCCAGCAAATGCAGCAGACTCCACCCCCAGTAGGGTCTTTATAGGGGTCAGAAATAAGTCCTCAGTTGCTCCCTGGTTCCTTAGCCTGACCAAGCCACCCAACCCTGAACCTCCCTGCAGGCCTGGAAGTCACAGACGGTCAACAGCCCAGGGGTTGAGCTGTGCAAAGCCCAGTTCTTGACTGCCCAGCCTGGCACCCTCCCCACGCCTGAATATGGGGTACCTCGGGCTCTGCAACCCTCATCAGCACAGGAAGAGGAGGAGAAGGATTCAAAAGACTCCAGTCTGCATGGTCAATTGAACAACAACGACAACAACAACACAATAAATAAATAAAGGAACAGAACCCCAAGGGCTGTCCTGTTCTCCACCACCATGTGCAGCCCTCCCAGAGACACCCAAGCAGGGCAGCAGTGCCAGACAAAGTTTGCCTAAAGCGGCCTGCAAGACAGAACAGGCTGCTGTCACAGGCAGCTCTCCAGGCTCTGCTCACCCAAGTCCTCAGCTGTTTGCTAAAGTGAGAAGCCCTGCAAAGAGTACCAAGTCCCACCACACCTGGAGTTCTAGGACAAGCAATCGCCTATGCCCTATGGCCAAGAGGCAGCAGGCCAACCAACTGTTGCAGCCAAAAGATCTCCAGCCCAAGGACAGTCTCTGCCCTGCTACTGCCTAGGGGATGCTTGAGAGCAGATGATCCTTCTGCTACCCATCAACACCCCTAAGCCTGCCCTTGAGACTGGGTGGCCAGGTGGGCTGCTCACACACTTTCAACAGTTGTGGAGAAGAGGGGATTTTAGCAGAGGTAGCTTGTCACTGAAGCTAGACAAACACACACTCAAGTCCCTTCTCCTCCACAACTCCTGTTGGTGTTCCTGTCAAGCCTGCCATCACCCCACAGCCGCTGTCTGCCAGGCAAATATTCTGCCTACATGATGAATGAAGTCTCCCTTAGAACACAAGGAGGCTGGCTACCAAACAGAAGAACACTATGAATGGCATCTATTTTTTAAAAGTAACAATGGCATATAAATAAAACATTTCTGAGGCGACATTGAAACCTTAGAGGCTTTTGGAGAGGGAGGGGCAGTCCGTGTTAGGATTTTACCCTGAGTAAGTTAGAAGAAAGGATGCCCCTTCCAATGCACAGGCTGAGGGCGGGACTGGGAAGGCTGAACAGTGAAGAGGAAACCTGGGGGGGGGGGGGACTGGAGGGTTGGGAGGACTGGCCAGCTTAGCACCAGCACTTTCATGACATGACGCAGCCATGAGACATTCAGGGCATGGGCTTTGCCAGAACTAGCTGGGTGGGTCCTAAGTGGCAGAAGCAGCCCCTCCTCACTAGCTGAGTCTTCTACAGGCACTTCTGCCAATCCACCTTTGCAAAGGCCTGACAAGCTTCCACAGGGGCGTTTTCAGCCCCAGAAGCTGCTATGCTGGGTGACTGTTTCTGATCAAGCTGCATCAGTGCAAATCCTCTCAGCCCCTGAACTTGTGCAAACCCCCAAGCAGCCCACCTGGAAAGAGGCAGCAGCACTCGCCCTTCCAAGCAGGTAATCTGTCAAAAGATGTGGAAACCACAGGGCCCCTACTCTGGAGCAAGCCGACTGAGTTACATGTGCAAACTCTGGAGAGATGATGAAGATGATGATGATGTGCCTGGCCTGCATTTCAGCACTCGAGTCTCCCCGTCCACCACTTTGCCAAAGTGCAGCTGCCTCTACAACAAGAGATCGCCTCACAGTCTTGCTCTTCCCTCCTTCACAAACAAACACTTCTTCTCTCTCCCCCTCCCCCCATAATAGTGCACACATAGTAGTAAAGGCACCCCCAAGGAGCTGTAACAAGAACCTCCCGTGCCCCTGGCAAGGTGCAACCAGAGAGCAGCCGGCCCTCAAAACTCGCTCAGAGTGATGCTTGGGTTCATGTCACAACAAGCCAACGTAATAAAGAGACAGGACTGCCTTCGCCTTTTCACTTGAGGAAGCTGCCACCACGGCCTCCGCCCAGGGCAAGCTCCTCCTCCCCTTGTAGCAGGGCTTCAATTGGAATCAGTGGGGAGGAGGCAGAGGCGGAAGCCTCGGGGCTCTGGAGAGAGAGGAAGTCTGAGACATCCATGGCACTTAGGGAGTGGTTCTGTGAGTCTGAGGGGTTCCCTGCCAGAGTGCTTTGCTTGCAAGGAGGCAACGTGGAAGAGAGGGTGGTGGTGGCACCAACAGCAGCAGCAGCAGCAGCAGAGGAGGTGCTGGCAGCCAAGTTGATGGGAAAGGGTTGAGGCGGAGGCGCTGGTGCTGCCGCAGGAGGCTCCCCTGATGCCTTGGAGCCCTGTGAGGAGCAGTTCTGCTTCCTGCTGCTGGCTTTGTCCTTGGCTGAGTCCCGGCAGGCACACTGGCACTGACAGGCTTCCTCCTGCTTGATGATGATCACGGGCACACTCAGGCCAATCTGCTGCACAGAGCTCCCTGGGGACAAACAACAGTCAGTTCAGAGGCACCAGCACTCCCCTGTGCCTGTCCATCTGTACCTCTCAGGGCTTCCCAACAGAAATGCTAATGGGAAGAAATGCACATTTTGCCACCCACCACTGCTGCCAGCCTGTTCTCACATGACATGATTCCCCCACATTCCCTCTCTCCCTCTGCATGCCTGACACCAGGTGCAAAGCTTGGGTGCTGCTGGGATCAAGTATGCCCATTCCTGACCCGAGGCTGAGGCAACAGGAAGTAGCTCGGGTGATGGAACAAAACTGGAGGAATCAGAAACCAAACAGGGTGACACAGACTCTCTAGCAGCCGACCTGGCTGCAGGGTTGTGTCACCCAGTAACCATTTTCTGCTCAGAGAGGAATGAATCATTCTCTCTGGCTCAACTGTTAGTCCATAACCTGGGGTTAAAGTTCACATGGCCCAGTCACTCATAGCTAAAAGGTGCTCTCACAATTTTTCTTCCAGTATGGCAGGAGATTGTATCATCTCACTCCTCAGGCCGCTGCATGAGCCATTAGGCCCAATTTAAGGGGTTAATATGAACATATAGAACCAAGTAACTTTAAGAGTGCCCTCACCAGTGCCATCCAGTGATCTGGGGAAAGAGGCCCCTCACTAGGAGTAGCAGTGCAAAGGACAGGCACCTGAGACACAGGGAATTTTTGGTGGCACCTCCACAGTTATGGAACTCCCCCCCCCCAAGGGAAATCAGGAAGCCCCCCCCCCTTTACTTGCATTCAGAAAACATATAATTATTTTATTTATCCAGGCATTTGGCCAATAGTTTTATGAAGCTTGTACATGGCTGGTTTTATTTGCTTTCTGTAATATTTTAACAATGCTAACAATGTTTTTATGTCATTTTATTCTTGTGAGCTGGGCTGGGCTCCCTTTGGAATTTATACAATTTATTCATGAAGAATAAATAAATTTGAAATAATATGACAGAGGGACGCACACAGGTCAAGTACATGGGAAGGTGATGGATTTCCCTTGATTTCACTTACTGAGAGAAGCGGAGGGAAGCAGATGCCCTGGGGTGAGGATTTATCCCTTGCTGAGTGCTAATACACCCCAAAGAAGAAAGCTAATGGCAAGTTCCTCAATGGCCCCTTCCCAGGTGGGTTCTCCTTGCCTGCCTGACATGACATAAGCTCCAGCCCATTCAACATCTGCCCTTGTGAGTGTCAGTGATGAAAGGGAAGACTGTGATCCCTGGATGTGTCACTTACCTGCATTACCGGCAACAGGAAGGGCAGTGGTAAAGAAGACCTTCTCCAGCACTGGAGCCTGTGGCTTTGGCATAAGGAAAGAAAAAAGACTTTTGAAAGCACAGGCCAAGTCCAGAAATCAACAAACAGTATATTAGTACCCCAGCCCACTCTGGAAACAGGGCAGTACCAGCTCTGCCCCACCTGCTGGAGCCCTCAATCCCTCTTCATAACACGTTCTGGGCTGGAGCATGGGATTCAGGTCACTCACCATTTGTTCTTGGTTCTGGGAGGTCCTGCTGGCACCATTCAAAATCCACTGGAGGTTTTGCTCTCCCATGACAATGCTGGACTGCAGAATGGCTGCACTTTGTGATGGGGTGATGGTGATGGTTGGGCTGCCAGCCAGCACAGAGTTCCCTCCAACAGGCACAGTCTGAACCCCACTGGGGAGGACCTCAGCAACACTCGGTGCTGCTGCTGGGACAGGGGGATTCCCAACAGGCTGCGGAGATGCCTGAATGTGCTGTAGGAAGTCCTGGGGGTTGGGTGCAAAGAGTGTGCTATTAGGAGCAGGCACTTCTGGAGACTGGAGGACAGCGGCAGGGGTTCCATAGGCTGCTTGCTGAGTGCCAGTGGAGGCAGGAAGCAGTGCTGGGGGAGAAGGCTCAGAGATGCCAAGCTGAAGAACAAGTGGAAGAGACAAAGGAGCAGCTTCTCCGAGGGGTGGCTGGGCAGCAGGGGCTGGGTCTGCATCACCACCAAAATCTTTAACCAAGGCGTCTGCCAAAAGAGAAGCATATGGTGAGAAAGCTTTAGTAGGATCCTGAAAAGCACTTCATGCAGGATCCCAGCTGTGGCCATGACACTTCTGGATGGTAGCCCAGGCAGAAACAGCACCAGCTTTTATATCAAGAAGGCCCATGGGCATTTGCAAAAGGGAGGCCCCACTGGCCATACACTGCTCTTGCTGTCTGAGCTCTGGTGAGACTCATGGAAGCCACAGGCAGCAAACGTTATGTAGTCACTGCATTTTTATTCAATGCAGTCCATCTCAGGCTTCCTCAAACAGGCTAATCCCCTTTGGGCCTTTCTTCTCCCACCCAGGGCTACCAGAGAGTGTTTTTCTTCATTAGCTTTGCTCTGTGAATTATAGTATGATGCAGCACGTATAATTCCCACCAACCATACACCCCTGCACAACTGACACCAAAAGCCTACCAAGGCCTCCACTTGTTAAGCTTTTGGGGCAGTTCACTAAATTCTCTGTGCTGTCCAAGATTAATAATGATCTATGGAGCAAATGAAAGAGAAGATGCAGACTTGTACCTGTGTGCTGAGCGTCTTCCTGATTTACAGGAGGCTCCGGACTCTGGAACATGGACTCAAAAATGCTTGCTGGTGAGATTGTACTCAGGTCTTGTCCATGCATCTGGGGAAAGGAGGGAGCAGTGAGGCATGCAAAGTCAGCTGGTCTGTGGTTGAGCCTGGTGACGAGGCCACCAATACACTCAGGCTGCATTGCTCAGAACAGACATCCCTGAAGCACCTGGCTCAGGGAGATACAAGAAGCCTGCTTACTTCCAGCCACACCACAGAAGTCCACCACAGGAATGGCGGAAGGTGAGCTCTTTAAAAAATGGCAGAAGGCTGCTTCTATGACCCACATTGTCCACTGTGCTGTCAGAAGAGATACTTACTGGATTTGAATTATCCCGCAGTTCTGAATCTGTGGACATGAGGCTCAAGTCACTGAGACAGAGTGAGTGGTTTGTATCCTGCAGAGGTGGAGAGGAAGCCTACATTAAGCAATGCAGCAGTTGCAACTATGAGCTTGGTTATAGCCCCACAATGCCAGTCTCTTCAAGAGCACCAGTCCTTGACTTATCAACAGTGAGGGTGATCAGAGACTTAGGCCCAAATACATTTTCTATCTCTTTCTTTAAAAATTTTATGTGAAATGTCACAGATCACTAACTGAGAAAGGCAGCTGGTAGCAGAAGGAAACTACAACAAATGCCATTTATCTCCAAGGATTCACAAAGGCCCTCACTATGGCTGTTGGGATGACACAGGAAAAGAGGAAACTGCCTTGTACTGAGCCAGGCCCTTGATCAATAGCACTGTCTATGTGGCTAACAGTGACTCTCTGGGATCACAGACAGGGGCTTTTCTGACACTGTCCCTACAAGTCTGAGCTACTTATCTGTGCCCATCTTTGATGACCTGCCCCTCCAATTTCTTAGACATGCCTTTTCATTTTTTTGAACTCCTTACAAAGACTGTTGTGCAGAAGCATTCATTTTCTTAGAGGTTTCCCATTTCTCTGTCTCACTGGGATTTTTTGTGATTCCGCTCCTTTTTCAGGAATTCTAACCCTTCTTGGGCTACTTTCCCCCATCAGTTTCTCTAGTCTGCATTTATATTCAGTTTCCCTATCTAGCATTTCTCTGAACCTAATAAATCAGCATTCCTGAAATCCGTTACACATCTAACTAGGCTCATCTTTAGCCTTCCATAAGAACAAGAACACCAGCATTACGATTATAGCATTAGCATAAAAACATATTTTACAGATACAGACAGTGTTGCTCATATCAAGCCATCAATCTCTTTGAGTGGCAGAGCGTTCCACAGCACGATGCACTGTGTGAAAAAGCAGATTACCTTTCTGCATGCCACAATCTGTAATTTCACCTGCAAAGGTCCCAAAGGAGCTGGATTTCCACAAGAGTTCTGGATACTGACAGGCACTCACCAAGGCACACCATGCTATCTAGTGCACCAATAACGACATTTTCTCTGAGAAAAAGGCACCCACCTCAGAGATGCTGTTGTTGGACAGCACAGCATAGGAGGGCCCCTTCTCGTGTCCCTTCATGTGACTCTTGAGGCTATATTGTGTGCTGAAAGTCTTCTCGCAGCCATCACTGGGACAGAAGAAAGGTCTTTCACCTACAATGGCAAAAATCTATGGATTTGTACACATCCAACACCCTCTGGGTTCCTTGTTGCTCAGCAGCTCCAGGATCGCTAATACTGAGCCAGAGACTAAATCACACTCCCATGCTCAGTGTGTGTAAGGGGTAAGGGGTGCCCAGGAGCCCATTGTACAAGATCCTGATGTAGCAGGCTTCAACACAAAATAATGTGGCCTGACTGTCACCTCATAAAGTGCTCCCTTCTCCTTCCCAAGATATCCTGGGCTGCTTTCAGCAAGGTTGAGTTTATTAAACTTTTAACTGGCCTTTTATTTTGAGTCAGCATCATCTAACCACTCAGACCTATCAGGCAAGCTGCGCCAAACATCTTCTCCATGAGGCCACATCTAGGCTGCAGCTGCTTAGCATTAAGGAAGCAGGAAAGAGATTCAATAGACCCAGCCTTACCGGTGTGGGTCCTGACATGCGTCTTCAGGTGGTGGCTTGCAGCAAAGGCTTTTCCACAGCCATCATGATCACACCTACAGGAGAGGGATGGAGAAATCAGCAAGGAGCTTCATGCAGAAACCAGTTCCAATCACACCTCTTGCTTCCCAGCAGCCTCAGGCCATGCATTAATCTGCACACAGGGTAGTGGAAAGTTCTGCAGAAGGGAAGCCCTGCTCTTAAACATGGTATTATAACTTAGGGAAGACTTAAAGAGAGCAAGCAGAACATCCGCCAATGCAGTCTCACAATCCCACTGAGATGGAGCTCAGTGGTTGACCAGGGCACCATCAGCACGGGGCAGGGCTCCTGGGCCTTTGAGGACCTGCAATGAGAGAAAACCCTGCACCGGTGATTTCTCCCACTACTGCAGTACTGGGACTGCTGCTGAAATTCTCCCTCCTAAGCAGCAAAGTGGTGGGGACCCGCAGGTGTTGCTACATTACATTACAACTCTCCTCACCTGACCTTGGCAACACAAGCTGGGACTGGTGGAAGTGGGAGTCCAACAACATCTAGAGGGCCACCAGTTCCCCACATGTGGACTACAACCACAGGGCAACAAAAATACTAGGTGGATGATGATGTATTTGAAAGGCTATATGGGTCCTGCCAGACACACAGGACATTCACTAGAGGTGGACCCAGGGCAAGAAAGCCTCAATACCAACACTTTGCAGGCCAGAGAGGAGTCAAAAGCCATGTGGCTCAAGAGTAAGAGTCCAAACCCCCCATGTAGGGCCAGACAGGAAGCTAGGAGAAACCAGGCCTGTTCTACAGCAGAAGACTTGACAAAGGACCCAGGATTCATCAGGGCCTCCAGCCAGGTGGCTCACCTGAATGGCTTCTCTCCGGTGTGGGTCCGAATGTGTTTCCGCAGGTCACTGAGTGTGGTGAAGTACTTGCTGCAACCCTCTGATTCACAGTTAAATGTTTTTCCCGTGTGAAGCCTCTGATGGGCTTTTAACCTACGAGGAAAGAAGTGGGCTCCATTACCACAGGCCTCTTTCTTCTGAACTGAGCCTCACCAACAAGGGAGGCACAGGGAAACAGCAGCTTCTATCCGAGAAGCAAAATCGGCTAATAATAATAATAATAATAATAATAATAATAATTTATTATTTATGCCACGCCCATCTGGCTGAGTTTCCCCAGCCACTCTGGGCGGCTCCCAATTGAGTGTTAAAAACAATACAGCATTAAATATTAAAAACTTCCCTAAACAGGGCTGCCTTCAGATGTCTTTTAAAAACAGGATAGCTGCTTATTTCCTTGACATCTGATGGGAGGGTGTTCCACAGGGCGGGTGCCACTACCGAGAAGGCCCTCTGCCTGGTTCCCTGTAACCTCACTTCTCGCAATGAGGGAACCACCAGAAGGCCCTCGGCATTGGACCTCAGTGTCTGGGCTGAACGATGGGGGTGGAGACGCTCCTTCAGGTATACAGGACTGAAGCCATTTAGGGCTTTAAAGGTCAGCACCAACACTTTGAATTGTGCTGAGAAACGTACTGGGAGCCAATGCAGATCTCTCAGGACCGGTGTTATGTGGTCCTGGCGGCCACTCCCAGTCACCAGTCTAGCTGCCGCATTCCGGATTAATTGCAGTTTCCAGGTCACCTTCAAAGGTAGCCCCACATACGAGTGCATTGCAGTAGTCCAAGCACCTTCCTAGCAGTCAAGTAGGCTTCTCTCCAAAACCCTTGCAGGCAGCTTAGAACAGCAGCCTCTCAATTGGAAACTAGACTTTGAGAAATAAACTTTGGAGGAGCTAACAAGAACTGGTGTGTGTGTGAGACAGAGATTTCTGCAAGGAAAATAGTATTTCCCCCAGGAAAGATGTTTCACTTAATGCATGGGTGGCTAACCTGTAGGTCCCTCTCTGGATGTTGCTAGGCTACAACTCTCATCATCCCTGAACTTTGGCCATGCTGGGGTTTACTTGGAGTTGGAGGTCCAACAACATTGGGAGAGCCACAACTTAGTTGCCCTTGGGCTTAACATTGTGGTTACATCTTTGACATTTCATTTGTGTGTGTATACTAAGGCACTGTCTTGAGAGACAGAGGAGGAAATGCTCCTGCTCTTACCTGTACAGTGTATTGAAGGCTTTTTCACAACCCTGGACATCACACTCAAAAGGTTTCTCCTTGGTGTGGACTCGAACATGGATTTTGAGACTATAGGATGTTAGGAAGGCCTTTCCACACCCCTCTTGGTTGCACACAAAAGTGTACTCCCCGCGGTGTGTCTTCTGGTGGGTGCGCAGGTTACCTGCGGTGCTGTAGGTCCGAGGGCAGCCCTCAAATGTGCACTGGTAACGCTTCACCTGCCAGAAACATGATGTACTTTAAGTCTCCATTCTTGATCAAAGAATCATAAAGGGTTCCACTGTTAACTTCAAGAGTTGCCATAAAAACAGCTCTGCTAGATCAGGCCAAAGGCCCATCATGAATACTGGCTGCAAAAAAAAAAGACCCTGTAGGTAGGGGAAGGTTTTAAAGATGTTCCCTCTACAGGTAAAAAAAGAAAGCATGCAAAATGTATCAAAAATAAGAAAGAAAAGGAAAGCTAGTTATAAGAAGAAAACAAATGAACATAAGGGATTATGTAGCCTGTGGGTTTGCACATGCAAAATTTTGGAACCTAAAAAGACTCCTGAAATGGTTGCAGATGGTTAAAATTATTACAAGAGAGACCAGAGATTCCTGCCTAGTTTTGAGAGGCCTAAGGCAGAGAAGTGCACCCCCCAATTCCCTGCAAAGCACTCCCCAACTCCCTCTTCACAGATGTTGCTGCTACTCCTTCTGGTTGAGCTGCTATCACTCCCTTGTGGACTGTGCTGTTTCCAAGGAGAAAAGACCCTGCTGCTGCCACTGTTGTCCCTTTCTCAATGGACCCTGGATTGTCGCCGGTGCTTTAGGCTCAGATATTTTATTCAGCTCTTCAGACTTTGCCCAGTTTGGTGCCACTTACAAACAGGCACAACCGCAGAATGTAATCTTTCTGGATACCTGAAGGGTCAGAGACCTTTTTTGGCAACTGATGCAACATTACTAATTTCAGTGGCTTAACTTAGTTTTTTGCCAATGTTGCCATGTGCTGCTCCTGTACTCCCATTGCCAGCTGTGGGGTTGATGACCAGACTTTGTAGTTCTGGCCAGGTTCCCAAAGCAGTGAGCAGCACAACTTGCAAAGGAAGCTCCCTTTGGCACAGGGTGCGCTTGTTCTCCATGTGCAGGTCTGAGTTGGTTGGCAACAGAATGTGCAATTAATTGTGCACACGGCTCTTCTCTGCCACATGGGAGCACATGGGACTCTGACAAAGGGGCATATGCATCAAATCAAGTTTCCCATTGATACTAATTCATATATTTCCCAAACAGTGACTTCTAAGTTATGTTAATTTACAACTAAACAAAGTATTATTCACACCGGGGTGGGTGGACAACACCTGTGTGCTGGACTCTAATTTCCAGCAGCCAGCCTGCTCAATGGCCAGGGGTGACATAGGAGTTGGGAGTCTACCAGCATGGAGAAGGCCCTGTCATAATCATATGTGAACAGTAGTTTTCCTTCAGAATAAGTTATTAAATGCTGCCCCCTTCTGTAATTATCAGACATACACAAATATGTATTCTTCTTCCATCGTTTCCCAAGCAGCTGCTTTCAATAATCATCTGAACATAAGGCAATAGACTAGAAGCTCCTGGCGGATTTTGTCCTCCATAAGAGCAGCAGAAAGAGATAGTTAATCTATTATACCTGAAGTTAAGTCAGTCTCAATATTCCTAATTTTTTTTGAGAAGGGAAAAGGTATATCAAATGAACTTTCAGCCCTTCTCTAAATCTGCAGAAGTACTGGGCTTATATACGGCTGAAGTCGTCAAACCAAACTGTGGCAGTCATATTGAAACCAAAAGAGCAGCTTTAAGATCTGCAGACTTAAAACTGCAACCTACGATTTCAAAGGGCCAGAAACAATCTGCTAAGCCCACTTTCTCAGGATTCTGTTTGTGCAAAGTTTCAATCTACTTCCTTATAAGAGAAGTTCTACTTCTCCTTTACATTTGTGGGTACAGCAGTGGATGTGCTGAACCAATGTCTTGCCTTGGTAATGGTCTTGATGAGAGCCAATAAACCGAAGCACAATTCAGATAAGACTGACGCACCATTAATGGGTGGTTCCCTTAACTGGATGTATGATAACTGATTTAAATGTCAGGCAAAAACAATTCTTTTTCGCTAGGACTTTGGCTCTTAATTATCTGTGGCTTTGAGTGGGTGTAACGTTTAAATCCTGCCTTTTAAAAATAGGATTTTTCCTGTTTTTTAAATCTTAAGCCAGTTTCAATGTATGTGCTTGCTTGTTTATAAATTGAACAAATAAAAATAAAACACCCTTAAATTCAAGATAGATTAATTCATAAAAAATAAAGCTTGAGGAATTTTGTTCATTATCAGCACTCCAAAAACTAAAGGCCCTCTTCATTATTTTGTGAGTGATTCCAAGATTTAAGTCAAGAAGTATCTCTTAGCTGCCTCTCTAAAGCATACACCCTCCTGCTAATCCATAAATCAAAACTCAGACAGTTCGGAGCTTCTCTCCGTTATTGTCTGTTCTGTCTCACCTATGCACAGTGTTGACTATACATTATTACAGGATGTAGCACTCAGCGCAAACCTTAATAATGTATATTGGTCATAGATTTTTGTTTTTCTATCCTAGTGCAAAAACGTTTATTTAAAAAATCACACATGGCACACACAGCCCTAGCGATAATGTTCTACTATTGTGAAAACTCCCAAGGCAGGGCGTATAGCATGAAAAAGTAGCAAAAGCTTCCCTTCAACCATGCACTGCTTAGTATGGAAAGTAGGCAAGTCTATATGCCTGCTATATAAGGGAAACCACTGCTCTCTCTCACCCCCAAAACCTGAGAAGCTCTGCTCACCCTTTTCCTAAAGATACTTGGAAGTGTAACAGTGCATTTTTGTATTGTATAAACCTGACCTGAAGAGCAACATGTGAAAACATCCAGGATCAGCTTAGGCATGGCCTCTCTGACACAAGTATGGGAAAAGGCCAAACACTACAGAATCAGGAAATTTGTTTTCTTGGGCGTTTTCGGATGATGACTTTTCCAGAACTGACCCCGTGAGTTTTAAATGCAACACAAAAAGCAATACAGGCTTCCATACAGTCATATGACAGGCCTCCCGATAGAGGAGCAGGATTAGATTAGAGTCTGCTACTTACTTCTTTCAGTTTCGTCTCAGGGCACTCTGACTGCAAAGTAAGGGTGGCTCCTTCAATGTTTCGTGGCATAGGAGTTGAGCCAGGATTGATCGTCAGATGAATCTGATCCGGAGAAATAATGTGCTGAACATAACCCTGGGACATTCCTTCATGGTCAGCTATCAAAGGAAATCTGTCCTCATGACCATCAGGCAGAAAAGGCAAGTGATCCCCACACTGCCCTTCATCCTCCTCGTCCTCCAATGGCCCTCGGTCTTGTTCAATGAGGACTGTTGTTCTGTCATACACTGTCCTGGATGAGGATGGGACAAGGCCATTCTTGTCCACAAACCACAACAGTTTATCATCCTGGGCCAAGTCATCTTCCTCCACTTTGTAATAGATGACATTCTCAGGACTGTTTTCCCCCATGGTTTAGTGGCATTCCAGAAGGGTCACAGAATGAACATAAGACAGCTCACCTGTAAAAAGATCACGTAGAACAGAGCAGTCAGAACTCATGAACATTCAGTAAGTAGTACTGTTTTCCATTTGACACCCAATTTACTGTCTTAGGATTCCTTTATTGCACATAGTTGCTTCAGTTCTTCGTGCTTTACAAGGTTTTTAAAGTGCAGTGAAGCCAGCGCCCTTATATTTTCTACAGATAACTCCCTGCAGAAGGCTCACTTGAGTCAAAATGTGTCGTGCTGATGTTACAAAAAACATGCATCTTTAAAGTCTTACTTCTCCCTCTCTTCCCGCCCCCCCCCCCCCGCCCTAGCATTGGAGACTTGCTGGGTTTTGCATGGCGCCTTCTGGCTTTTGAAGGAGACAAGTCAACGATATGCGTGTATATACATCGACTGCTTGTAAAATTCTGCAAATGTCCCAGCCGAAAGGCTACATTATGTGGGTCACTCTTTCGGTCACCAGGCTGGCTGACTAATTGCCCCTCCCCGCTTAATACTGAAAGAGTCGCAGCAGCAGCAGGAGGAGGCGGCTGAAAAGAGACTCAGCCGAAGGAGGGCTCTGTCGCCCCAACAAGCTCCGCTTCGACAATCCCAAGGAGCTGCCGCCGCGCCCGGTGGGGGAAAGGAATTCGCGGCCCCGCTTCGCCGCCACCCCCGACAGTGACCCACGAGTCGCCGCGTGAGGGCGGCTCTCTGACAGGGAAGAGGAGGACAGGGCCGGCCTCGGGGCAGCCCGAGCTCCAGGCTCGCTTCGCTCCAGGGCCGCCTGTCCGCCCCGCGCGCATCTCACCGGCCGCGTCCAGCTCCAGGCCCAGCCCGGCCCGTGTCAGTGCCATGGCGCCTGCCCGGCTGCCACGCGCAGCCCGAGCGCCAGCACTCGCTCGCTCGCTCGCCCGCCCGTCAGTCCGCTCGGCTCGCTCGGTCCGTCCGCCCGAGGTTTCCTCAGACATTCGCGCTTCCGCTTCCGAGCAGCGCGGGGCAGGCCGGGAAAGCACCTCTTCCGGCCACGCCCCCTTCTACCACAGATGGAATGAGGCTAGAGCGGTGCGTCGGCGGTGTCTACTCGGGAGGGACGGATGCCTTCAAACCCGCGAGGAGTTGGAGCATCGGCGAGGCGCGTCTTCATTGCAGGGCTGTTGTGAATCATCCGAGACCCTGGCAAGGCCGATCTTGCAGCCTCCCTCCCCTTATGGAGAGTGAAAAGCCTCTTCTGGCACCGAGTCCAGGCTGCATCTGTTTTGCGGGAAGTGGACGGGAAGATGCCGGGGCGGGAGGCAGGACGCGGCGCGCAGCTGGAGTTGAAACGGTTTTTTTGCCCACCCGAAAAAGGCTCGAGCAGCTTGGAAAGCGGGCGAGGGAATGCACTGGAAAAGAGTGGCGTGGATGGAGAGGTGCTTTAAAAGCCTGAAGAACGCAGGACGATTCGCTCCTTGGCATATCTATTTTATAGACCTCTATTTCATTTGAAAACAATAATAATGCCAAAGCAGTTTATAAAAGCACCCCAGGATGAGCAGGTACTATTGAAGTCAGGGAGAAGGCTCGATAATTTAGAGGCTTGCTAATTAAAAGGCTCGTTAATGAGCAGGTTGCCTGGAGGGGCCCCAAATGAGCACAAGGGGGGGGGTCTCCTGCCTGCCTACTCGACTCCCTATCACTGCAGTCTCAGTGTAGGTGGTAACCCAGTCAATCAAGGCTGCTCTTTGCTTGAAAGAACCTGGCAGGTGCCCCATCACCACACCAGGGGAGCAGGGCAGAAACGGGCAGCCAAAATAATCAAGCAGTAGGCTTGCAACAATTGAAGACTTAAGAAAGAGGTAATGAAAGGGACACAATAGCTTAGTGTGTAGAAAATGGAGAGAAATGTTTCTCTCACTTCTTACGGGGCTTGCGCACACATCCTCAGAGCCCCACCACACACTTCCTTTCAATTTATGAAGGGTTGTGTGTTCCATTAACCCTCCACTGTGATTGTTAGAGGGGCACAGGAAACTTTCTAGGCTAGGAGGGCCAGAGGGTAAGCCCACTAAGAGGAGGAAGGCAGGACTGAAAAGGAGGAAGTGAGAACTTCCCCTGCAGTTACAGCATCAAACATTGTTGCTAGTCAGGGCAGCAAATCCTGGCTGTGATGCCTTCCTACCTTGTAAGAACACAAAATGTGATCACAGTCCTGGGCCTCCAACCCCATTCAGAGAATCAACAGACTCCCTCCAGTCAAAAAGAGTGAACCAGGCTCCCAGCAAGTGCCATGAACTAGACATGAAGCCAGTGTGGCATTTGAATGGCCAGAGATCTATCCAACAGAGGGCTATCGAAGCCTACTAGCCACGATGGCTATGCTCATGATGGGCCATTGCCTGATGCAGCAGATTCTATGCTCTTATGTTAAGATCCCAAAGGCGCCCTTCAGGTGTTGCTGCTGCCAAGCCAGACACCACCTTGGATTAAAAATGAGAGCAAGCAGCATGGACGTTAATAAGTTAAAATGTTTAATTATATTTATGTTACATTCTTTGCTTATAAAAGTAGCTGATTTAGGTTATCAAAGATTAAGCATTAAGGCAATGGCAGATAAAGGAGGACATTGTTTTGTCACAAAACATGACATACCACAGTCAAGATCCAGTGTGCAGACTGACTGCTGGTTTAATATAAAAACTCACTGTGCTTTATAGTGCTGCTAACACAGTAGCAGCTGCTTCTTCCCACCTGACCTGTGCTCCAGAATTAAAAAGTATGTACATGTCTTTACATTTTTTAAAAAAAACACAATTACTGCAAAATCTAATTTTCTGAATATACAAAACTATTTTTTACACAAGCCCTGCCTATAGTTACTAGTCCTCGGCCTTCACAGTGCGATCTCTTCCCGCAAGAGGAACTGCTGGATGAATTGCTGAGCTTTCCGCTTCTCGGCAATGTCTGGCTTGGTGTGACCAGGAGGGGGACGGAGCAGTAGCCCCCCAAATATGCTACCTGCACAGGAAACATGATAAAAAAATCCATTAGTGTTTGCATACGTAAGTGGCATCTGAGTTCCATGTAAGGAGCTATCAAGGGGGATGACTGCCCTTCTCAAGGCCCACCACACCAGCTGATGGTTTTTTGGCACAGTGTCCCGAATAATTAAATGCACAGGAGTTGAGATGCCAACTCACCACCTCCACTTGGCTCAACCTATGTTTTGAAACAAGCTGCTCTAGGGCATAGTTAAATGAGCTGCATTCCTGTCAGGTGTGTGACATGCCAAAACATTTAAATCAAATAGGTCACGACCCCGTTTATCCCAGTTCATTCATCCTAGGATCATCCACCAAAGCCAGGATCAGTTCTTACCAAGAATATTCACATCCAAGTGGTTTTTCACAGAGTGCTGCAGTAGTTCCCGCAGAAATGCTATCAGATAACTGAAGACGTTTTTATGACACTTGGGCAGCGTGGAAACCACCTGGGAACAACGGAGAAGGAAGCTGTCGCACGCATGCAAACACACTTCCCCCACCAAGGGACCAGGCAGCCTCTTGGCATTACATGTCTCCCATTTTGGCAGCCGGCCTCTACTGGCTCACCTGATTGCTCAGCACATGGCTGTCAGCAGCCTCCAAGCACTTGTCGTACAGCATGTAGCAGATGACCGGCTCAGGGAGACTCTCCAAGAAGAGCAGCAAAGCTTCCGCCACCGAGTGGTTGCTGCCATCTGGCCAGTGATGTTTAAGGAACAGGCAGTCGCCAAGATGAGGCCAGTGCCAGCTGCAATGCTGAGACACTGGGAAAGCCCACTCATCCATAAGGAGGCCCCAGCGTAGGGGGCCGCACAACCACAGAGGCAGTAAAAAAATGCAAGATGACAACTAGCTGCAATAAGGTATTCACAGGGGGAGAAATGTTTGCCTCATCTGGCACAGAAACCCAGTTCATAGGTAGCTGGGATGGGGATCGGGTTGGCTGAACTGCTAAGGGAGGGAGTAAACATGCACAGTCATACCTTGGGTTGAAGTAGCTTCAGGTTGAGCGTTTTCAGGTTACGCTCCGCGGCGACCCGGAAGTAACGGAACGCATTACTTCCAGGTTTTGCCGCTCGCGCAGACGCTCAAAATGACGTCACCTGGAAGCAGCAAATCGCGACCCGTGCACACGCAGACGCACGTTGCGTTCGCTTCAGGATGCGAACGGGGCTCTGGAACGGATCCTGTTCACATCCAGAGGTACCACTGTACTTTGCAGAGAGAATCAGCAGACTCCACAGGGGAATGCAGTACAATTGCCTCTTATGCAGGGGTCACGTTCCAGAAACACCAGAAGGCTTTCCCAGCATGGCAAGAGCATTTAAGCCCTCTGCCTTGCTTGCATTTAACTTGTAGAATTTCAACCAGCCTGCCTTCAACCGCATATGGTTGAAATCGTGCGTAATATGCAGTTGTACTGTACTGAATTACAAGGGGTGGGAGAGAGAAAGATAATGCCAGTCCCGCTTTCAAACACACTTCCTCCAAGGATACTGAGTGTATCCATCATCCCTGTGTCCAGGCAATCACGGATCTGTTCAAACTCGACCCTCAGGCCCGGCTGCTGGAAGAGGTCCTCCTGCAAACGTGAGCAGCCACAGTAAAAGGCAAAGAAGGCAAAAAAAGATCAGTTTCACTTTGCTAGATCTGCTGGAAGTGCCTTCCTGTGGAGCTGCACCCATGAATACAATCACACATCCCAAGGGCACAATGAACCCAATGCAGCCAAACTCCAGGGCACAAACAGTGTAGAAGCCCCCTTGTTAGTTAGCAAGCACCATAGATACTGTTCGTTCCCCAGCATTTAATGAGCACTCCTGCCCCTGCTGGGCTTTGCCAAAGCTAAGCTCCTATCCTTCCCTCTTCCCATAACAAGGCCAAGCACACAAAAGGAAGTTCAGGTCCAGCGGCATCCTTCTAACCTGCTGGCAAGCATTGCGGTACAGGTGGTCAACCATCATCCACAACTCCTTAGGAATGTCCAAGGGCTTCTCGGGCCAGGAGGCATCATTGTCACTTGACCACAATGGCAGCAGAACCTGGAAGGGAGCAACAGGGTTGGAGAAAGGCCATGATCCCAGTGGTAGAGCACCTGCTCTACATGCAGAAGACTCCAAAGCTCAATTCCCTATGGCATCTCCAGGTAGGACAGGGAATGCCCCCCTGCCTGAAGAGCCATAGCCAGTCAGTGTGAACAGTCCTGGATTGGAAGGACTGTGTAGTCTAAGGCAGCATCCTCTGCAAAGCAGCATTGGACATGAAGCAGAGTTGGAAGGTCCCCAAAGAGTCACCTAGTCTGCAATCCTCCTCCCAAGCCAACTCCCCCAAAATGTCTTTGGGATGAAGGGCAGCAGACTTGGTTGGCCATAAGAACTCACTAGCTTTCTGATGGCCTCTGGCGACATCTCTTGGATGGGCTCCCTCATGTGGCACAGGGTCTGCAGGGGGCACCCAAAGCAGCTGGGCAGGTAGTTCCCTGACACGGGCAAGAAGTAATCTTTGCCTCGGTCGAGGTGCAGCACCAGGATGTCCTCCAGCTGGTCCTCTCCAGAGTTCAAGCGCGTTGCTGTTGACTTGTTCACAAACAGTTCCAACTCGACCGTCACCTCGGCATCTTCAGGGAGAATGAAGACGGACAGTTTGACAACACCGAGCCTCAAAGCATCTCACAACCACATGTGGGGTGGGGAGAAAGAGGAAAGATGGATCCCTACAAGGAAGGTCCCTGATGGAAGATGAGCAAGCTCCTGCTGAAAGAAACATTCCGGAGCAAACCCACAAAATGCTCACCCAGCCCCACTGTCAACACACACCAGGATCCACAGCGTCAAAGGCCTCAAAGGATAAATTGAGAGCTAGTGTGGTGTAGTGGTTAGAACGCTGGACTAGGACTTGGGAGGGACCAAGGTCTGAATCTCCACTTGGCCACCAAGTTTACCCGGCGACCTTGGGCCAATCAGCCCAACCCACTTCACAGGGTTGTTGCTGTGGGGATTAAATGAGGAAGGAGAGAAAACCATGTACACCACTCTAGAGCTCCTTGGAGAAAAAGGCGGGGTATAAATGCAAATAAATAAATGCAAACTGAGGGGCCTGAAGCTGCTCACTTGACAACATCTCCAAGAAAAGGGGAGCGGTGGCTGCTTTGTGAGTCCAAAGACTGCAGGCAGAAGACTGTCTCTGGATGAGGCACTGACAGCCCCAGCAAACAGAGTCTGCTCACGGATACCCAGAGCCCTCCCTGCCCTGACAGACAGTGAAATGCAAAAGGTGCCTTGTGTCGCAATAAATCTGTCTTTAATTTTTTGCTGGAGTTTTCTTGTTCTTGCTACAAACACGGCTGTTCTCCAGATCAATGAAGTGATATTTTAATTTGTGAGCAACTGTGGCTATTTTTTCGAAGCTTGAATCAAACTGAACATATTTGGAGGGCCATGGATGGATCGGGTGCACACAGCCACCGGATGCTGAAGCAGGTTGGGGTGGCCAAGAGCAATCTGTGGCTGTCACCCAGAGGGAGGATCAGGCAGAAAGCGTGGTAAAACCCCATGAAAAGACAGAGACCTCCCAGCTCACCTGGTAACAGGAAGCCCTTGTTGGGGTTTGCCATCAGCCATGGCTTGCAATAGGCCTCTTCATCCAGCTTGTTGATGAACTCAAACTGGCAAGGAACAGGCCCATTGTGGATGGTGAAGGACGCCAACTGGAGCTGCATGTACTTCACATCCTTGAAGAGGAACTGTGGGTGGGGAAAGAACCACAAACACGGAGGAGAAGGGTGGGAAGGGAAAGGGGAGTTATGCATATGTAGCCTGGAAAAGAGACTGAGGGGAGATAGGAGAGCCATCTTCAAATAACTGAAGAGCAAGCTTGTTTTCTCCTGCTCCAGAGGGGAGGACCTGAACCAATGGAAGTGACAAGGGACAAGGAACGGGATTCCAATTAAAGGTTAGGAAGAACTTTCTGAGGGTAAAAGCCATTCGGCAGTGCAACAGAGTCCCTCGGAAGGTGGTGCACTCTCCTTCATTGGGGGGTTTCCAACAGAGGTCAGACAGACCTGTCAGGGATTCTGTAGCTGTGATTCCTGCATGCCAGAGGTTGGACCCTAAATTACCCTTGAGGTCCCTTCAAACTCTACAATTCTATGAACTAAGGGCTTGACCCCAAGCTCCAGTGAACATCCAGGTCCCAGCAGCAAGCTTGGGAAAGAGGTCTGCTGGGAGGCTTGTTCTGTGGAATGCCACGAGCTTGCCGTGCCCCATACATGGCCTTGAGCCAGCAGGCCCAGTGGGGCTGTATCTCCAGAAGCAAGCCTCTTGATGCTGCCAACTGGCCAGGGCAGCAGCAGCAGCTGATCCTACCTCCCTCTTGGAGAGGGTGACCGACGGGATGCTGGCGTTCTCCATCTTGTCCAAGGAGCGCACTATGTCTTCGAAGGATCTGCGGTAGAGCTCCTTGTCCACCACCTTCACCTGAATGGAACATGCAGCAGCAGAAGGGTCATTGGGGGGAGAGACAGAGGGGAGGAGGTTCCCCCTCCTGAGAGTCCTCAGCATCACCTGCCATATTAACTAAGCACCCAACATGCAAGCTGCAGAGGAAGCTGGCTGTCAAACGCATCCCATGGGGCACCCCCCCCCCAAAGTGATCAAGGGTCCTGCAATCCCACTCCTCTAGCTTACACAGCCATAATCCTTGTTCCAGCCCTTTCACCCCTGGACTGTATAAGCTCAGCTGATAAGGAGAGATGTCACCATGTGGTAGGTGCCCAGGAAAGACCTACAGAAAGGAGGCCCAAGATTTTATTTTATTTTTTGCAGGGGGGGTGAAGGTGGAAGATGCAGCATTTGCCTGTGCAGCACAGTGTCTGGCCAGCTTCAGAGCTAGCCAAGGTTGCTGGGATTCTGGGTTGGACTGGATGACCCTTGGAGTGCCCTTCCAACTCCATGATTCTGTAGAAGAGAAGGAGAGGGTGGCAAAACAGAGGGAGCCAGAGTGACGGGAGCCCTCCCCAGGCTCTCACACCAGCTGGGCTTGCGGGAGGCGGATGCCTACCCCAATGTCAAAGATGGCACTGACTGGCTTGTGGTCGCTGCCCCTCAAGGCCATGTGGCTCCGGTAGCTCAGCTGAGAGATATTCTTCCCTCTCCACAGGATCCGGTCACACCAGGCTGGCGTGCGGCATTTCTCACTGCATGGGAGGCAAAGCAAGGAGAAGAATGGTCATTTCGGCCACCAGACTTGGCGCAGAAGCTCTTGTCCATTCTGCTGTTGCTCTGTCAGGAGGAGAGCACACAAAGACCGTGGAAACAGCAGACAGCGTCTGCAATACCCTGAGAGATGGGAGACCTCAGTCACTCCATACCCAAAATGAAAGGAGTCCCTGCCAGAAGAAAACTAGCATATCAGACATGCTGGTTCCAGCTTAGTCCTCTCCTCAATACGCTAGTTTTCTATGGAGTGGGGATCTATTGTGTGGAGGAACGTTTTGCTCTGGGTGTACCAGCTGTTTTCAACCCATCTTCTGAGATGTAGGAGTCACTGGCAGCCCACAATTGAAGTCTGCAGGGATGGTTTCTAGAGATGTCCTAGGAATGGGGGTCCGCATTGCTCCATTAGCTTCCCCATACTCCACACGGATGTTGCTGTTCTATTAATTCAGCTGCTCTGGAGAGTGAGTGGACTGGCCCCAGGCTTAAGAGCCACATGGGATGAGCCTGGAAAGAGAACAGTGCATCCCCCTGGAAACCTCCCAAAAGGGAAATATGTAACTGCCAAATAAAATTACAAGGCTGCTGTAAACTATATCAGGAGAGGTTAGCTTCCTAAGTCCAGGGACATTGTTGTTGTTGTTTAATTTATTACCCACTCTTCACTCCAAGATCTCAGTGCGGACTGCAACAATTTAAAAGACATAAAAAACTTTTTTTTAAAAAAACACAACTTAGTTTAAAAATACAACCACAAAAAATAACATCTCATAAAAATAACAGTAACATGTAATAAAAGGTAACCGAAAGTTCATAGTTGCTTATTTTTAGATCTGCAGTCTTTCTGCATTAGAAATCTCCAAGGCCTCTTTCTAAACAGAGATGACTTTTCCCACGTCGTGGGATGAATCCAGTAAAATACACCCTTTCATGCCATTTTAAACTACAGTGGTACCTTGGGTTAAGAACTTAATTCGTTCTGGAGGTCTGCTCTTAACCTGAAACTGTTCTTTAGCTAATGGGGCCTCCAGCTGCCGTCCTACCACTTTAGCTAATGGGGCCTCCAGCTGCCGTCGCACCGCCGGAGCACGATTTCCGTTCTCATCCTGAAGCAAAGTTCTTAACCTGAGGTACTATTTCTGGGTTAGCGGAGTCTGTAACCTGAAGCGTCTGTAACCCGAGGTACCACTGTACTAACCAAAAGTGGCAGCTTTCAAAATGGTGGGAAGGGCTGCCACATCCCCTTGCCGGCATTAAGCCAAAGGGAACATTTTGCTTGTGCTTCCCCCAGTTTGTAAGCCCTCTGAGGTGGGGCCATCACCAGCTTGTGTATTTCAGGGTTTTTTTCTCCAAAGCAGCATTCTAAGAGCTGCTAACTGGATGTTAAAAAACAAAACAAAAAGTTCACAGGTTAAAATGGCTTTGCATGCATGTTTTTTTGGTCTGGTCTTGTGCAGTTGCTACAGAGAAACATCTGCACAAGAGAAGCCTCTGGGCTGGACCATCACCACTTCCCTGTTAGAGATGGTGACATGCAAAGAACAGAGCACCCAAAATGGCTGTGACGCTCCTGACAAGCCTACCTGGTGTCCCAGTCATCAGACCCAGTGTTGTATTTGTACGTTGGCTGGAAGGAAATCTCTCCCTCCAGGAAGCCTTCAAAGACCGCCTTGGCCTCCATCTGCTTTTTCAGCTGAGAAGGAAAGAGAGCAGAGAGGTGAAACTGAGCAGCAAAGCATCTTTCGAACCCAAGCCTCCCTCGGGATTGTCCACGCCTCCCTTCCTGCTTTCTTGCGGCAAATCCTGCCTCCTGATGCAGGCCAACCACATCCATTAGAACTCCTGACTTACTAGAGCAAAATAGTTGATTGGTTATGCTACATGTCTTAAGGCTCCTTTGGAACTCACCAGGACTGTTTTCTGTCTTGATGGAATAACAGTCCAGTTGGGTTTTGTTAAATTTGCTTTCAGGTTTCTCAAAAATTTAATGAAAACATTTATTCAAAGGAGAAGTAAAGGGACTCTTGTAGCTGAAAGATTCCCCAGCCATTCCTAGCCACTTTCTGGAACCAGCTGCAGCAACAGAGCAGCATTCCCCAACACCTGCCCTGGCCCCATGAATGCTGCAAGAGCTCTGCACTCTCTTCTCTTTGGAAGGTTGACCCTTGTTGGAAGGCAGATCTCGCCTGCCTACCGAAAGCTCCCTCACATACTTGGTCATGCTGATAAAGGGTGGCGAAATCGTGGGCCTCCACCAGCTTCTTCACCCGCTCCACGTCCTGCTCCTCCAGCCTGTAGTTCAAGTCTCCCAGCCACAAGACCACACTGCAAGGGAGGCGCTGGTGTAAGGAAATGGCTCCAGCACCCTTGAGGCTCTTCACAGCTCCTATTCCCAGCCACGTAACCCCAAGATGCACAGTGTCACCCCAGCAAATGAAGAGATGTCCCCAGCTCCTTGCCCACCTTCCTAGTTCCTCCTACTAACTTGGAAGCAAATCAGTGACCACCAGAAGGTCTGGGAAACAGATGATCCTTCACACAAGTCCTAGACTTGAAGCCACCTCACATAGCTAGAAGGTGGAAGACGGGCAGCAGACTACAGTGCTGGCAAAGAGAGCTGCTTTGAGACTGGTGGTGATTTCCCCAATAAGTATGTAGCCCTCCAGTTGGATTCCAAATCCTACTAGTACAGCCAAGGCCAGGGATGATGGGAACTGTAGTCTCTTCCTACAGGACTACAGGACTGGCAAACTGTCTCGGCTTATGAAATAAGCAGCACAGCCAAACTATAGATTACACAGCAGATACATGCAACTGTCTCCTGGGAGAGGCTTTTTCCAAAAGCAAATGAAAAGCAACTATAGAAGTCTATGAGCACAAGAAGGGAGGGCTGCTGTTGCTGAATCTCTTTCCTTCCAGCTGTTTCTCCATCCAAAACACCCTCCTTCATGGGAGAAAGACACCGTGCAAGATGGGGTGGGGTTGTACTTTGAAAGGGAAAATGGCAGGAATGGGGTTAAGCAGCCACTCCCCAAAACTGCTTTTCATTTTTAAAAAAGAAAGAAATGGTAGGTAATAGAATCAAATTTACGTGAAGCCAAACAAATATTAAAAATTAAGGAAATGGGGTGAGGTGGGGGGTGAGGAGAAGAGACAAGGCCCAGAGGAGACATACCATAAGACGACAACAAAAAACACTGTTCAGATGGGGGGGGTTACAAATAATAAAATTATTATTATTATTCCCAAACCCATAAAGCCAAGTTTCCATATTTGCTCCACAACTTCACAAAAGAGGCTGGATCCTATCCCACTTGCTTCCCTCCCCCTGCCCCCACTTACTCGTGCTTGCCAATGGTGAGGGGTGGGAGGCCTGGCTCTGGCGGGCAGAACTGCATGCGTCCACAGATATCACGGAAGTCCTGGTTCCGCCGCTCGTACTCCTCAGTGTGGGCTGCCAGGTGGGCGTTCACGAAGCAGACGGTGGTGTTGTGGAACCGGAAGCGGATGGCCACTCCCCCCTTGTTGCCCTTCATTCGCAGCAGAAGCAGAAGCAGCAGAGGAGAAGCCGGGAGAGAGAGAGAAGGTGGCGACTCTTACTCCCTGCCTGCTATGGAAGGAGCAGGCAGAACAGACTCCAAAGCAACCAGCCAAGACCTCTCTGAAGCAAGCAGGAAGGTGCAAAGAGAGGGCCTACGAAGCAGGAGCAGATAGTGCAACGTCAGAGTGGTTATAGTGTCAGACTAGGATCAGGGAGAAACCAGAGTTTGAATCCCCGCTCAGCCACAAATTCTATTGGATGACTTTGGGCCAGTCACTGCCTCGCAGCCTCACCTACCTCACAGGGCTGTTGTGAAGATAAAATGCAAAGGAGAAGTGTGTGCACCACACTGAACTCTTTGCAGAAAAATGGTACAGTGGTACCTCGGGTTACAGACGCTTCAGGTTACAGACGCTTCAGGTTATAGACTCTGCTAATCCAGAAATAGTACCTCGGGTTAAGAACTTTGCTTCAGGGTGAGAACAGAAATCGTGTTCCAGCGGCGCAGCAGCAGCGGGAGGCCCCATTAGCTAAAGTGGTACCTCAGGTTAAGAACAGTTTCAGGTTAAGAACGGACCTCCAGAATGAATTAAGTTCTTAACCCGAGGTACCACTGTATATAAATGCAATAATAGTAACAACTATTTTTAAAAATTTTTTTAAAAGTTTGGCAAATTGTGGGGGTGGGGTTGAGTTGGGACCCCTCAAAACCTTTTGAGGGTCCAGATGCAGCCCACGTTCTGCAGGGGAGCCTGGTACCCAGGCCAAACAAAGCCCAGAGGCCCCCTCATGTTCATCTCCTGCAAGAGTAGATGAGATGCTGGTGACGGCAGTAAAACCTGAATATTAACAGGCAGCCCACAGCAGCCTCATCACACCCCAGAAAGGATGAGGGGACACCACCCTGCAAGGCTGTCACAGAGAGAGGTCTGGGTGGCCCCAGAATGGCAACAGCAGACTCTCCCCTGCCCACCCCGAGTTTGAGGGTGATGAATACTCACCATCCTCCCCATGATGCCCGTGCCAACCGTCTCGGCCTCCACCTCAGAAACATGCACAGCGAGCTCAGTCCTGATGTAGAACAGCATCAGGATCCCAACAAGCCGGATAAGCTTTACCTGCATGTTAACCAGGGAAACAAAGAGACAAAGGCTATAGAATAATAGGTCTGTAGAGAAGTGACCTCTTGGGGCCATTTAGTTCACACTCCTGCAATGCAGGAATCACAGCTCAGGAATCCCCAACAGATGGCCATCCAACATCTGCTTAAAAACCTCCAATGAAGGAGACTCCACCACCTTACTATCAAAGTCCTTCCTAATGTTTAGTCGAAACCTCCTTTGTTGTCATTTGAGTCCACTGGTTCGTGTCCTACCCCCAAAGCAGCAGAAAACAAGTTTTCTCCATCCTCCATATGACAGCCCTCCAGATATTTGAAGACGGCTCTTATATCACCTCCCAGTCTCCTGTTCTCCAGGATAAACATCCTCAACTGTTCCTCATCAGGCTTTCTTTCCATGCCCTTTATTGGTTGCCCGCTGCTAAAGTTCCAGCTTGCCAATATGCCAGGTGTGACTTCACTGGCTGCTGCCCACATTGCCTGGAAGGAAAATGGAATCCCCCCCCCCCGTCCTTGCAGAAGGCCCCTTTTTGCCTTGCCCATCACCTGTGGACTTGGAGAAGGCATGAGCCTCTTTTACAGTCCTTCACAGGGAAGCAGAGTCCCCTTGTCCCCAACCCCTGCCATTAACCTCTTCTGCAGAACATCCCTCCCCCAAATCATACACACAGAGGGCTGCATGAAGGGGCAGAAGAGCCTCAGGGAGAAAGAGGAGGTAACTGGGCCTTCTCGGCAGCTGAAGCCAGCTCACCTTGGCATACTTGGCCTCCGGGTGAAGGCTCTCGGTCACAGCTTTGAACCATTCCTCTTCTTTTGGCGTGTCGTTGAAGAAAAAGGCCTCTTTGCTCAGGTCAAGCTCCTGGAAGCTGCATTCAAGAGAGCAAACCATGAGCTAGCGGCATACCTTCCCTCCATGGAGAAGAACCCAAGAAGAACCTGCTGGATCAGGTCAATGGCCCACAGAGTCCAGCATCCTCTTTTCACAGTGGCCAACCAGATGCCCTCATGGAAAGTCCTCAAGCAGGAATTGAGCGGTTTCCAGCAAATGGTATTCAGAAGCACTGCTGCATCCGACTGTGGAGGCAGAGCCTAGCCATTGTAAGCTAATAGCCATCGGTAACCCTCTCCATGAATTTGTCCAATCCTCTTTTAAAGCAGTCTAGGTTGGTGGCCAACACTGCTTCCTGTGGCCGCGAGGCACTGCAGGAGCAAGAGACCTCCTCTACCTAGTGAAGCAGAAAAATGAAGGGTCAGTTAAACCAGATGGCGTTCAAGTGTTCAACTGCTCACACACGTGTATCCAAGTGGGCAATGCTCATCAAGAGGAAGAGGAGGAGGAGGAAGACAAGGGCAGGAGGGGATGGCAGGTGCAAATCCCTCCCACCTAGCTCACCGGGTGACCTGAGAGTGAGTCACTGCCTCTCAGACTCGCCTACCTCGCATGGCTGATGTACAGACAGAATGAGGAGGGGATGACCCATGCATGTTACTTTCGCTCCTTGGAGGAAATAAGAGGTGGACGAGAAACATAACAATAAATGGATAAGAAAAACATACCCCACACAGTAAATGTCTGGGGGCTCAGCATCATGGCTCAGCCAGGGCTGGAGAGTCTCCTTGGGCGACTGGCCGTTCACGTTGTATGTGCCCACGAAAAACCTGTCAAGAAACACACAAAATCTTGTTCCAGATCTTGCCAACCACTTCTGCCCCACCAGCACAGGAGGAGGAGGAACTCCACTGCCATTTCTACACCCAGGCCCAGCTGCCCTGGCACCTGAGTGAGAGCCAGCGTAGTGCAATGATTAAAGTGTTGGTCTAGGACCTGGGAAACCAGGGTTTGAATCCCCTCTCAGCTATGAAACTGAGACCTTGGGGGCCAGTCACTGCTTCTCAGCAAACCCTACCTCACAAGGTCGTTGTGGGGATTAAATGAGGAAGGGGAGAAACATGCACCTATGCCACCTTGAGCTCACCGGAGAAAAAGGTGGAGTATGAATGCAATAAATAAATAAATTTAGTAGGCAAATAGCCAAGGGGCTTGCACATTTGTGGTGGAAAAGGCTCAGCGTCATTCCAGGAATCCCCCTAGGGGAAGCGTGGAGCTGCCTTTGCCACCCCACCCCCCACCCCGGGCATTGCTCTCTCAGAATCACCCTTACTTGAAGCCCTGGAGGTATGTGTACTCGTCCTCCTTCTGCAGGAGCTGAGACTTGATGATGGTGTCTCTCAGCCCAAAGGTCTGCATGGACAAGCCCCGCATCTCCTCTGACACCAGAACACTGGAGGACCGGACCATCTCGCTGGTAATGTCATTCTTGGGTTTGTTGGGCCTGGAAATGATAGGGCAGAGGGAGTGAGGAAGATTGGGGAGGGGGGCAGGGGTTGGTTTATTTCAGGTGTTGTTGCTATCGGCAGAAAGAGAAGCCAGGAGCCCCACGCTGGCACAAGGAGGGCCAGAGTGGGGCTGCAACACTAGCCCACATGCATCCCCCTCACTGCCTTGAGTCAGTGCCAGGAGGAAAAGCCCACTTTGTTCTACACTTACAAGTGTTGCATCCTCAAGACAGGACCACTGCCCCCCTTACAGGTCTGCAAGAGGACAGGTGAGGACTGCCCCCCCCCCATTAGATACAGGGTCTTATCTGGCACTTTGGAGTGGCCCAGCTGTGGGCCCAATCCAATTTGGGAGCCTTGCACAAGCACACGGTAGGGGTTGTCCTTTGCTTCCAAATTGCTATAGTACATGTCAGGCAGGTTACTCTTTCAAACAGTGGTTCCCAAAGTGGTGCCCTCTGAGGGGCTGTGGGATTCCCTGCATGGGGGGGGCTAAGAGGTGGGGGGCAGAGAGTGCTGCAGGTGCAAATGACTATCAGACTTAGAAAAGTTGGTAACACTAGATCAAGTTCATTCATTTTGTTGAATTAAAGCAATTAGTTCTAATTGGATTATGAATAAACATGCAATTGTTACTGTGTGCTATTATTATGTTATTATCTTCCTTAGTGGGTCATGCAAACCACTATTCTGAATAATGCCTTTTATAGAACCAAGGGGCCAGTGGCCAGATAAGGTTTGGGAACCACTGCTATAAAGCGAGAAGGAAGAGATAGTAAAAGAAATTTCAGGGAGGTTCTGCTCCTGTTAACTTTTGGAAGTCTGCCTGAGAAAAAGACACTCTCTGAACTGCAATCCAAGCCCGGCAACCCCAGAAGCAAAAGGCACAGAGGCACTCTGACCCCATTACGTTACATGTTTCCAAGGCTGGCTGTGGCTGTCATGTTCAACTTACTTGGGGACGGCGGCAGCAGGACTGGCACCACTTGTGCTGCCCATCTGGTTCATAGCTGGTGGCTGTTTCCCTTTCTGCTTTGGGTCCTCATTCCCAGCAACTCCTAGAAGCGAAGGGAAGCCCATGAAAGCTGTCTGTCTCTGACCAGTGCCTGGGAAATCTCAGCCTGCCCAAGGCTGACTCTCAGAGAAGGAGGAGGCTCCTCCTTATCTCGGCTACACCATTCCTTGGGGTGGGGGAAAGGGCAGGCTGCCAGAATGCTACGCTCCTCACAGTCAGTCTCAGGGATGGCCAAGCGGAAAAAAATGAACACAGCAAGAGGGAGAACTTGGGAGGAAAGCGAGCAAGCTGCCTTTTAGCACAGATCAGAGCCACAGGCCACAATGAGAGCAGAAGCAGCGAGCCCTGTGGGCTAGGGAAGAGGATCCAGCATAGCCAATGGCAGCCTCTCAGATCCAAATTCCTGCTCCTGCCTTCTCCAAGGGATTAATGTTCTGGTCCTACACAAAAGCCACCTTTTCTCTCACCCCTTACTAGTCTGAAAAGCAGGCAGCAGGACAATCACGTGCCCCAGAGAAACGACAATGTCATCTGTGCTTCACGTTACTGGGTTTTTAGACTACTTAATTACAAGTGGTCTTTGACTTCACCTGCAAAAGCACACCCCTCCATCAGCTCCCGAGACAGACAGATGCCAACGGTGTTATTAGCAGATTATCCGAATGCCAATGGTGTTATTAGCAGTTTTTCACATTATGTTTCTTCCAGGCCAGAAGTAGAGTATTAAAATCACGGGGTGCAGGCAAAGCTGCCCATTTTGCAACCCTCTCTGCACCAGATAAGCCTGCCTGAGCAAAGCCAGAAACATCTAAAGTGATTCAGCAGCATGGGGGGGGGGGGGAGGTTGAGTCCACAAATAGCACACGGACACACCAATCACTCACAATCTCTTACATTCCTAGATACTGAGCTTTTGATGGTGCTGTATTTTTGTTTTAAGTCACATTTCAAAGCTCAAGGAACCAATGGATCCACATACTGGGGAGGGGGGGTCTTCCAGGGTACTGAAAAAGAAGTGCAACCACAGTCACAATTTAGCAAACCTTCAAACTTCAGAAGTTTGAATATTTGAAACTGAGTTCTGATTAATGCTTTAGGAACCCTGAACTTTTTTAAACAGCAGGTTAAGCTCCCTCCTAAAGCCCAACATCCCAGTGTCTAAAATGAGGAATACTGTCTGTAAAGAATTTTCTTTCGGTAGACTACGGATCAAGTGTTTGTGAGTAAGCTCCACTTTCAACATCTCTATATTCTTTTGGCTGAAACGGCAACATCCGCTCCTGTTGGTAATCCACTTTCTGCAGGATGACGAAAGGAAGAGGCACTGGGGTGGAGGGAGAGAAACCAGCCGAACTTCTCTAAGGCCAGAAGCAGCCCAACCGCTGCTGCCCTTGCAGACAAGCCCAGGCCAGGCAAGAGCATCGGGTGGGGTGGGGGATTGCACCACCCCCACCCACCAGGAAAGCCTGAAGCCAGCCGTGCCTGGGACTGGGGAAAAGAGCCTTGAAATTGCAACACTGCAAAGAGCTTCCTGCCTCCACATGGAGCATCGCCAGGCAGCAGGTGGGGGCTGCTTGGGCAGAGAAGGAAAGTGTTTGGGGGGGGGGGAACCCCTTAGCCCTGAAGCCCACCGCGCCCAGAGAACATTTTCCCCGCAGGCGGAATGGGCTCCCAGCCAGGAACCAGCAGGTGCTGCTGCTGCTGCTGCAGGAGCAACCAGGGACCCGAGGCGGGCAGGCGGCTGCCTGCCGCCAAAGGATTTCCTGCCGCCGAGCCAACGGATCTCTCCCGACTCCTCCCTGCAGAGGAGCCCAGCTCTCTCCATCCCTTCAGGCAGGGCAAAAGCCGCTTTGGGTGTGTGGAAAATGCAGCCAAAGTACAAGGGTGAAATCCTCCTCCTCCTCCCGAGTAGCTGCCTGCGCGGAAGAAGCGCCAGCCGAGGAAAAGGCGGGTAGCCCGGAGCAGCAGGAAGAGGGCGCGCCTCGGGGCTGCCCCCGCCCAGCCAGCACCTGCAGGGCTGGCCTAGGGCTGCAGCGCGCGTCGGGAAGGGGCCCAGCATCTTCCTTCCCTTAATCGGGCTCTAGTATGGGCGGGACCTGCTGCCACCTCTCCAGACTAGGCAAGTGGCGGCGGCCCAGCTTCCCTCACAACGGCCCTGCGAGGTAGGGCACAGTCTGGGGAACCCCCCGCTCCAGGGAGCTTCCCGCCAGTAGGCTAGCCAGCCGGCCGGCCGGCCACCGCAGGCAACGGCGGGCCATCTCTTCCTCCCGAGTCGCGATCAAGCGCCTAGTCCTCAGCGCGCGCCTCTTCCTACCTGCGCGCCGCAGCCAAGAAGCGCACATCGCCCGGTCTGAATCCCAGGAGCGGCTGCCCACCAGGCCACACCCTTCGCTCGGCTCAGCCAATCACAGTGAGGTTCGCCTCCAGAAACGCCCCCGCCCGAGGGTGGAGCGGATCCAGATCAGCCCAGCGGAGCTCAGCAGCGCCCCCACAGGAGGAATGGCAAGATGCGGACTCCCTCGCCTCGCGCTGCCGCGGCTAAAAATGCCTTGATTCATCGTTGATGGTCATGATCATCACAATGAGCATTTTCTCGCATTGCAAGCGGACCGGCCCCCTCATGCTTTGGGAAGCTCCGTGTGCGCTGACGACCCGCCACATATAATACTGGTCGTGCTAGCAGCTCGACTCCCGCATCTGTCCCGCTGGAGGAACATTAAGGGGCGAAGGGAGAAAGGCTGAAAGAGTCCGATCAAGTGCGCTCGAGCTTCACCGCAGTTGGGAGTGAGAAGGCTAAGGTTTTTGGGAAAGTAGGGGTGGGGGAAGAGATTGATGGATGTGGGAGAGGAAAGTGGCAGCCCCTTGGACTTCTGGGCAGGAAAGGGGGCAGTCACAAGTTCAAGGTTAAGTTCAATGGGTTATTATTAGGATATAAGGCCCTTAACACCTTGGGGCCAGTTTACCTATGAGATTGCCTTACCTCCTGTTCACCCACTCAACCGCTCCAATCTGCAGAACTGGCACTATTACAGATGCCTCATAATAATACCCATTCCACATTTGTAAGAATTCAGTATTTTAGTGTGGCAGCACCTACACTCTGGAACTCGCTGCCTATTGATATCAGGCAGGCGCCTTCACCCTACTATTTTCAGCACCTGCTAAAAACATTTCTGTTTAGACTATCCTACCCAGATATTTATGAAGCTGATGTGAGTTTGAATCTGTTTTTGTTTATAGTTATTTTTACTTCTATTAAGTCTTAAATTATTGTTGTTAATGCTTCCTATTTATAATATTATCCTGGGTTGTTGTTTTTTTGTAAACCACTTTTAGGTTGTTTTGTTTGCAATCAAGCAGTGTGTAAATTTTATGAAATTAATAAATTAGGTAGGAGGAGGACCCCACTAATGGAAGGAGGGGGGTAGAATGATCCACTGTGCTGCACTGAGATATATTTCGGAGGCTCTCTTTCTGGTTAGTCTTTCCACTCAACTACAACAGCACATAGGCAGAGTTTGGATTCTTCCTTCTTGTTGTCTTAACTGTCTGCTGCTGTCTTGTTGCCATTCTGCCCTAGAGTGGCACTGGAGAGTGGGTTTCGAGTCTGGTGGAGGCCCCATTGCACTAGCAAACAAGCACCGGATCTGTCCCACCATGACTAATGCATCTTGCTCACTTGCTCTCTCCAGGTCATCCTCTCACAGGCAGAGGATTTAATTGTTTATTTTATATTCTGACTTATACTCCCCGTGCAGGACGCATGGCAGCTCACAGCATAAATTAAAACATATATGGTATAACTAAGCACAAACAATACAGACATTAAAAACTAACCCTATTACAAACAGCACTGAAACTACTTAAAACCATTTAAAACCACACAAACACACACATACACCACTGCTCAGAAACCCTACCACAACAGCCAGTTAGTGGCCTAAGGCTTGTCAAAACAAAAAGGTTTTTGACTGCTGGCTAAAGGAAAGCTAGCCTCTTGTGGAAGGGAGTTCCACCATCTGGGAGCAACCACTAAGTAGGCCCTCTCTCATGTCCTCACCAAGCATGCCTATGAAAGTCGTGAGACTGAGAGAAAGGCCTTCCTAGGAGATCTCAAAGCCCAGGCAGGCTAATTTGGGGAGATTCAGTCCTTCAGATAGCCTGGACCCAAGCCATATAGGGTTTTATGGTCACAACCAGCATTTTGAACTGCAAACAACCAGGCAGCCTTGTAACAACAGTGGAGCTGTTGTAACAAGGAGGAGCCAAGCTACACCCTTGCCAGCATCAGGGACCAAGATACTTCCAGCTGTTCCTCAGTGGGTTGTTAGACTACTTGCACAACATAGGCTTCTCTAACCTTGCCAAGCTCTGTGACCGAGGGAAGCCCAGGGCTTGGAAGCCCAGACCATATTTCTTATCATGAAATGCAGCACTGGAACGCATCAGTGACAATCTAGTATGGTATATGGTGGTTTGAAGCCTTTTAAAGAATTGGTCACTGTGGCAAGCTCCCATACAAGCCTCAGGACTTCAACACTGACCCCCATTCCAGTCCTTTGCAAAATCAAATGTAGCCCAAACTTTGAGGCCCTCCCATCAGCAACAGAGTCTCGTACCTGCTGGGCTGCAGCGCTTCCTGACCTCTGTCAAGAAAGTCTGTGTCTGGGAACCAAAAGGCAGCTGCACTAGCAAGTTGGCGTCGCTTGAGATGATCTGGACAGTGACATCAGAGCCTATAGGAGAAGGAGAGAGGAGAGCAGCATAAACAACTTTGTGGGCTGACCTTGGGAGAAGCATTTCTGGAGAATAAGCTGCAGGAGCACTCCTATTGCTGCCCCACCACGCAGCAGCATGGACAAACCTGGGCACAGCTAAAGCTACCCAGAAGCCAATGGCTGCATCATTCTCATTCCCCATAAGCGACCATGGAAATATCTGTATTGAAGGGCACCATGCACACTTATAAAATGAACAATATACATATGGACGCAGCAGTGGGGATCAGTGGCAGCACCTTCAGGCAAAGCTCCACATGTGTGCCTAGTACACAAAAACAAGGCAAGTTTTAATCTTTCAAAAAGCAATATTCCAGCCCACATGGGTTACAGAGATTGGCTTTGAAGTGGGTGGTTGGTGAAGTTTCAGAATTCAGAGAGGGTGGGGCAGGAGGAAGGCAGGAGGTGGGAAGGGAGAGAGAAATTAAATAAGAAACAAAGACTTAGTGGAAGCAAGCAGAAGAGCTTATCTCAGTGGGAACTGGCTGGCTTGGGCCTGTGTGTTGCCCAGTCAGTGAATGCTGTAGCATTTCCCAGGTACAACAGTTTGGTTATTTGTGTAGTGTGCAGAACAATCCATGGCCCCCTTGGTGCTGCTCACAGCTCTGCTTGCCAGGGAGTGAGTGAAGCAATACCAGAAAAGAGGGGCAGGCACCATCACACTTCTGGGGAATCATTGTTTACAAGAACCACAGCAGATGCTTACCTACAATGTGCAGGTCATTCTCCCCAGCGACTGTCAAAGGAGAAATTATTATTTTTATTATTTTAGTTATTTATCTGTATCCTGTCTTCTTCCTAGCCCAGGACTCAAGGTGGCTCACACAAATTAAAGCAACACATATAAAATACAGAAAGCTAAAAACATACAAAAGATAGTTTAAAAGCTGCCTGGCAGGTGGCTGGTGGAAATGCCACCAAAGGGGTCCCCCTAAGCCCCCCCCATAAGGCCTGGTCAATGATTATTCATTATCTGGGGCGGGGGTGGCCAAGGGACAGAAACACGGGTGACAACGTTCCCCAAAGAGTGCATCCACTACCTGGCTCTTTAGGGGATCATTCATCCTGGATTCCTCCTACTCAAGTGGGTCAACGGGAATCATTTCAAGCGCCCCGACTCGCGGGGGTGTGGGGGGGAGGAGGCAGCGGAGCCTTCCCTGCAGAGGAATGTGGCAACGAAGTCAATAAGCCAGAAAGGAGAGCTAGCCCTCACCTTCTTCCACGGCAAAGCCGTCCTGCAGGAGCAGGACCTTCTCCAGGCGCACGTCCTCTGCGGTGATGGCCATGCGCCGGTGGCTGTACAGGCAGATCCTGCGGAGACAGAGCCGGGAGACCCCGCGCCCTCGCCATCAGAGACCAGGATCGTGGCCCCAGCACCTCGCCCACCACGTCTCAGCACCCCGGAGATGCTCCTGTCCCAAGCCCGCTCCTCCCTCCGCAGCCCACCACCCCCGGCCCCCTCCTGGGATCCCCAGCGCCCCCTTCCGCTCGCTCCCGGGAACCTGCTCCTCTCCGGGGCCGCGCGAGGCGGAGGAGCCGGGAAAGGAGGAGCAGCAGCCGCAGCCGCACGGAGGGGCGGGGAGGAAGGAAGAGACCCGCCTCCTCCATTCCACGCCCGGCTCCTGCCCTCACCTGTCTCACCTGTCCCACCTGCCCGGCGCGGCGGACTTACATGGCTTTGCCGTGGCTCTCCACCAGGCCCAGCAGCCGGCTCTCCCCACCAGCCAGGAGCCCCTGCACCGCCTGCAGCCGGAGGTCAAGGAAGGGGCCGGAAAGTGCCGGAGTGGCGAGCGACCCTCGCCCCACCCTGCCCCCCCCCGCTGGGTCCTTCCCGGGGCGGCCCCCAAAGGATACGACCAGGCAGGTCTCCCCCGCCGAGAGCGCTTCCTGGATGGGCACCGACTGATCCATCCTGCGCGGATGGCGGAGCAGGCGGCACTCCCAGCTGCTGCTGCAGGAGGGAGAGGGTCGCCCGGACCCGGCCGGCAGCCCCCGCCGCAACCGGGGAGCGTCAGGAACCGAGCCGAGGAGGAAGCGGCGGCGCTGGAGCCTGCAGGCCTCTTTCCTTGAGCACGGCGGGGCGGGGGGAGAAGACGGGTCCCGCCTCCGGCCTGGCCGCGGCTGCCTTGGCGGCTCCGGCCTCCCGGGCGGGCGCAGGAAGGCGAGAGGAGGAGGCCGCCGACGCATGGGCGCTCCCAGGCCCCGACGAGGCGCGGGAAGGGCGGCTCCGGGCTCCTGCCACCGGCCTTCCCCCCACGGAGCGGCTACTGCCCGGGCTGCAAACCCTTTCCTTGCTCGACGGACTCGCCGAAGCTAGACACCCACCCGCCCCGTCTGCTGCCAGTTGAGCAAGGCAGCGCAGCTTGCCACTTCCCTAAAATGATGCTGCCAGCTCCCCCTGGAAGGTGCAGCCCCCCCCCGCCCCTCAGTACATAGTGTGGCCGCCTGAGAAGGCCCAGGACGGCAGGCGACCTCCGAAAAGCAAGGAGGCGCCTCATTGATCAGCCGCTGATCTTGGCAGCTACCGGTACCTGTTGCAGTGATTGCAAAAACCTTGGGTGGTTTTTCTGCCTCTGTGAAGGAGACACGGTGCAGGCCCAGGGCAGAGACATGGACTTTAAACACACACACACTGCTCATCTAGTTAAATAGATTTATTTGCAATTTTTAGGCAAGAGAAACATTTCTGATACTAGGAGTGGGGCGGTGGGTGGAGAACGACAGGCAGCCCAGCGAGAAAGTGGGTCCCTCATTTAAGGCAGCAGCTAAGATCAGCCATGGCAGCAAGGACCTTTAGGTGGGATAAGCAACCCCCCCCCTTCTCCCTTGGCCCATCACCCCTGCAGAGCCAGAAGGGGGTTCACAGAGCCAGCTAGCAGGAAGCCAGGAGAGAGCAGGGTCACGCTAGTTTAAAGAAGAAGGTGGGGGGACTCTCCCCCTTTCCTTCACCTCCCTACCCTGATCAGAGGCTTTCTGTACAGCCCTTGGGACTCTGTCAAATAACAGAAGGGAACCTTCAGCTTTCTGCAAACCTGAAACGGTCTCAAAACAGATAAATAGCTGCTCCTGGATAGATAGGACACCCTCCCCTATTTAATCCAAAAGAGAATTCCTGTCGCTTCTGTCACTTGCCCCCAGGATCAGGCTTGTGACCTGCTGGCTCCAGCTCAGATCTCCTGCCATCTTTCAGACCAGGGCAGAGGGAAGGAAAGTGACTCTTGATTATGTAGGTCTGAGCTAAATTATTATTATTATTATTTATTTGATTTATATATCACCCTTCATCGCAAGCTCACACAGCCCAAAGGTTCATAAATCACTTGGCCCTGGAAGAAAGAGGAGGAAAGGGGGGAAGGCATTTGTTGGATGCCTCGTGAGAAAGGCCCAAAGCAAGTGGATTCCCCAAGGCATAGAGAGAGAGAGAGAGAGAGAGAGAGAGAAGGGAGAGTTGCTTTTTTGCCACCACCTAAGGACTCGAACAGGCCAGCTCAGCTTCAGTTGTGCCCGGCCTAGAACAGGAGAGCATAGTTCAGGCTGAGGACGGCTGCACACACCAGCAGCTGGAGCAGGGGGGTGAGGGCTGCCACCTGCTTGGCCCCATTGAAGTGCACTTTGCCATCCAGTTTCAGGCAGCTGGTCTTGGGCATCGCCGGGCAGCACTCCTGGTAGCAGGGCACCTTGGACCCCGCGGAGCAGGGCGGGCCAGCCGTTTTGCAGACTTTGCTGCATCCAGCCACAAAGTGGGGGCCGGTTTTCTTCATCTGGAAGGAGAGAAAGGAGCACGTGTTGGCCCACACAAGTAGCAGACACAGGAACCAGCTGGCTGCTTTTTCAGGCGTTGGTGCTGTGTGGGGGCCCAGTATCAAGCAGGGTGCCTGCAGAGGGCAGCTGGCACTCGGGGCTGCCGATGGGGATTTGGCGGGCCTCCCCCTTTCTTCCTCAGACTTCAGATCTCTCCTAAAAAGCAGACTTCCATTGGATGCTCCACCACCCATTTAGCTTACTATTCTCATTTCAGAATCCTCACGGCAGCCATCAGGGTGTGCATTTGGCCACTGCCCAGCCCTTTCCAGTTTGCCTTGTGGCACCTGCTGCTCTCTTGAGGCACGCAGCTCCTGCTGGTTTGTAAGGAGCTTACAAGGCTCAAGCTGCATTCTGAGGCACTGCAGCAACAGGGCTCCATTCAGAGGGCAGAACAAGGGCTTGGGCGTTTGGAGGGGAGTGTTATCATTTCAGGAACGTTACCTCGCAAAAATCAAAGCCCACAATGCAGCCAGCTGCGTGCTTCTGTCCCTTGTAGCATCCTTCTCCATGGCAGGTGAAGCTTGAGCACACTTTCCCCTACAGAGGGAGGGAGCAAGGGAGGAAAGAGAGGCAGGCCATTGAAATGTGGACACCAGGGCTGTGCACTGGATTCAGCCAAATCCCCAGACAAATCAGGACTGTTCAGAAGGACGCAGGCATTTGTCAAGTTGGGTTCAGACAGTCACACATCTCTGCAGGTTGGACTGGATGGCCCAGAGCCATCTATGGCTGTCAGGAAGGAAGGAGAGGCGGGCAAGGCAGACAAACCCCACAAAAAAGCCCAGACTTTTCTGGGAGGAGGTGGGCCCAACTTCTTTCCTGTCTCCAGGGATCTCCCCCTCTGCTCAACAGCTCTTCAATTAAATGATTGATCCAATGTGTGTGTGCACCACTGGTGTTGGGCAGGAGGGAGGACATAGGAAAAGAACCAGGATCCCATTTCCCACTCATCCACCAACCCACCCACTCTGAGGATGCCACCTGCCCTCTTGCCCCGCCAGCAAACAAGCCATCCCTGCCAGAACATGAAGTGACACCTACATTTTTGGGGGGTGCTTTGGTGGTGGTAGTGGTGGGCGCCGGCGTGGTGGTGGGCGGCAGGTCACCTAGAACAGACATGAGAGATGGAGGAGCTGGCTGAGGCCCCCAGGACCTCTTGACCGACGGGAGAAGCTGTCATGCCAGACTGGCAGGTCAGAGAGAGGCTGGCTGCGGGCTGAAATCCTGCCCTTCAGCTGCTCCAGGGACTGAGTCCCCAGAGCCAAGAAAGGCCTCTCTGAGAAGGCAGCTCTGCCCAGATGCCCCATAGGTCAGCTCAGCCTCCCCAGGGAGAAGGAATCCTGCCAAGCAGAGCATCCTAAGAGACCTCCCATTGGAGGAGCTTACCGTAGGCTGTAGCGTTGAGGAGCAGGCAGTTTGGGGAGCTACAGCACTCCATTGAACACAAGTTCATTCTGATGGTGCCATTCTGCATGCACATGTCGGTGCCGTTGATTCCCCCACACTCACTGCTGCACCGGGCTGTGTAGCTGGTAGTGTTGAGGCGGAAGAGCTGCAAGACCCACCAAAGAGTTAGCAGGGCAAGGCTGACAACTGACCATCGCTGCATTATGATCCATGCAGAGAAGCAGGAGTGGCTGGACCCCACAGCCTCACCTTAGCTGATCCCCCCCCCACTTGTAAGGACACAGTCCAGGATGGAGGCCAAGGCCACCCACAGTCCTTTGCAGCCTCTTCGGGGGGGGGGGCTTTATTTTATTATTATTATTGGTTTATATACTGTACCACCCTTCAAGATCTTATGGTGGTTCACAGGATAAAAATACAAGGTAAAAACACAAGTCAATAGTTAAAACAAAAACATCAGAACAATACCTCCCAAACACATTTTAAAAGGCTATAGAGTATTAATCAACTTTATAAAACCCAGAAAATACGAATACAAAATACAAATTGACATATAACACTTTAAAACTGTTTAAAACAACCCCGCACAAATAGGCAACACCTCTTGGCTCCCTACCTCGCAGTGTGTTGCGTTGTGGCAGGTCTCTGTGTTGTTCCCATGAGCTTCGTCATGGTAGCATCGCTCCCCGGAACACTGGAAGCTCTGGCATGTGAGCTGCAGAGGGAGATGGAGCTAAACCTTCATGGCAAGAAAACTAGACAGCTGCCCTGGCCTCCCCAGGCCAAGCATCCTCTGCCCTAGTAGCACCTTTCACCTGCGACCTGGACCTAACCTGCCACCTCCACTTGGGCCTCCCAATTGAATCATTTCCTGGTTCATCTCTCTCACATACAAACCTGCCCAATGAATACTTCCATCTGCAGGACGTCCCTTCTCACCAAAGGGCTGCAGCCAGCCAGGAGCAGACACTCCATGCCTGCCCCCCACCCACACATTCCCAGTCCATCACCTCCAACTGGGAAATGCCCAACACACACCCCCCACATACAGCAGCGTCATGATGGGTCAGTTTCTTACGTTCATCATGCCTGTGCTGTTCGCTGAGCTGCTGGGGACGAGGGGTGCTCCTGAAATGGGCCCAGGCTCTGAAAGAGGAAGCAAGAGGTTAGTAAATCCCTTGGTGTGCAAGCCAAGGAAGTCTCTGCTCCAGCTAATGGTTTCCTGAGTGGAGCAGAAGCCTTGACTGCAACTGAAGCCATGCTTATGTTTCAGGAGCTGCATATAGGAAAGTGGCAGGAAGTTCCAAGGATCCGCCTCTTCCTCGGCCTGTGCCCCAGGGGCTGTGCCCTACACAAAACCTTCCCCTTCCCAGCACATAGCCAGCCAGCCAGCCAGCCCTCTCACCTGCCAGTATACAAGAGTTCCAAGTGCTGAAGTGCAGAACAACCCAGAGGAGAAAGATGCCTGCAGATGGAAAAAAGAAAGACCATGTTTGTTTGTTTCTTGAAAGGCAGAGAGAAAAAGCACCTCTGTCACCCACAGCTCACTGTAGGAGACCATCAGACAATGTCCCATCAAGTCACTGATGGATCCCACTGCACACCACTGTTCTTTAGGGCAGTGGCGGAGCTTCATGCTCCGGCACCGGGGGTGGAGAGCAGGCGGGGGCATGGCTGGCACACGTCCGGGGGGCATGGCGCACTGCCTGCGGGGGTGGGCAGCCAGCACGGGGGGGGGGGCAGCCATGATGGCACCCCACCAGGATTGTGGTGCCGGGGGCGGTGCACTCCCCCCTGCCTCCTCTTCCTCCGTCAGTGCTTTATGGTGGGGCTCTTGTTCTTTTACCAGATGGTTGGGCAAGCAGAAATCCAACAAACAGCCACTCCCCAATACTACCCCGGTTCCTCTGACTTGCTCAGGAGACACTCTGTGTCTTCCAAATATCACCTTTGCCAAGGAGCGAGTCACATGTCAGGCTGTCACCTCTGCCAGAAATTCCACCACAATGAAGCCTCTTACCCTGGGCTGGGAGAATCCAGTGGTTGTTGGGACATGCCATCTCGAGCCAAGGGGATCTAATCCTGTAGGACCCTGCAGAGTGGGCAACAGGGAAGGAACATACAGTATGTATGTGTTTCTCAGATTTCTCAGCACGCACACCCCAAGCACAAGGAGGCAATGCAAGCAACCCCTAAACTCAAGACAAAGCTGTAGAAAGGATCCTATACAGGGTCTTGGCAGGACCTATTTCAGCTCACTAGGAGCAATGGGTCGAATGAAGCAGGGGCCCTTTGCACATTCCTCTGTTTTGGTCTTCTCATCCAGGTAATGAGGCTGTGTAGTCACTGGCTAGGAATCTGATCAGGGCATCAGCTGTGCCCACAATAGTCAGGAAGGCGGTGCCAGTGGACCCTTTAAAAGTGGCTCACTCAAGAAGAAAAGGCAGAAGGAGATGCTCTGGACTGCCAAGCCATTTTCTCCACCTGGCCAGTATAGTTGGAGCCAGCTGGTTCGCCCCAGTGCAGGGTATCTGGATCTGGTCACAGTCTGCAAGGACAGAACTTGAGCTGCCCCAAGTACTGTAACATCCACTGGAGGGAGTCTGAACAGAAGACATTACCCCGGCCTTCCTGGGGAAAGTCAGCTGAGTCTTTCTCTATGAGAGTGATTATGGACAGGCTGCTGTTCCCCGTCCCTCACAACAGCTTCACTGCCTCAGGCTGTTGCTAGATCCCAGCCCTGCAGCACCTCCCGGAACAGATGCTGCCAATTTTTAGCCATGAAGTGCTAAACAAACCCAGCAAAAGGAGAAGACCCGCACGGAAGACCATCCCCCTTCCCCATTATTTCTGTGTGGTGTCATCTGTGTGCCTGATGCTTTTACAGGAGGGCAGAACCTTCCCTTGATGAGCTTCCAGTCTTAAATATGACCACAAAGAGGAGAGCAAGCAAGCTGGATATGCCTCCGTTTTGGCTGCATGGCCTTGGGCTTCATTGCAGAAAGCCAGGGATGGGGTTTTGCAGGCAGGCATCCTGGGAGGCAGCTCCAGGCATGCAAGAGGAGCTGCTGGAGGGAGGAGACCTTGGGATGGCTGAAGGCTGTGGAAAGGTCACAGGCAGAGAGGCCTTTAGCTATGAGAGCAGCAAAGGGATAAGGCCATGCCAGGCTCTGCAGGGGGGTGCATCCTGGATTTGGAGCAGACAGGGAGCCAGTGTAGAGACGGGTGGAGTGTCACTTTCTGGTAGTCAGAGTGACATGGTGAATGTTTAGTTGGCAGTGTGCTAGAGACGAAGCGGGGACAAGATGAGAGTTGACAGTGGGGGGATACACCGCAGGAGTCATAGGAGCTGCAGAGAAGCTGAGTGAATTATTTGCAGCTCTCTTCACGGCAGATAGCGTAGGGCAGTTCCCGGTGCCTGAACTAACCTTTGCGGCAAGTCTAATAAACTAAGACAGATAGTGGTGACGAGAGATGACAATCTCTCATCATAAAAGGAAAACTGCTGGACTAAATGGGCCAATGGCCTAATCCAGCAGGCTCTTCTTATGTAGTTTTGCTATGTTTTAAAGGAAAAGGCACAGTTACCTCAACCTAAGGAACTTCCTTGACAAAAGAAAGTGAGTGCCAATTTGGAGCATCAAGTTGTGCACATTGAGGTGCATTTTTAGTAACTGCCAAGCTTCTTTTGCTCAGAGACTCAGCAAAACCTAACACTGAGCAAGTCTTAGGGAAAGTCTGTCTGCTTTTGATTGTGAACTGATGGATGGGGAGGGGGTGAGCAGCTGCAGCTCTGGATCACTTTATCTATTGCTGGGGGTTGGATTAGGTGACCCTTGAGGTCCTTCCAACTCTACAATTATATAGTTCTATGATTCTCCTACAATTAGCCTCATGCATCTTATTCCATGTGAAGCTTATTCCAGATTCTAAGAGGACAGGAAGTGCCATTATGGGTCGTTGCTGGTATAGCCTTTCCCCGCAGTGTTGGAAGACACCCCCCAACCTCCTCTTTGGGAAATCTTGCAATGTCTTCTTAATTAAAGCAAGTAATTAAAGCAGTTAATATATCTTCATCAGCTTTATAAACTACCCTAAACGGAGTAATGTTTATTGGTAAGACTTTCATTAAAGGGTAATCATTTTATGTCTCTATTCAATACTTATTTTGTTTCGAAGACACATAGCGTGACTATTCCCAGGGGGCTTAGCAACAAAATACAAAGGATTTAACAAGTAAACCCCAAGAAAAATGGGGGGGGGGCCAGCAGGACAGAATACTTGCTTAATGCAGGAGCATAGAAAAATCTAACAAGCAGAGTTAGCAAGTCAAAAGCAGAATGAGAAAGTCTCTGACTGGTGCAGAAAACACACCAGAGTCAGCCATGGGCAAGCCTCCTCCAGCGAGCACATTCCTGTAACCAGAAGTTGCCCCTGCCTCATCTCTAGGGCACCCCCATTATCTGCGCTGGGCATATTGGCAGGTTTGCGCAGGATAAATTCAAGGAGTCCATACCATCTGAAGCTTCACTGGTCCACTGTGGGACCTTGACTTGTGCCACCAAGAAGAATGACCACCAGTCAACATCCTGCAGAAGATTCCTACATTCCCGCATTGCAGGAGGTTGGATGACCCTTGAGGTCCCTTCCAACTCTACAATTCTGTGATTCTATTATCTGTTCCCACCAGCAACAACGGCTCTCGCACTGAGCATTTGGCTGCTCTGTGTCTCATTCCCTGGTCAAATCTGCTTAGCCTTTAGCCTGATAACCCTCCAAGGCCTTGATCTCTTGTGGTGCTTCGTTAAGGCCATTAAAGCAGCTGCTGGTGAAGTGGTCAAAGGGGTAAGAGCACTTGCAGCAACAAGTACAAAGACCTAAGAAGGCTGTGGGCTGAGTTCCAGGAACCCCTGCAGGTCCCCAAGCAGCGGCTGCCATGGAGACTGGAAAATGACACGCCCAGAGGCCCAGGGCTCCTCGCTAATGACATGTGCCGTTGGCCCAGCAACCCTGTGTTTGGTTGAGCCCCAGAGGAAAAATGGGAAAGCTGTAGACAGGCATCAAGGACAGAAACCCTCAAGAACAGAAGCCTATATCCTACCAGCACCTCCGGCCAGCCAACCCACACCCAACAGTCAGCAAAAAACCTTGTCAGCTCAGCCCTGGGTCATCCCCACCACTCTTGACACCACTGGAAGCTTGGGGGACACAGCTGAGCCATTAGTTGAAAAAGTGGGGCCTGGGCTCTTCCCTAAAGGCATTGCATATCTGAGAAAGATACCAGAGTTTGGATGATGAAGTGCAGCCCATTCACTTTCCCAAAATAGAGGTCTGCCAGAAAGGAACTGAACACCAAAGCTCACACCACAATGCTCTGTGTTCCTTTGCTTGGTTTCAACCCTCTTAGAACCTCAAGAAAGCGCTTCAAATTCAAGGGAGTCCTCAGGAACCAAAGCATGTGAGTTCTAATCCAGAAAAATGTACAATCCACAGACCATCCTTCCAGCTAAGGAGCTGGAGCTTGGTACGGTTTGGGGAATGTCTTTTCTTTCAGAGGGCCTCCACCCCACCTGATCGCTGCTCGCTCAGGATCCCATCGTACGTTAAGGATGCAGGTTGAGGAGCCAACTCTGCTTCATCCAGGGATGGATTGTCTCACTCAGAAGCCCAACTCAATACATTTAGAGGACCAGTCCCCTCTGTAGCAGGCAGGTCTCTCATACATACACACTCTCAAACATGCACCCCCCCCCCCCCCGCCTTCCTTAGCTAGTCCCCCAAAGGAACCCACCAGCTGCGCTCACTTACCTCGCCCTAGAAGCCTGTCTGAGCAATGTCTTCCTCTTGTGCTGGCAGAAGAGGTGCCCCTTGGGGAGCCCTCCTCCCCGCCCAGGCAGAGATGGCACCAACCAGCAGGTAGAGTGGAGTGGTGGGAGAAAGGAGGGGTTTGCTCCCATGATGCTCTGGGCAACCGAGGGCTGCTCTCCCCACATGGGGCCCAGAACACATGGCGGGATGAGGCACAGTCACCAAGGCTGGCTTCAGGGAGTCTTTGAGTAAAGGCATCAGAGCACTTAAGATAATCCTCATAAAAGATGGGGAAAGGAGTTCCAGCCTTCCCAACAAAGACTGTATGCTGTTTACAATAAGGATTCTAACAATTCAAGCTTTTCAGGCAGAACTCTGGTATCAGAAAGACCTGCCTGTGCCGCTCAACAGCTGGAAGTACCTCTCCACCTATGAAACATCTTGCAATGGGACAAAAGGTTAGGCTGCTGTGGAGAGGGGCACTACTTGGGGGGCAGGTCCACAATACTGATTGGCATAGACTGGTGTAGGTGAACAGAGATAAATTAAGGTGGTGGGGGTGGGGGGTCTCACCAGCAATGCAAAGAAATGAAAAGGATGGAGTGGAGTGAAGGGGCAGGAGACTTGGAGTATTTGGGACCACTCCCCTCATACTACCCCTGGGGAGAGGGGACTACCCTTTCTTTTTTTAAAAAAATCAGTCTTTAGAGTTGGCTAAGCTTGGAAGAGTCAATAGGAGGATTTTAGATTGTTCTGAGACAAATGGCCAGGGAAGGCGTCTTTGGGATGGAAGCGGGGAGAGACTACCAGCTTTGAGGATGGAGCAGCTGCCTTGCTAAAAGCCGCAGCTAGGAGGAGGCAAAACCTACATCCCACCCTTTCCTAGAGACCTCCTCACCTGGGCGATGCATTGCAGAAACTTGGCAGAAACAAAAACCTTGCCAGACAAAGTGCAATGGCCACTTTGGGGAGGACTGAGAGGGAGTTTCTCAAAGAAGAGAGTCTGGGTGTGTGTCTAAATGCTGCCAATACAGTTTATCAAGAAAGGGAGTCTGTGTGACTGTATATAAATGCTGCTGTTCCATTACAAGTCTAGGGTTGTTCCTGAAGTGAGATGGAATAGGTTCTAAACTTAGCCCCCCCTCCCCATGCCAGAACACCCCAAATCTCCCCCAACCAGGGCACCCAAGAACACAGCTCAGCCAAACCGCCCTCCTCCCACTTCCAATCAGGCTGCAGCCACCCCCAGGTGCCCATCAGGGCCTCGCCTTCCTCGGGCAATTACAGCAACAAATCCATCCCAATTAGGGTAATTAGCCACGCTCTCTGTTCCCAGCAGGTCTCTGGGGTCCTTGGGTAGCAGCAGAGAAATAACAAGAAAAAGAGGAACTAAACCCAGGGAGAAGAGAAACACAGAAAGCTGCCTTATACTGAATCAAGACCATTAGTCCATCTAGCTCAGTACTGTCTGCACTGACTGGCAGCAGCTCTCCAGGATTTCAGGTGGGAGTCTCTTCCAACACAACCAGAAGATGCTGCAGGAAACTGAACCTGGGATCATCTGCTTGCAAGGGAGATGCTCTAGCATTGAGGTGTGGTCCTTCCCCAAACAGAGACAGAAGATACAGATGTTACATGTGGTGGGTCATGTTATGGTATTCCCTTGCGGCTTGCCAGAGCAGCCTCCACCGCCACCACCACTGCAGCCACCTTGGATGGTTTTACCTCCTTTTCCAACTGGATTGCAACCCCCTTGTCGCATATGCATGAGGCCTGCATGGGCATGCCTGTCCTTTCCACCCAGCAACTCCCTGCCTCAAAGCCACAATAGCTGTTTTCCAAAGCAAATGGCCCTTAAGACAAGTGTTCTGCTCAGAGGGAAAGGTGCATGGAGGCATTAGGACCCAGGAGCTGGAAGCAGTAGCAGGATATTTACCAGCAGCTGCTGAAGTAGTGGGTGGGTTTGGGGAAACCTAGTGAACACAATTGCCTGTCACAGCCAGGCCTTGAGTAGCTGCAAACAAAGGCACTTTCTTCTTTTCCTCCCCGCTCAACTGAAACAGAAACGAGCCTAGTGAACTACAAGGAGGGACAAAGGAACAACCCTAAAATCATAGAGCAGTGGAGTTGGAAGGGACCCCAAAGGCTTGAGTTCAAACCCCGCAATGCAGGAATCGCAGCTAAATAATCCCTGGCAGATGGCCATCCAATCTCTTCTTAAATATATCCAATGAAAGAGTCTACCAGCTTCTGAGGGAGTATTTTGGGAAGGGAAAGTTCAGCTCTGGCTTAGTTCTCAGTGAGGGACTGAATCTGTGCCTTGTGTCCCACTTCTAGTGAACAAGGCTGCATAATGTGTGAAAGAAGCTGGGAGGAAGCCTGAACGTGTCTATCAAATAAGGCTGCAGACCACACCAGGTGCCCATTCCTTCTGCCTTTAAAACTAAGGTTTATTTTTTATGAAAAAATTGTTACAGGAATCATCACCCTGTGAGCTCTAAGTGTCCTTGAAGCACCCGCTTCCATGGAGGAGGGAAGAACAGGCACACACGCAACATGGGAGGTCTGGGGTGGGGTGTGTCGGGCCAACGTCTCCTCTGATCACAGCAGGCCTTGGCGCTTCAGATCTTCGTAGGTCTTCTTGTTGACCACGTTCCCACTGGAATCCTCGTATTCCTCCTAGGTTGACAAAGAAGCCCAAGTGTGGGGAAAACCAGGAGAGCAGTACCAGGGCCCTAAGGTGAAGGTCTCCCCTACCATGGAGACAGCAAATCACTGAAACCCAGAAGCTGCTGCCACAGGTGACAGAAGCCTCTGCAGGCATCCTGCCACTGGGGGAGAAGTGGAGCGGCATCGGCCTCAAGCGGCAAAATGGGATGCGCTGCCTCTGCTGAGACTCTCTGAGGAGCCAATCTAGTCCAGCCTCCTTTGGCCAATCAGATGCTTCTGGGAAGCCCTGAAGCAAGGCAGGAGAACAACAGAGAGCATTCCAGCACCCCTCTATGCTGCAACTGAATATGGAGGCTCCACTGAGCTGTCATGCCCTGTTTCTGACATTCAGCCCTGAGCGCTATTGCTTATGCGGCCGAAACACCCTCACCCAAGCACAAAAGGAAGGAATCTGTAGCCCAGGGAGAAACCAATGCACAGAAACATGTTTAGACCAATGAAACCCCCCAGCCAGTTAACTACATGCTGGGAGTGGGGCAGGAACACACAACAGATACTTGTGTAGGAGGGGAAATAGGGTGGACAGTTATGGCGGAAACAGCCAATCTGGACATGGGAGGAGCTCCACTCCACCCTGCGACATTTCAGGGCAGGCTCCCCTGGTCACATGACTAGTAACAACCAATAGTTATTATCCCCCTTGACTTCAGTGGGCTTTGCTAGCCAGCGCCAGCCTTTGCAATCCCTTTGCTAAACATTGGGGACCTCGGTAGAATTTGGCATGGGGACCAAAGCACACACCACTAACCCCCGGCCTGGTCCTCCCAGTCCCATTCCCAACAGACAACGGCAAGGGATGTCCCAACCCAGCTTACTTCTGTGTCCGGCTGCCACCTCTCCGAAGCCTTCTGTTGCTTCAGCTTTGCCCACACTGTAAACACATATGCACAAAATGTCAGAGGCGACTGTCAACTGCTAGCTCCCAGTCACAACCGAAGATACCCAGGTGGAAGGATAGCTGCTACTCTGCTTGGGGAAGCACCAGAAGCCCCGCACCCCTGCCCAACCAGGGGTAAAGGATCAGGCTCCTGCCACACTACAAGTTGCCCCTCTGAGAAGCTCCACCCACCCAGTCACTCTGCTGATCCTGGCACATCAGCAAAGAGGTAAATAAATCACACAAGCCGGCAGCTGACAGAGCAGGCCCATCACTCTGACAGGATGGCCCCCACCCCCCACAATGTGAAACTGGCAGCCACAGGCAAGCCCAGGGCCAGGAAGGCAACTTATGGCTACTTACATGAAACAGCATCTTCAATCTGTGTGACGTTGGCAAAGTGAGCTGTGTTGGGGATGCCCAGGCATCTCATTCCATGGGCGTGGCGCCATTCCTATGGAACACAGAGGAGCATCAAGGCTTGGCCATGACGGAGCAAAAGTGCTCGGGGGCGGGGGCAAAGAAGATGCTGGCTTATGCCACTGCCCTCCATGCAGAACTGCCACACAACCTGGGTCTCGAATAGAAAGCTAAGCTAAAAAGCAGCCAGTTGGGAAGGGTCCCCCCCTCCACTGCACAGGGGGGCTCTGCAAGTGTTAAGATTCAAGGGCTGCTGCCTAGCAAGAGCCCTGAACCTCATGCAAGCTGATAATTTGTTCCGAGGCCCAATCAAACACACACACTCCCCAAACAAATATTGTGGCACTTTCCAGTGTCCTACCGCAAAGTGTCGTTGGAAAGCTTTGGGCCCACGGTAGGTGTAGTTCCCACAGATCTCACAATTGTAGTTGATGTTCAGGCCGTGGAGCTTATACAGCCAATAAGGGATGGGCTGGAAGGCAAGGAGGTGGGGGGGGGGAGGAAGAGAGAGTGAGCACACAAAGCAGTTGCTTTCTCCCATCCCCTGGGGTGTGCTGCGAGCCCCACAATGAGCCGGGCTTACTTTGCCATCCCACCCAAGTGGCAAGTTCTTGGGGTTGTAGATGATTTCGTTCTCTTCGTCTTCACTCTCACTCTCGCTGATCTGTTCCTCCTCCTCCTCCTCGCGTTCCTCACCAGTCCGTGCCTGCTTGCGCTGCACATTTTCATGAGTCAGCTGCCGCTGCTCCTACAATGGGTGGGAAACAGAGCCAGTGAGTACAGTAGGAGGCCTACTGAACCACAACAGAACCCCAATGGCTAGGGAGAAGGATGGGAGAGAGCTTACCCCAAGAATCTCCACATGCTCATAGATCTGAGCCTCCAGGAAAGCCAAGTCCTTGTTCCTCTCAGTGTCCCTGTCAAGGAAACAGCTTGATGAAGGGATAAGGATACACACACCCCACCCCACTTGCAGCGCCAAGAGGAACCACATGGGTCGCACAGCTCAGGTTGCTAGTCAAAGCTAAGGCCAAGGACAGCATCTTTCCCACCCAGCCACTGACAGAGAAGGAAGGAAGCAAGGAGCTGCCCCTCTGCAGGAAGGTGATCTGAGCAGGACATGTTCAACTTCACCCCAGCCATGTGCCTCACCGCTTGCTCCCCTTTGTCTTTGGGTTCTTGGCAAAGAGAGAAGGGTCAAGGGCCTCCAGAGACTTGCCCTTGGTGCTGAACAGCCTCTGAGCACGTTCTTCTAGAGTCCTGGAGAGGAGGAAGAGAAGAAACGCATTATGTGCTTGTATCTCCAGATCCGGATAAACCCAGAGCTCATCCAAACAACCAGACCTCTCATGTAAGAACGTATGAGCCTGCTGGATCCGGCCTGTGGCCCATCAAGTTCAACACCCTTTTCTCACAGTGGTCAACCAGATGCCCCAGTATGAAGACCACAGGCAGGAATCGAGTACAAGAGCACTCTCCTTTCCTGTGGTTTCCAGCAAAGGGTACTCAGAATCATCACTGCCTCCAACTGTGGAAACAGAGCATAGCCATCAGGGCTAGTAGCCATCAACAGTCCTCTCCTCCGTGAATTTGTCTAACCCTATTTTAAAGCCACCTATGTTGGTGGCCATGACTGCCTCATATGGGAGCAAGTTCCTTAGTTTAACTCTGTGCAGCATGAAGAAGTATTTTCTTTTATCTGCATTCAGCTTCACTGGGTGTCATACACAGTGTCCAGCAGCAGCAACAACAACCCACAGCCAGCTCCAAACAAATCCTTTACTTACCCACCACATTTCAGACCCAAAGCCAGCAGTGCAGATTTCAGCCTGTCCAGTCCAAGGGAGGCCAATTCCTGTGGGAGAATGCACAGAGCTGACATGACTTGGATGTAAGTTAACCATCTCCTTTCCCTCATCTTGCCGGGCAATGGGTAGCAGGAACTTAGCCAAAGTCCCTGCACACCACAGACAGCAAAGGCAGTGGCAGCAGCAGCAGCAGCAGCTGTTCTGGAAAGCTCGGAAGCTGCCTTATACAGAGGCAGACCACTAGTCCATCTAGCTCAGTATCGTCTACACTGACTAGCAGCCATGGTTCCCCAGGGTTTCAGGCAGAGTCTTTCCCAGCCCTAAAGAGAGATGTCACTGGGGATCAAACTTGGCACCTTCTGCATGCAAAGTAGGTGTTCTGCCTCTGAGCCGCAGCCCTTCCCCTCCTGCTCCCTTCCCAGCACCAACAAGACAGGCTCACACAGGCAAACAAACCTCCCAGGAAGAAAAAGCTGACAGGTCCAGGTGGGCCCCAGCATGGGTGAGGGCGCTGCTGGTCTCTTTCTGCCAAGAGACAACAAGAGGGTTAGTGGCTCAAGATCCCCCCCAAAACACAGTCCAGAGCTTTGGTGGCCAAATACTTAGAGCTCCTAAGGTGGTTCAAGGAGCCTGTCAGCAAAGACCTGCTCCATGGGACCATGATCTTGCCAAACCTCCAGCTCCCACCCCATCCTGGGCACTGCTCACCGGCCAACCAGGGAAAGTGCCGTTCTCCCACTTCTTCTCAAATTCTGCCTGGATTTTGCCAAACAGCTCATTCTGGTCCAGCAATGGCTTCACTCGGTCTGTATAATCCTGCAGGTATTCCAGGAGCATCTCCAGGTACCTGTAGCAATCATCAAGGGAAGAAAGGGAAGAGGTGACGGCCTCATACTCAAACAATGCTCCTCACCCCACTGCAAGGAGCCCGCCAACAGAGATCCTACACAGAAAGATGCCAAACAAGGTTTATGGTTCTTTCGGCTTGTTACTAAGCCCATGTGGGTGACAGAGAAAATCTGGTCACAATGGCTTTAATAACTTTAGGAGCAGAACACAAAAAATTGCCCAGACTGATAAAGATACATTAGAGGCTTTGGAAGAGTTTAATGTCTGTTTTCTTCCTCCCCCCCGCCCAAAAGTTCTGAGCTCTCACCTCCTGTATTCAGCATTTTTCCTCTCCTTAGGAATGTCAAAAAGCTGGTCAAAAGTGGACAGGTATGTGATATAATCCAATTTCTGCAGAGGACAGGGAAAAAGAGATAATTAACTGTGACTTCATGCAAGATCCCAATGCAGGCACTGATTTGTTTCCTGAATAATCCCTACTTCCTGCTGCTCACCCCCTTAGCTCCATTCCATTAGGTGGAAGAGGGAGACAGAAAGGCCAACTCTATTGGTTCAGCTAGGACCACCTGCCTCCATTTTGCTCTTCCCAGAACTGTCTCCCTGGTTATTAAATATTTCTGTAGCTATTAAGAATTAGTGCTTGAACACCTGTTGCTTGTTCCTTCTCCATTCCTTTTTCCTTCTGTTTGCACTCTAATGCATGCTATACTTGTTGGTGGGCAGGGCCATTTGGGTATAGAACAGAGGACAAGAGATGCTTCCAAATCCTAGACAACCTGGTTGGAAATCTCACCTCTGAGGACTTGAGGTTAATGTACTTGAGATAACAGTCATGCAGGTCCAAGTAGCGGCCATATCCTTCTTCATCAGTGAACTCCACAAGGTCTGCAGAAAACAAATAGAGACAGACAACTCAGAACTGGCTTAATGAGGAAGAGAACTGAATCCCCAGGCCAAGAACCAAAGAGCTTGGCTACAGTGCAGATGAAGTGCAGAAGACAAGCAAGAAGCAATCTTGCAGCAATAGGTCCTCTGCCCATTTGTTCCAACTATCTGGAAAGTGTAATGGGCATCAGAATAGGAGGCCAAGCAAGGGGTTATGCCAGACAGGTTAGATTTAAAACTTACTCTGAGCCTCTTCACTGGGATTCTCCCGGGCCTTCAAGAGCTCCTCAAACTCCACCGACATCGGCACACAAATCTACAAGGGACAGATTACTACAGGTGTTTAGGATTAACAGGCCAGATAATGAACAGGTAATAAATGCAGTGATACCTGATCCAAAATACATTAGACCTTATCCTAGTAGTTAGACAAGACGTGAAGGAAAGAAATGTTTGCAGGAGACAACAGAAGATTAAGGGAACAGACATATTACAACAGTGGTTCCCCAAGTGGGTGGTTATCGCCTCCTGGGGTGGGGTGGGGTTACTTAGGGGCTGCTGCAGATGTGCTTCTACAAACATGTTTTTCGCTTATTTATGATTGACCAGGATAGAGCCTAGAATGAAACACTTTCTTCACTTCTTACTGCTTATTTCTTTTACTTTTATCACTTTTGAGGCAATTTCTGATTGATATCCTGCACTATTGACAATGGTTAAAAAGCTTCTTGTTGCATTTCCAACATCATATTTGGTGGAATGTGATTTTGGTGTAGTCATCCAACTTCTCTCCAAGCAAAGAAATCAACTCTTACAAAGCATGGAGACTTAAGGCTCCTGCAAAGTGACTTTAAAACAGACATTGGGCAATGGATTTCACTTTATTAAGTCTGTCCATCACATTAAGAGTTTACTGAATAGTAAAGTAGTTACTAAATGTGGTAATTAATAATCTTGCTAAATAACCATCAGACTTTGAAAAGCAAGTATTACTGGATCAAGTTCATCAATTCTGTTGAATTAATTAAGATAAATAGCTTAATTGGCTTTTGAATAAGTGTGCAATTAATTGTTACTGTTTTGCATTTTATTGTTATTATCTTCTTTAGTGAGTTGTGCAAACCACTATTCTGAATAATGCTTTTTGTAGGGTAAGGAGGCACTGGAGGTGAATTTATGGAACCAAGGGGGAATTAGAATAAAAAAGTTTGGGAACCACTGCACTACCAAATTTTGGGAGGCAGACAAGGAGAGAAGTTGAACAATTGCCTAAAGGTTTTGGGAAGAAAAGCAATGTGTATTTGGTGCATAAAAGGACAGCATGAAAAGAGGTAGTGGAGATTGCTTCTAGTATGGAAAGATGCATACAGTAAGCAAAGTTCAAACTAGAAAATATAGCATATAGGCTACAGCACAGACAGTCAAGTCACTTTAGCAATACCAGAAGCAACCATGAAATCCCAGGGTCTTCAGACCAAGTAGGGCAACTAGTCAGTGGTGCTACTCCTTGAGGATTCATTACACACACAACCTCACCTCATTTGGGTGTTTCCGATGGAACTCTTTAATCTGCTTCAAACGATTGTAGAACTCAGCAAACTCATTGGGCCCTGAAATGGCACTGAGTTCTTCCTTCCGCAACCTATAGAAAACAGGAGGAGGTAGCCTTTTCAGCTTGGCTAGCAGGATTGCTAGCAGGAGAAAGAAATGAGGGCTCTGGCCTGATTGGTGCTGCACATGGAACAAGGACAACAGCAGTGCATGCTTTCTGGATTTTAAGTGTTCCCCCTTCCCTTCCAGTACCCATTCAACTGGAGGCCCCCACCAGGTCCTGCCAGCTCAAAGTCTGCTGCCCCCTCCTCAAAGAAAGTGCCAGGTAACAAGACCCTTCTTACCCGTCTTTGTCGTCGTACAAGTCTCTCAAGTTGCCGCTCACCTCCATGTATCTCTGGAAAGAAAAGAGGGACAGGGCCCACGAGTCAGCCATAACAGCTCTGGTGGCAGCAGGAGGTGGCTCCCCAAGTTTGAAGGGGCTGGGCTTCATGGTAAAATGGCAGCAGAGCTCCCTGCCCACCTTGCACCATCAGCTGTCCCTTCTGCCTCTCTGGTTGTCTTGAGGCACTTACTGCTCCTGCATCTTGTGTCACTGAATTATGCCTCCTACTTGCTTTCCAAGCTTTCTTAGTGCCACCTATGTCAATGTAACCAATGCCAAATGCCAATCATTTGCTACAGGGGAGAGTCTGCTGGGACCATAAAGAGGCACCAGCTTTCCCACCTGCCTTGTCCCCTCCCAGCCCCACCTGGAACCCTTATAAGGCAAAGATGATGACTTAAGCATTCTTATCTCTTCTTAAGGTTTGTTTTAGGGAATGCTCTTTGCCTTTTTGGCAGGAGTGTGGATATGTTCAGTTTTCAATCCTGCTGGAATCCTTCAGATATGTTATCATTTGCATTTGCGTTGTTTTGGACTTGCTTTCTTGCATTTGTATATACCCGTTTGTTCTGGGCAGCCGCCTTGGGAGCCTTCTTAGCTGAAAGGCGGCATATGAATAAACAGTAAGGTAAAGCCCCCCTCCCTATAAGACAAGGCCCGGCCTACTCACATCCTGCATGGCCCGCGTGCGGTGGTCCGAGTTGATCTGGTCTCGAAGCTGCTTAGAGGGAGAGAGAGACAAAGAGGGATGAGGGGGGTGCGGGTCAGTCGCGGGTGTGGGGCGATGCGGGGCCGGCGCCCCCAGCCTCCCCTTCCCCCTCCTCACCGTGGACTTCCGCGTGAGCATCTCCTTGACCATGACGTCCATCAGCCGCTCGCGCTCCTCGTGGTAGCGGCGCTGCTGCTCCAGGATGGTCTCCATGGCGGTGAGCAGCGGCAGCAGAAGAGGAGGCCGGTATTACGACTCGAGTCCCGCTCGGCGGGACCGGAAGTGGCGAACCCTCAAAACCGGAAGCCACTCTTCCAGCGGTCCCTCGCAGTTCCTTCCCCGGCGCAGGAGAGTTCCGGCGGAAACACTATGGCTATAGCTATGGGGGTCGGCGCGGGATGTGCAGAGGCGGATGGGGCTGCTCGGGGTTGGCGAGGGTGGAGGACGAACCGTCGCACCGCCCCTTCATCCGCGAGCGACATTATCCCTTGCAGAGCCGGGGGGTGAAGGGACGAGGATCGTGCCCAGTTTTGTGACCTTTCCGACACGCGAATGTCTCGTGGGGTTAGGGTTAGAGAGTCGCCCATTGTTTTTATTTTTAAAGAGATGGCTGTTTCGGCTCCTGCTGGCCCCGGAAGAAGCCCCCGTTGGGCCAGACGTGATAAAGGAGACACGTGTGTGTGTGTTTTGGGGGCGCCTGATTAAGTGATGAGACAGGAAGCTCTTTGTGGGGGTACCCCACTCCCCTACTTGCTGCGTGGCGATTGCTGGCGCCCAACGGGCCAGGAGCCTTTCAGGGCCACCCTGCCGGAGGACCTTCCCTTGCAGCAGGTGGGCTGAGGTGGGGATGGGGTGTGCCTCAAATCAAGCTGTGCCCCGGCCTGGGCTTGGTGGAACACGGAGGGAAGTAGCGTCTTGGATTCGGCTATTGCCTTCAGTGGGAGGTCCATGACTTTCCCCATCCCCAGCAGTGGGGCGAAGCTGTCCTGTCCATCGATGTAGCAACCCCTGGCGGAGGACGGGGATGCGCGCGAGCAATACAGAACTCGTGATCGCCCAAAGTTGCCCTCCAACTTTGTGCCACAGTAGCAGTGCCTTTTCTTCCTGATAACTTGTAAATGTCAGATACTTGCCTTATAGCAGGCACGTCCAACAGGTAGATTGTGAGCTACTGGTAGATCACTAGACGTCTGCGGTAGATCACTGGCACCCCCCAAAGAAGCTAAACAACTTTGTCTCCCCTAAAAAGAAGCTCAACATTACTGCCTTGCGCCCCCCCAAAAGGGGCTTTCCTCCTCCCTAAAAAAACTTTGACCTGAACCCCAAAAAGGGGGTAGGTCACTGCAAGTTTTTAACTCTGTGAGTAGATCGCAGTCTCTTAGGAGTTGGCCACCCCTGCCTTATAGCAAGGAACATTTTTTTATTTTATTTTTAGTCTGAGAGCTGCATATAAGTGCCCCATTCCTGGGCACTTATTGCTCACCCATATTTCTTCAATGAGTGTGAAAGCAGCAGGGGGCATTTTGACTGTGAAGCTGAACTGGCTCATTCTCTGCCGCCACCCTGTACTCCACAAAATGGCAAATTGTTCCCTTCCCCCACCTGGTAATGTTCTGACTAGGTTGCTTTTCTGACATAAAGGGGCTGCAGGGGTGTTTATGGAGAGGGGGCTCAGGGGGGCCAGGGCACATTCCCACACTTGTTTGTCCTGGAAATTATAAATAGGGTTGACACATAAATTGTGTCCCATAAATAGGGACACAAAAACTTTTTTGGGGGGGACGACAAAGTTGTTGAGTGAGGGCAGGCCGTAAATTTGTACAATATTAATTATTAAATTCAAAAGGGATCCAAACCCTACCAAAAAAAGCCTTCTGAACATTTCATTAATATTATGGTGGGGGAATAGCTGGAAGATCACTGTTGAGGGCTCAGAGGCTCCTGGACTTTCCACGGGAATTCTCTTTGCATAAGCTCTCTTCTCTTCACAATGGAGGCCAAACCACCCATCACTATCATGATAAAAAGCACAGTCACTCCCAATCATAACTCTCACCAACTTCCTGCTGAAACAAGGTGCTGTCTGCAGCAAACCAACAACCTACTCTTGTCCCCTCCCTTTGCTACATATGAGTAACAGTGTTAGAAACTGAGATAAGAAAGCTAGGAGCTGAATGGCACCTTAAACCTAGGTTACGGGCACACTTTTTATAACAAGAATACAAAGCTGAAAATGAATGAACTGCAGTTAAAATATGTTCATTTTTCACGTGGTGTAGCCCTTCCCTTGCCCATCCCCCTAATATTCTTAAGAGAGTCTCTCCTCCAGGATGCTGCTGCCCAGCCATGAGAGTGACTGGCCAAACACACCTTTCAAGGATCACTCCCCCACCCCCGTAATTTGCAAGAGGACAGGGTGTGTGGGTACACACACAGTCACTGCCATCTCCCCTCCCCTCCTAGCTTGGGGTGGGAGTGGGAGAGGCTAAGTCATGAGCACAGCATTGTACCCAGGTGGCACAATCTCCCTTCTCTCCCACTTCACACACATTTAACAGTATGCTGGCTCAGGAACTGTGTGCTCCAGTTGAAATTCCTCCCTTCTGCGTGTCCAGCAGGGAGGTTCACCCCATTACCCGCAGAAGTGGCTGAGATGCTCCTGCATGGGGTTTACCTCTTTGCTCTGTCTTTGGCAAGCGCCATGACAGTTAAGGCAACATGTTAAGACATTCCTAGTATTGTTTGTAGCGGGAACACATTAATCCCCTGCCCCAGGCTCAGATGCTCTCCTGGGATTCCTGATTGGGGCTCAGCAACTTCATTCCTGTGTCTTTGCTGCTCAGAATCACCTCCATCCTGGATGCTGCTCAATAAAGGCTGTGAATTTGCATATTTGTTGATAGGGCATGATAGAGAGGGATTGGAGTCTGAAGGGCTCAGGCACTGTTAGGGGGCAACGCCCCACCCCCACGGCCCCATCTCTTGACCCATTCTCCTCCCTTTTAAAAACTTCATTTAAAAAACCCAAGTTTTCTTCCAGGGTGTCTGGGTGAATTGCAAAACACAATGCAGGTGAAACCACAACCATCCACCTTAATTTGCCCAGAGGCTGTGGCTGCAGAGATGGATGTGGAAGAGACATGTTTTGTTGCAGCTGGGGCAGATGAAGGTGTCCAGTTGTGCTGCTGCAGATGCACCATGGTGATATTCAAATATGTGGGTGTAATGGGTCTGTACCCCAGTCCTTTAAATTCTATGGGTTACTTCCTGTTCTCCCCTCTCAGGTTCCCTGCAGGCTTCTCAAATCACTTGTGGGAAGCAATGAAGAGTCATGCTGAGATGCTGCCCAGCAGGGCAGGGCTGGCCAATAGGGCAGAAGAGAAAGTGGTCATAGGGTGGGGGGCTAAATACAGGAGCCAGAAGGTTGGTCTAAGCAATGCTCACCTGATGCGCTTAGGTACGTATGAATGAAGGGTGGGTGTCCTGGTGTGGGGTCATATCCTGCATGGGGACCTGTGACCCCTGCATGACAGACACGAGCTCTTCTACCTCTCCAGGGTGCCAGCCCTTCATAATCAGGAGTTAAGGCAGTGGGGCAAGGGGTGGAGTAGCAAAAGCCTCCTTCAGTGCCCGACTCCTGTGTGCTGCTGTGGCTGTTAGGAACCTGCCCTGTGGAGCTGCTGGTATTGTGGCCTTGATCTTTCTCTTTTGCCCCTGACTAGAGGTCGTCCCCCCCCAAGATATGCCAAAGGTGAGTAGGGGGCAGAGGCTCCATCTCCATCCCCAGCTCCCCAGACAAGTGCCCAACAGGAGGCATGCTACAGCTGCTGTTGTAGGGTCTCCTGTCCCTCCCATTGGCTCCTTGTCAAAAGACTTTGCTTCCCTGAGTGGGTCTTGAGCCCTTGGCCCAGAAGGGCTGTGGGATCCTTGTCCCTTGTCTCCTGTTCCCCCTATGTGTGGAGACAGACAGTAGCAGGTATCAGCTGTGAGGCGGGTCTCTCTGGCATGGGTGTGTGTTCCCTATTGTGCTAAGTTCATGCTTGTGGGTTGGCGTCATCACCAGGACCATCCCAGGTTGCCATGCTTTGTTTCTAGGGATGCTGTGAACATTCTTGTCATTTTGTATTGAAAAGAGGACGAGCCCTTTTGGAAAAATGGAAGCGGAGTTGCAGAGACTCTAGTTCCAACTTGAATCGAAGCAACGAGGATTGGGGGTTGCTAAATCTTTCACGGTTTTTTGTTTGTTTTGTAAAGCAGGAAAGCCCGGCTCGAGGGAATTCAACCCAGAGCAACAAAGAGGAGGGAGGCAGCAGAGGTCTGATGCGACTTATCAGGCTAAGCCCGGGAAGAGCCCGCATTCAGGGTTGACCCAGCAGCATCGGAGCGGGGAGGGCTTCTGTTTACTATGTTAAGAGTCCACTGGAGTCGTCCTAATGGATGGGGCTGCCTTAAACGGGACACGGATGTCTTAAATGGAACTTTACTTTTAGTATACTATAACCACGAGCAGTATAAGATCAAAGCCGCAATCCTGTGCACGCTTATTTGGACATGAGCCCCATTTAAATTCGAGGTATAGTGGGTCTCATTTCCAAGGAAACCCGCAGCGGAAGCCTCTTGCGCCTTTGATCTGAATTAGCGCACCGGGGCAGTGGAACTGCGGCCTCCGGGACCAGCGATGCCACCACTCGCGACCGCCTTGGGGCTGCTGTACGCTATGCTGCGTTTGCTGCTGTTCCAGGACAGGGCAGGCACCGTCGGGCCAGCGGAGCCGCCTTGATCCAGTCCCGGGGCAGGATCAAGAGGACGGACGCCCGGCGAAGACTGCTGCTGTTGCCCCTCCAGCCGGCCGGCCGGGGGCAGCCTGCCCCGCGCCCAGGAAGAAGCCGGGCCAAGCCGCGGCGAGGAGGCCTCTGGGCCGGCGACAGGGGGCTCTTGCTGGGCGGGCCCTTTGGCGGCGGCGGCGGCCCCCTCCCCTCCCTAGTGGGCAGCGGCGGCGGCTCCGGCTCCGCCCCGCGAGGGCAGGCCAGGGAAGCAGGCGCGGCCGCCGCCACTTCGACTCGGGCAGGCGGAGAGAGGGACAAGCCGAGCGCCTCTGGCGAAGCCGCGGCTGGACAGGGCGCAGCAGGTGGGCGCGACGGCGGGTGGAGGGAGCGAGGCGGGGGGCGAGGGGGTGGTGGCACCGCCTCGGCTTTGTTTCCCGGCGCTCGCACCCTGGCCGGCTCCGCGTGGCAAGCGCCTGGCATCGGGAGCAGCCGGAGTAGGACACGGCGAACCGGCGCGCGACTCCTCGGCTGCCTGCGCGACGGAAGAAGGCGTCCTTTTTTTCGGGTGCGCGCGCGCAAAAAGAGCTCAGACCCGTTTCTACCTCCCCCACGCCGGGCGCGGGCTGAGACCCTTTTGACCCCCGGGCAAGCGGGTCCCCTCACCGGTCCCGGGAGGCAGCGAAAGTTTGCCCGCAGGGGAACGCGCCCTGGAACTTTCCTCCCCGACGGCAAAGGCGGAGCTGCCGCTGCGTCCAGACGCGGTTGCCGGGGGGCTTGAAAACCGAGCTTGGCGGAGGGAGGCGTCCCCTCCCCTCCCCGGCTTCGCGGTTAGAAGCGCGCTGTGCAGCCTCGCCCAGGTAGGGCAGAGGGGGTGGGGAGGACCTCCTCGTCCCGTGCAGCTTCCGACGCGCGGAGACAAAGCGCTCCGGCCCAGCAACGCCGGGGAGGGGGGCAACAAAACAGGCCCAGGGGTCTCCACGTCTCCGGAAGGCCTTTTCCCACCTGCACTCTTCACGTCGGAAGCAAATGTGTGAATGAGCGCCATGTGGGTCAGAGGATGCGGGAGAAATCTCGTGGCAGGAGAATTTGCGGAAAGTTGGAATAATACTTGGGGATTCCATGGCGCTTTGGTAGGGGGTGTCCCCCCGTTTAGTCCCTGAGTCAGGAAGCCCAAATGGCGCTGACTCGTCCCTGCCGATGGTTATCACAGAAAACTCCGACGACCACTAAGAGTTTTGTGCTAAACAGCTGGCCTGGGATGGCCCCGCAAAGGTTCCCCAAAATCTGCGCTTGGGACAGCCTGACCCTGTTTAACGGTAGGGTATGCCTGCCCTCAACATTCTCCCAAGGTTTTGAGAGTAAGACCAAGTTATAAAGACAAGAAATCCCTTGCCTTCCCCCAAGACCCCCTTCCATTCTGATCTGTTTTCCACTCCGTGTCTTGTGAGTGGCAAAGACCAGTTGAGAGCTGAGCTTGGGGGTCCGGGTTACACGCCCCCCCCCCCGCCAGCTGCTGCATGTGGCTGTGTCCATCTTCAACACCAGCCCCATCTCGTTTGGATGTGTTACAGGATTTGCGGGGGGGGCGGGGAGCTCATACCCTCAGGTTCAGGTTGCTGCTTCATGTGTTATGAATCTCCTCCCCCAAGAGAGAATTTTCTTCATGTGACTGTTGAACCCTCAACTGAGAGTTCTGGATGCTCAAAGAAATTTTGGAGAGGGGGTTATATGTGGGAAATGAGCACAGCCAGATGTCCCTTCAATTTTGGACAGGATGACAGTTTTGGTCAATGAGACAGAATGATTCAGTCAGGTTCTCTTCCATCCCAGTGCAGACCCTGTCCCAAATGGGTGTGTCCTAAATATGACCATGCTCTAATTGACAATCTTGGGAATGTAGGTGCTCCACTTACAGGGTTCGGAGGAGGCAGCACAGCGAATATGGCAAATAAGTTTTGTGCAGGCACGGGAGCCAGCTGTGGCCACAAGGGTCCCACAGTTGACTTGGCATAAGATATTGAGTTGAAGCATCAGGCTTCTTGATTGTTAATGTCTAACTAACATTCCCACCCACCCACAACATTTGTAAATGGATTCATTCCAGCTCCTTTGTTTTTATGGCTACTGGCTTAAATGAACTCCCTGTGAACAGATGCTTTGTGCGTTATTGTTTTTTGAAAAAGTGTGCTGGGAATCAAGTTTCCAGGATTTCCAGATTCATTCCACTGCCACCATGCTCTTTTACCCTGCCTTCCATGTTTGCTTTTCCTGCGGAAAGGGGAAGCCTGCCCTCTCTTCCTGCTGTTGCTGCGGGTGTCTCTGGGCTGTCCAGCTGTGGACAGTTCAGGGCTGGAGGAAAGGAAGGATGTGTTGTCGTTCACAAGGAAATCCACTTTTCTGAGTTTGTGTTGTGCCCCAAGGTGACTGGGCTCATCTCTGCAGCACATGGGGACACCTTTTCATCTTGAGTCAGCAGGGTGGCTGAGTAATATATTTCCTACATGGTTTTCTTAAATTAAAATATTTCATCCAAATGGCTTCCAACATAATTGAGAGAGAGAGAGAGAGAATATATATATATTCATACCAAATGCAATGCAGTAAAAGCAACTGCCTTTGCACAAACAAGAAACTGATAGGAAATATGAAGCCTTGAGCCCCCGGGCTGCCTCCTGACTTTAAATGTTCAGAGATTCAGACAAAAGGAAGTCCTTCCTTGCTCAGTGCATAGTTATATTATGGCATTCACTACCACAAGCTCTAGTGATGGTCACCAACTTGGATGGCTTTATAAGGTAATTAGATTAGTTCAGGGAGGATAAAGCTTTGTTCTCCCTTGGCTGTTGGAAGCTGTATGCCTCTGAAGTTGTTGGGAATTATAGGTGGGGAGAGTAGATGTTATGCTCAAGTCCTGCTTGTAGGCTTCCTATAGGTATCTGGTTAGTTTGCAGTGTTTCTCTAACTTGGGTTTCCAGATTTTGTTGGACTACAACTCCCATCATCCCTAGCTAGCAGGTCCAGTGATCAGGGATGATGGGACTTGTAGTCCTACAACAGCTGGAGACCCAAGTTTGAGAAACACATTGAACCCCACCTTTCCTCCAAGGAGCTCAAGGTGCTGTAGTTCATGCTACTCTTTCTCCACATTTTGTCCTCACAACAATCTTGCAAGGTAGGTTAGTCTGTGAGACCGTGACTGGCTGGCCCAAGATCAACCTGTGAGCTTCATGACCCAGTAGGGGTTTGAAACCCAGTCTCCCAGGTCCTAGTCCAACACTTTGCACCACACTGGCTCTCTAGTTGGCTGCTATGAGAACAAGATGCTGGACTAGTTGGGCCCTCAGCCTGAACCAGCTTTAGGGCCTTTCTCACGAGAAGCCACTGCTTTTAGCTTCACTCTTGCAAATGCTCCTTGGTGGATTATGACCTCCTTCCATCGAGGGATGCTTTCTATGCCTTTCAAAATCTACTTGAGGATCTCATTCTTGCTCTGCAGCAAAACATGGCAGGAAGTTTTCATTTGGGCTGCTTGGCCAAATTCCTCTTGTAGGGCTTCTGATAAGCTTCCAAAGAGCCCAATGTGATTTCACTCTGGTTCAACGCTTGGGTGGCAGGGGAATCTTCCTATGATGTGTGAATACTCTCATCCCTTGTTTGCTTAAAAGCAGCTGAAGCAAACTGTAAAATGGGTGTGCATGCCACCTAATTTGCCCTCCCTTGGTCTAGAACTGGAGACCTTGCCCCAGACTCCTCTCTTGTTATGGCAGCACTGAGCATAAGGGACAGGTCTGTTTAGCTAAATGGGCGGCGTTTTAAGGAGCTGACAAACATGGGTGTTGCTGGCTCAAACCTGGCCTGCCCCCACAGGCTTGTGCAACCTGCTGGGTGCTGGGCCTGCAGCTGGAAGCCAATGTGGTCTCTTTGCATAGATGCCTCATCATAGCTAGATTTTGACTCTCCTCTTTCAGTTAGGGGAGGCCGGCTGGGCCTGAACCCTTGACCATACCCAGCCAGCCTGCGCTTTCTGCGCTGGAAGGCTCCTTTCCATTTTGGGCTAGGCTGGAGGCCGGGCTCCAAGGCTGCTGTTGCATCAGTGTTCTGGGGGCAGCCTTGCCTTATCACACCAAGAGATCCTCAGACAAAGGAATCCACTGCAGACGATAGACTGACTAATCTATTTGAGACGGTGCCAGCATCATATTGGAGATGCCAATCTGGCACCTTGTCTGGTGACTCTTCCTCTGCTGCCAAGGCTGTGGGTGCCTTTCCTGGAAGAAGCATCTTTTTGCTTTGGGGCACTCAGAGCCTGCCTTGACCACAGGAGACCCAGCTTGCGGTGGCGGCGGCGGCAGCATTTCATGCTCTCTCTCTTTTTTACTAGCATCACTTATCCAAAGACATATAACTGTGAGATAGATATTTGCACTCTGAAAGGAGAGGCATTTGGAAAAAGGTGAAGCTGCAGATACTGCATTCACTCTGATGCTTAGGGAAATGAGAGATATGAACATATGAAGCTACTGTACCTTTTACCAGGTCAGACCATTGGTCCAGATAGTTCAGTATTGTTTACACTGACTGGCAGCAGTGGCTCTTCAAGCTTTCAGGCAGGGGTCTCTCCCAACCCTCCCTGGAAATGCCACTGGGGATTGAACCAGAGACCTTCTGCATGCAAAGCAGCTGATCAACCCCAGGCTCTTGAAACTGGTGGCTCTCCAAGGCTGGGAGGCAAGAACTGCTGAGTTTAGGCACCTGGCTCCCAAAGGGGAACCTGATACACAGAGTTTCTGTGCTGAGATGCCCCTTCCTGGGCAGGGTTTGGATTTTGGCAAGGGTGGCTCCTTCAGCGCTCAACCCTTCTTCATAGGGGGTTGAGTATCAGAACTCCTGGGGGCTTCATGGTTGTGCTTATGCCTCATAGGGACCTCGGGGGCAGGATCCTGGGCCTTTCACACATGCTTGTGGGGCAGTGTGGTTGCTGGACAACTACTGAAAGCACAGAAAGAGTACTGTATGTGCAAAAAGGAGGTGCTGTGTGGTATGGAGCACAGCTTAACTCTGGGATGTCCCCAGAACGCCCTGTAGGCTTTGGTGGTGGGATTGGCACACATTTCGCTGTTTAGCTTTGGAGTGTCAGAATCTGGTGCCTCCGAATCCTATTGAAAACCATTTCTTAGCCATGTGCGTCATTATTATCACAGTTATGTCCCACCTTTGCTGCAAGGGTCCCAAGGTGGTGTACAAGGTTCTCCCCCTCCTCACGGTATTCCCACAACAACCCTGTGAAGTAGGTGAGGCTGAGAGGCAGTGACTGGCCCAAGGTCACCTAGTGAGCTTCATGGCCAAATGGGGATCCAAACCCTGGTCTCATCGAGGTTGTAGTCTGGCACTCTCACCAATACACCATACACTTGACTTGGCTGTAGGAACATCTTCTTAGCTGTCTATCATCTTTGCGAACACACTCCTTTTCTACTAAAGCACCACATTTGATTCCCTGCAGGAGACACTGGACCCTTTCAGTCCAGAATTCAAAAGATTCCTGTAAATAGAGGCTGAGAGGCAGTGACTGGCCTAAGGGTCACCCAGTGACCTTCACGGCCAAGTGGGGATTTGAACTCTAGGCTCCCAGGGCCTAGTCTGACATTCTGACCACAACACCTTGTTTGACGGCGTTGCTTGCACCCAAAACGAGTGGGACACAGCGATTCTGCACAAGACGTGGAGAGGGCTGTCCAGTTGAGGGGCAGGGACAGGCTGCAGGTGGTTTGGGGGTTCTGCATCCTGCTTCTCCCCACATGGGAAGCCCTCCGCAAGGCTGCTGGAATAAGGCAGCGGATGTGGGGCTTCCTGTTGTGGGAAATGTGCAAGGCAGAAGAAGCAGAGTGCAGACCCAGCCTCTGTTGGCTTCCTCATTTTTACTAATATTTATTTGTTCAGCTCTTAAAGGGACTCGTGCTCAGTGACTCATTACAGAGGAGGCTGGAGGTGACTGGGAGGAAGGTCCATGCTCTGCTGGGCTGCTGCTGCTTGCAAGCATTCAAAGAGCAGCAAAGACCTCTTCACGTAGCACACCAAGTTAAAGGATGCAATCCACTCCTACTTGTTGTGATGGATACCATTATGGATGGCTTTGGAAGAGGATTAGACAAAGGCTATTGATTCCCAGTTGCCACAGTGGCTGTGCTCTGCCTCTGAGTGCCAGTTGCTGGGAATCACAGGTCTCAGATCCTGCTTGTGGGCTTCCCATTGGGGCATCTGATTGGCTGCTGAGAGAACCTGCTGATCTGTTAGAGGGGCCTTTGTTATGATGCAGCTGCAGGGCTTTTTTGTGTTCTCATGTTAAAGACAAATGAATGACTTGTTTTATTTATTCCTTTATTATTATTTTATTATTGAATTAATATCCCACCTTTTCCTCACTGAGCTTACCTGCTTCTCCTCCCCGTTCTTATTTAATCTCCACAACAGCCCTGTGAGGTAGGCTAGGCTGAGAGCCTGTGACTGGTCCCCAAGGTCACCCAGCGACCTTCATGGCCAAGTGCGGATTCGAACCCTGGTGTCACTTGTCATAGGCCGACACCGTCACCACTGTACCACAGACTTGACTTGGCTGTAGGAACATCTCTTAGCTGTCTATCATCTTTGCAGGCACACTCCTTTTCTACTAAAATACCATATTTGATTCCCTGCAGCAGGAGACACTAGACCCTTTCAGTCCAGAACTCAAAAAATTCTGGTCAATAGTGTTTCTGCCCAGCAGCACTTGGGCAGGCCAGACAGTATTGCTTCTTCTTGGTGCCCAGTGTTTTCTGAAAACTAAAACCAAGCCTGCGCTCAGTGTGCCACAAATAAGCTTTCTTGCCTGCCTGCCACCCTTCTATGGCAAGAGGGGAAATTGCTTGCTGAATCAGCCCCCCAGCAAGAGGATGTGGCACAGGAAATGGAAGCAGCTTGGAATCCCAGCAGAGGGATCTGCAAAAACCTCCCCTCCCCACCCCAGCAACCTGGCCTCTCTCCCCATGGAGTGCCCTTCATTGCCAAGCTGGAGCCAAGCAGCTGCCTCTGATGACAGATTCAGTGGGGCTTCCATTGTTGCACAGCCAGGATTTTCCTCTCTGTTGGCATTCATCACTACAAGTATGGCCAGTCGCAGCAAAGAGGAACCAGTGAAGGTAGAGTGAGTGTTGATGCCTCATAGCTGGAAAGGATGGTAGTTCTCTCATTGCTAACCATCACCCTGCCTGTCATTACAAGGCCAGCTGGCAGTGTGTCCCACCCCAGGAGCTTGGAATGACCATACTGCCCACTCTTTCCATGGGGCTCAGTCACAGTGCCATCTGTGTTCAGTGCCAGGGCCCATCCTGCAAATGGGTGCTCCTGTGGGCATGCAGGACATCCTTTGTCTGGATCGCTGCTCTGTAATTTGTAGTGTGAACAGTCCCACATAATCCAGATTTCCAATAGGTGGTGGAATTCCCAGCCATAGACAGGCTGTCTTGAGCCAACAGCACTCCCCACCTCATTTAAAACTTAAGCAGGACCTCTGGGAGGTGGGTGCACTTCAGGCTTGTCAGATCTCCTTGTTCTTTTTACTAGAACTCCAAGATCTGCCAACCAGAGCCGGGTGCAAAGACACCGGATTAACACACTGGATTCCTTGGAGAACATTCTGAGCCCAGGAATTTGCTTTCAGTCCTAGAACTAAATTGAGCTCATTGTCCTTTCTCGGGTCTGTCTCTCTCACATACATTCAGCCCTGCCTACTCTAGGTAGTCTTCTCTTCACCAGGCTAAACAGTCCCAACTCCCTCAACTGTTCGCCTTCAGGCTTTATTTCTAAACCCTTGATTATCTTGGTCGCCCTCCTCTGCAAACACTCCACCGTGTCAATATCCTTGTGGTGCCCAGAAGTGGACACAGGCCTCCAGGGGGTTGGTCTGACCATGGCAGAAAAGCAGCTCTTTCCTTCTTTATTGGCTGCTCCTGCCTTGGTGGGAAGAAGCTGCCTTCCTTGTGTAACTGACTGGGGAGACATCCGAAAGGGTTAAATGTCTCTGAGCACTAGGAAATCATTAACGAAGGTGGATCCAGGGGAGGGGGGGTTCCTCTCTGGAGCTACGTGCCTGGCTGGGCTCACCCTGCCTGCACCTGAGTGATGATGGGGCCATAGGAGTCTTGCTGAGGACAGGCTCTGTTGCTGCTTCTGGTGTGTTTTGGTGGAAGCTCTTCTGCTGAGAGCACCTCCTTTTGGAGGAAAAAGGGCGTGTTGGGGCAGCTCAGGACTGTTCGGGTCTGCTGTGCTGCCCCAGCATACTGCTGTCTTTGGGGAACAAGGCTTCGTAAGGTGGCTGGGGCTGGAGCTCCCCTGTGCTTGCCTTTCAAGGTGATGGGCGGCTCTGCTGCAATCTGGAGGTCATGTAAGGGGCCATGCTGGCTGGTTTTTCTTTGCTCCTGGGAAGGTCAAAGGTGCCTCCTGAAGGGCTGCCTGAATTTATGCTCAGGGTTTAAACAGCCACTTTGGGAAATGACTTCAGTGTTCCTATTTGGCCAATGAACTTCGTATGGAGGGTTCACAGTGTCCCTAAGAGGAATAGTGGCCAGGATTTCTTGCAGAGCCTGAAAAGCTTGGAGTATCTGTGACCCTGGACAGCTCCTCAAGCTGGCCCTAGCCTCAGGCCCATGGCCCTTGGGGAGCTCCTCCTGGCTTCACCCAGTGCACACCCAGGCCCACTCTGAGACCCCTAGGTTACCTTTGGCTGGCAATTATTCAGGCTAGTGAGGCAGCCACAACATCCACCCCTTTCTCCCCCCGCAGTTTGACTCAGCAGCCTGGAATGTTCCTTCTCCAGCTCTCCTCCAGGGAACCATCACTCCTCCTTCCTCCCAGGAGACATCCTGGGTTCACAGGGATGGGGCATCTTTCATCCAAAGAAAGTTCCTCATTGGGAGGTCCCCATCTGGCCCCAGAGGGTTTCCTAGTACAGCAAGGCTGTTGCTGTTCTGTTTTTCTCCCGGAAACGGGGGCTGCTTTGGGGTTTTTCCAGCCAAGCCAGGAACTGCATACATTGCCCTCTGCCCTGTTTCTATAGGCCATTCCACCCATCCATCAGTTTTGGAAGCTCCTAAGCCCCTGAGAGAGCCCCTTCATGAGAGATCTGGCGGCGGAAGTCCAAACAGCTCTCTGGGCTGCTCCCAGCCTTTATTGCCTGGTCCCCTGATGGCAATTGGGGCTTGGCCCTGCCTGGGATTTGGACTTGTTCCAGGCATTTTCCATGCTGTGCAACAGAGGGGCCTGCTGGATGCCCTGGGTGAGGCGTGCTCTTTCTCTCTGCGTGTGACATCAGACACACCCTTTAGTGTTTGTGCGCACATGTCTGCAGAACAGAGTTGAATCTCATGAAAACCCTTTTTGACTGTCACAGCAGCCCCTCGGAATCATAGCTGTGTGATGGTGCTGGGAATGTTTTTACTCAATCCCCAGCCTCTCTGCAGAACTGGGTATCCCCAGAAGGAACGTTTTAAGAGGCTTCAAACAGATCCAGATCTGTACTTCTGAAAAAGAGAGGAAAAACCTCAGTATAGCTTGGAAAACCTTCATGCTGCTCTTGACAAAGTGTTTCTGCATGTTTGGACTGAGAGGTTCAAGAGACCTTTTTCACTGCATTGGTCCCTTGGGCTCCTTCACCCAACCCAGCACCCCTGCCTAGATACCCCTCTGGACCTGTGTCTTCTGCACCCATTTCTCAGCATATCATGGGAAAGTTTGTGGTGGGAAACGGAGGCTTCTCCACTGCACAGAGGGTGCCTCTATGCAGCTTGAGTGTAATGTGTTGGCAGCTGCCTTTTGGGGACCCCGTCCTTCTAAAGCTGCCCAGGAAAGAAAGTTTTTTGGCCTCCCAACTGGGGTGGCTTTACCTTCTGGGACTGCAGCACCTTCTGCAAGCTCCACATTTCTCTGGGGTGACTGATCCATCTCAGCACCTTTGCAGCCTGGCAGGTGGGTCTTGGTGGCATTAGCCCTCCCAGGACACCCTCCCTGCCACTCTGCTTTCTAGCTACAGCCTTGAGCCAAGAGCAGTTGCTGCCTCCAGGTCTCTAATCTCTCCCCCCCCCCGCCACACACACACACACACACACACACTTTCATTGAATGTTTGGCATCTCCCAGACTAAAAATACAACTCCAGAATAGAGGCAGCTCTTGAAGAGGGGTCCCCCTTGTGCCCCGTCACGTGGCCGCACAAAATGTCAGAGGCAGCTGACCCCCTCTGTCTTGGTGCGTTCCCAATTTAAGAGTCTGCCCTTTCCCACCTGCTGCTTTCACCATCCTCGGGAGATGCCTCCCTATTCTTTTTTGAGCCTGGATCGTGCAGGGGCAAAAAATAGACCGGAGGATTTTCACATCTGCCTTCCTTGTCAACCTTCAGGCCCTTCCTGCCAGCCCCGAGGTCTCTGCATGGGGTCTGGAGAGATGAGGGGCCAAACTCCAGGAGAAATGGGTGGTGTGTGTGTGGGGAGGTTGGAAGACCATCTCTGTTTGGTCTGATGTAGGGCTCAGGCACAGTTAGAGAGGCAAGAGACCCCATTCTGGAGTGGGGGTGTGTGTCTTTGGTATCAATGGTTTTCCTTCCCTGTCACTGCTTTCTTTTGCCCCCAGCTTTGTTTGCGATGTGTCACTTGCACCTCTCAGGCGCTGCTTGCTCACCTGCTGACATTGTCCACCTGGATGACCATTCTCTGGCCCAGCCACCTCCCCCTTGAGAAACCCATTGGGACCCTTTTTCATGGGTTTCTTACAGTGCCTTTTGTTCTCAGATGGCCTGAATCTCATCACTTACTGGATATGAATGCCATCTGCAGCAAAGGGCACTTGGGCATATTTTTCAGCACTTGGAAAGATACATGAGTGGGACTTGATGCTTCCCCAGTTGCCTGCTGCATATAACTTAAAAGCAACAAACCATGGAAAACGAACACGTTCACACTTGGGACTGTGCGCACATGCAGACATGCACGCACGCACGCACACACACACACACACACCCTAGCTTGGCTTCCAGGGCACATAGAAGGAAGTCCTTCTTCAAGCAGGGCGTAGTTAAAATTATGGAACTTGCTCCTGCAGGAGGCAATGATGGCCACCAACTTGCAAGGCTTTAAAAGAGGATTCGACTGATTCATGGAGGAGAAGGCCATCCATGGCTACTAGCCACAATGGCTACTCTCCCTTCACAGTTGGAGGCAGCCCTGCTTCCGAATACCATTTGCTGGAAACCAAAGGAGCCCTGTGAGTTCTTGTGCTTACATCCTGCTTGTGGGTTTTCCACTAGGGCATCTAGTTGGCTACTGTGAGAAGAGGATGCTGGACTAGATGGGCCATTGGCCTGATCCAGCAGCAGACTCTTCTTACATTTCGGCGAGAATGCCTTCAGCACGTGCATTTGGAGAGGGAGGGCCATGTTCCTTGTCCCTCCTTGTCCCCCTCCCCCCAAAACAATGGGCTTTGCCTTGTTTGTGTGCCAAAGGGGAAATCCAGGCCCCAGGGAGTCCTGCTGCCCAGCTGCATGGAGAGGAGAGCTTCTGCTTCTTTGGCTTCTGCTTTGGGTTGCTGCCTGCCGCCTCTCGCCTGGTGTGTGTGTGTGTCTCTCTCACTAGCACCACCCAAACCTCCTGCAGCAATGCTCTTAAGCAATCCTAGCGGAGAGCAGGACCTGGCAGCTGGAGGATGCTTACCTCACCCGACAAAAATGCTCTGTTACTCAGAAAATGAAAACTGTCTGAACTTTCTGGGCTGGGAGGAATTGCTGGTGGTATCTGTTTGAACCGCACCACGGCAGAGGTTACAGAGCCTCCGCAAAGGGGTAATTTCGTAGCTTCTTGAGCGCCGCGGAGACTGTGAGCCAGCGACTCCTTGGCTGGGAGTCCGAAGGGACCTCGGTTCATGCTTCAGCCTGCTGCTCAGAGAGGTGCTAGAGGAAACCCAGAAAATGACTCACCAACTGTCAGGAGTCTGTGCCTGACTCTGGTTGCCTCCCAAATACGGGAGCTCCTTTCCAGTTGGAGAGAAGTTGCTTCTGATAGCTGCGTGGGCCAGAGGAACAGCGAAGGTCAAGGCCTTCCAGTGGAAAGCAGACACCGCTATTATGAGCTTGACTGCCATTTGGATGTTGCCTGTGTCTGGGGTGTCATTGAGTGCTCTTGAGAAAAGGAGGGTTGAGTTGCCATGGGGAAATACCATCCCCACTGGCAATGGGCCCCAACAGGGAATGCCTTCTTCCACATTGCCCTTGTGACAAGGGCATGTCGAGGGGCTTGCGTGTGCTGTGAAAAGGGCTGGTGCCAGTGCTGTGCCCTCTTAACACCTGGTGCAAAAAGCAGGGAATCCGCTAGGGAGGAAGCAAGGAAGCCCTCTTTGAAGCCAGCGGGCGACATGTCCTTTTCAGTTATTTTCATTTTTACGGGGCCTTCTGATTCACCTAACCTTGGCAGGCCAGAAAAAGTGCTTGTGTGCGCAGCGAATGGAAATTGTGACCAAACAGCATAGCATGTAGGAAGACAAACGTCTTCCTTCCAGTGTTGCAAGCTGTGCCTGTGTGGGTGGGTTGGAGATGCCACTGCTCTGAGTGTGTGTTTCCTTTCAGTTGAGCAAACAGTTGCTGGCTTGTCTCTCTGCAGGTGGGTGAGGCAAAACGACTCACCTCCAGCCTCTTTGACCCACCTGGCCTGTGAGGCCCCTGTGCAGAATGTAGGCCCTTTGCTCCATGGCACTGCAGGGTGGGGGGCCCCTTATAGGCTCTTGGATCATGCCCACCACACCCCTGTAGCTCTTCCTGTGGGTGTGTGGTGGAATTTTTACCTTGCCTGCCTGTTGCTAGCAATTGTTTCCAACAGCCCTTTCACAGTATCTGTCGCCATCAATTGCACACCCTACCCAAAATGTCACACATGGAGCTTGGGAGGAAGATTCTGTGTTGCACGTGTCAGCCTTCCTTTTCCACCAAGATTTGCCTGCCTGTAAGCAAACATGGCACAAGGAGAAGGGGACGACAGAGGACAAGATGGCTGGACAGTGTTCTCGAAGCGACAAACATGAATCTGACCAAACTGCGGGAGGCAGTGGAAGATAGGAGTGCCTGGCGTGCTCTGGTCCATGGAGTCACGAAGAGTCGGACATGACTAAACGACTGGACAACAACAAGCAAACATTTCCTTTTCCAGTGGAAGAAGGCCTCCATGAGGTAGTGATGGCCACCTGCTGCTGACATGGATGGCTTTAAAAGAGAATTGGACAAGTTCATGGAGGGTGATCGGGCTCACGATGGCTGGGTTCAGAGTCTGCCCGCCATCGCCACCACCAGAGAAGTGAGGACAAGTGGTGGCGGCTTCCTGTAAGATCTCGCAGAGCTCATGTGGGATCTTGCCAGAAGCTGCCACTATGCGATCCCAGTAAGCAGGGCTTTGGTGGGAGGGTTGCAACTTCTAGTTTCCCCTCATGTGGGAAGATGGAACATGTTGCCCTAGGCCATGGTCTTACCTGCCCTGCCAGAGGTAGGAGGCCTTTGAGTACCATGGGCTGCTTGGAGTAGCAGGTGGGGATAGCCCTGCCATTGACCTGCTTGGTGGTTTTCCAGAAGAGAGGCATCTGTCTGGCCCTTGTGAGAACAGAGTGCTAGACTAGACAGGCCCCCTTTGGCCTGATCCAGCAGCCAGGCTCTTTATGTGTGCAGTGGTTCTCAGTTCAAGAAACCCTCGCCCATTTTAGCGGCACAAGATCCCATCCAGCTCTGTAACTTGGCAGAAATCCTCGCAGGGTTTTGAAAAAGCCAGGGAGGAAGCCGGGCCTATTTGACTAATGCAGATGAGAAACCCCAAAGGGGGCCAAGCTGATAAGGTGGATGCTTTGGGATGTCAGCTGTGCAAAGGTAGCTTTTCCCCTCTCGTACCTCGGCTGGGGAAGGCATCCTCTGGATCGTCCCTTTAAGACAGTTAGGGCCAGCCACTGGGTCACTTGTCTTCTCTGGAGGCCTTCCTCATGGAGGGATCTTGTCTTTTCTAGGCTATTTCCACCAGTTTCTGGGCTTTCTGATCTCTTCTCCTAAGAAAGCAGAGGGAATTCCCTCAGCCTTGACCCTTCAGGCCGAGAAAAGCCAGACTTTTGCTCTCTGCAGTCTTGTCCAGTTGGTTTTGTGGGCAAGAGCCTGCTGTTTTCCACAGGCAGCACCCTTTAGCCTGGTCCTAAATGGATGGACTCAAGGCGGCCAGGTGTCCCATAGCACCTCCAGACACCTCCTAAGAGGATGGAATGTTTTGCTTCAAATTGGCATCTCGGAGCAAGCAACGGTTTGTTGTGGCACCAAAAAGTCGAAGTGCCTGTTGTTGAAAGAACACTCTGCTCCCAGCTCCGAGATCCCTTAATACCACCTGGTGCCCTGGCCAGCAGAGCCTGGAGCTGTGAGCCGCTTTCCTTCTGCAGGCTGCTCAGAGGAAGGAGTTGGCAAGGAAGGAGCCCTGGTCCCCATGGGGAGATTTTGCAATGGCAGAGACGGATTTGCAGTTAGCTCCGGCTTGTGCTGGGGCTGTAATTGATACCAGATGATGTGTGTGCGCGCGCCCACTCTCACCAGGTCTGGAAAATCTCAGCTGTGCAGATGGAAATTCAATCCACCTCTGCTCTGATGGGGGAAGAGGAAAAGGTGCTGCGTGTTCCCCTCCTGCCTGCAGTATCACCCGCCCCCCAAGTCACATTCTTAGAGACCCCTTTCCCATCCCAAAGGGCTGCCATTTGCATCCCTGCCCGCGGCAGATGGCCTGGATTCCTATGCCTGCATGAGGGATGGTAAACTGAGTGACTTCCTGCTCATTAGGATCTGGTGCTATTCCAAATTTTGAAGGGCTTGCCTGTGTGGGGGGGAACAGGGGGAGGACTATGGTTGTCTAATAGTCTGGAAAACGGATCAGGATTGGTCTCGGCTGCACTCTCTCCCCCTCCCTGCCATGGCTTCCCTTGAACTCCCACTGCTGCGATATCGGGCGCAAGAGGACAAATGTGGGGAAGCTGGCTGTGCTGAAGCCCAAGAGCTGCCACTGTGCCTTCACTTTTGGATACCTGATTTATGTCCCTCCCGCTGGAAATAACTCCCTCCTAAGCTGCAGCTCTCCAAACAAAGAGCCACAGCGAGAGGGACTGTTTTGACCAAATTTGGAGAAAACTTTCCTTGAGTCGTTGAGCAATATCAGCCTGTTGCCTCTGCCGGCCCCCCTCTTCTGCCACCAGGGAAACTCGGCTGCTCCTACAGTAGCAGCAGCAGCAGCAGGACGCCACCCTGTCCTGGGGGAGATCCTCAAAGATGGAGGCTCAGCGAGGGACAGTTGTGGCACTCGATTCCCCTTTGGGTGTTTAGTAAACGCAGTAGAGCCCTTGCCAGAGAGACCTGCCTACTGGGGGAGCACCCAACCACTGGTGTCTCCCCCTTTGTGCAAGGCTGAGACAGGGTGCCTCTGTTTCCCTGGGAGGGCTCTGTTGCTTTGTGGGCAGCGGGCTTCAGGACCCTGAGAAGCCCCCGTTTCTGTGTTGTGCCTTCTGTAAAATGCCTTGCAGCCTGTCCTGTTCTTTCCCCTCGTCCTGAAAGGCCACTTCCCACAATGCCTCTTGCTTCTTGGGTGGCCATACACAAGTCCTGCAGGAATTCTGAACCCTGGAGCTCAGCTGACCTTCAGGGGTTTCCGAAGCAAAGTTGTCCAGCTGATACAAGCCTGGCGTGTGGGCCTTGGTTGCACACATTGCCTTGGGGGTAGCACAGGCAACCCTCTTAGGTGAGCAAGAGGAGACAGACGGGGCTCTTCTAAATTCAGAAAGGAAGGTAGATCGGTGGTGTTGCCTGGGCTGGGCTTAATGCTGCCTTGGCAGTTGCAGAGAGAGAGTTTCAGCTGGCAAAGGGACTGGCCTCCTCTGGCACAGAGTTGCTCCTCCTGTATCCCGTATCCAGGAAGTCAATTCTCTTCCTCCTCCCCATTCTTTGAAAATTGTGGCTGGCTTTGGGGCAAGGCCCCACGGCAAGAAGCTTCCTAAAGCAGCATGTCAGAATTTGTGCTCTTTGGCTTTTATGTATGGCCAGGAGTGCATTTGCTTGAAAAAGAAAAGTTACTGTTTTTCATTTTTCATTTCCAGACAGATACCATAAAGACAGAAAGATAACCAATAACAGAAAAGCTTACAAATCTCCCTACAAAGGGGGTGGGGGTGGGGCTTGGATAAAGAGATATAAATGCATAGGTCTGATAATTTCTCTAAAGGAAAGTTAGTGCAAAATCATATGCTATAAAAAAGCTATTTTGCATTAATTAATACATCTAATAAAAACACTTTAGTAAGCTTGTCTGATTTTGAGAGGCCTTTTAGTACCCTGAGCTTTTGCATTAATTAATTTCTCAATCATTGCTGCTAGAGGCCCTTAATTACAATACCAATAATACTCCAGTGATGATATTACTCCCCTTTCAGTCTTCCCCGAACTTTGCTAGAGCCAGGCGGCTGCCATCAGAAGACAGTTCATGAAAGCTTTGCTCAGATTTTGGTTTGTGAAGAGGTTCACGTGAGTCAATGGCAGGGTCCTGTTTGTGGGGAGGTGTGTAATTTTTCTCCAAAAACCAGGTTCCAAAACGGCTGAGGCTGCGGGCAGAACCACCACCTAAAGCAGTAATTGCCAGGTTCTGTGCAGTCCTTCCGACATAAAGGCGTTAGGGCAAATTTGAGAAAACCTCCCAGGAGTCATGTCCCATCTATGCACAATAGCTTCAGCGTGGCTTCTCTGACCTGGGTTGATACATGCCAGGTATTATTGCAGGAAGGGAATAGTCACCCAGCTTGCCGTGATCAAAGCCTTGCATTGTTCTCTTGCCCTGTTCTGGGCTGTTTCCACTCTAAGAAGGGAAGCATTTTTACTTCTAAGGACATGTGCAGAATCTCTGGCTGCAACCTGCTTTTCCCACCACTGCTCTGGCCATGTCATGAAGAACTTCACTTGGTGAATTTCTGCATGTCAGGCGGCCATTAAGAGGCGCAGCTAATAGAACCATTTTTTTTGTAAACAGCTTTGAGGTTTTTCTACAATCAAGCGGCAGAGGTGGTCTTGAGAAATTTGAGAGCCCAAAGTTCTCCACTGTAAGCAGTATATAATTTTTTTACAAAACAAATAGAATAAAACTGAAAGGAGAAGTTGAGGATCCAAGATTGCAGTCTACTTTTACTGGAGAGCAAGTCCTGCTGCATTCATTAGCGTGCAGCGTTGGATTGGGCCAGATGTGGTCAAGTACTGTAACCCTTTTCCTGAAGATAATACTTGCTGGCTTCTCTACAAGAATGATAGACTGTCACTACATAGAACCATCTGTTGCGAGTACTAACACAATCATGCGTATTTTACTCAAAAAGTAAACACCGCTTACATAGGATTGCACCACCAACCATTGTGTGCCCTGCCCTCTATCCCCATCCCATGGCCCGAAGGGAGCTCAGGCAGGGACTCCCATTTCAAAGCAGCATTGCAGGGGGGCGGTGAGATTTGCCTCCTCCTCCTCCTCCCCTTTGTCTTTGGTTTGTTTCGAAAGGATTGAAATGTTGGAATTTCCTGGAGGCCAGGACTATGGCTCACCCTCCTCTGGTTCCAGGCCAGCTAGTCCAGGCACGCGGCAGGAGCTCCAGTCTGGAGAGCAGCAGATGCCTGCCTTCCAAAGGTTCCTTGACCTCTTTGCTAGCACAGGGAACAAGCAGGAAGGGGCTGCAGGTTGCGGGGCTGGGGGAATGCAGTGATTCCTTGGAAGAGGACTTTGCTCCTCTTCTCCAGGAGGGTTAGCAGAGCCCCCCTCACTGCAAAAAGCTGGAGAGGCAACCTCAGTCCTCCTAAGCGCCTGATCTCTAGTGTATCAACCCAGTGCTCCTGGAATGTTTGCTGTTTCCAGAAAGGGGTCCTAAATGACAGGCCTTGGTGTGTGTGTGTGTGTGTGTGTGTGTGAGAGAGAGAGAGAGAGAGAGAGAGAGAGAGAGAGAGAGGTGACTGGATCTGTGAAACCAGACCAGAGTGGGACTTGGCACTCTCCTTTGCTACAGGGTTGAGTGGCTTCCCCATCCCTCCCCACCAGCTGAATACATGCTCAGGAACAGCCTTGGCCCAGCTTTCTGTCACTGCCAGCTGGGACTTTAACCCTTGTCAGGGCTAGGAGCTGCTGAGGGAGGTGTGTGGAGCTGCACTGGAAATTCAGGTGCATGCAGTTCAGTACTTTTGGAATTGTCCTTTCTACCACCACCCCAAAGCAACAAGGGGTTGGAAGAAACGAGTTGAGTCTCTCTCGGTCCTGCCTGCAAGCGTTTGGGTGACCTTGCTAGTCTGCCAGCCAGCAAGGCAGCAGTCCTCTCCTACTCCCCCTCTTCTCTGCCTGGGCAAGGAGGCTAACAGCCGCTCTCTTCCCTCTTCCCCCAGGACCCTTGTGCAGAGTCCCAGCCCGCAGCAGGATGACTGAAGGCTTTGACTGCGCCAGCTGCAAGGAGTCCCTCTATGGGCGCAAATACATTCAGGTGGACGAGGGGCCCTTCTGCATCCCCTGCTATGATACCCACTTTGCCAACACCTGTGACGAGTGCAAGGAGCCCATCGGGCACGACTGCAGGGTAAGGGGGCAAGGTGAGGGGAGGCCTCTGCTCAACTGACCCTGGGGGCGGTGGCTGCTCCTTGTCTTCCTGGTGCCTTTGGCCCAGGCATGAGCTGGGATCCTCCAAGCACAGGTGATTTTTGCAGTGCCCCTCCTGCATGTCAGGCACCATTTGAAGTAACAACCAGCCTCCTGAAAGGGACCAGCTGTGATACAAGGAAAGGACAGGCTAGGAAAGGAGGACCTTTTGCTCAGTGGATAATGAGATGACTTGCCACCAGCCACCCCTGCTTGCTAGCCAGCAAGGTGAGCTGAACAAGACCTCCGTGGGGAAGGGAAATGGCTCTCTTTGACTGCCAGGCAGCATGGGAAAGGGGGGCCACCACCTCTGCCCTGCTTAGGAGCTTCCCATTGGGGCATCTTGAGAAGAGGCTGCTGGGGCAGGTAGACCCACTTTGGCCTGACTGCACCCCCAAAATGGGAGGAAATGGGCCCATGCTTAGGGCTGCTTCTGTATTTGCTCACCGGTGACCTTTGGGGAATCATAGACTTGGGAGGGACCCCAGGGCCCATCTAGTCCAGCCCCCTATGATGCAGCAGCGCTTTGCTTCTTGGCCTCCTAGAGCCTCTTCCACAGAAAGATAGGTAAGCGAGGGCTCCGAATTCCTCCTCCTCAAAGGTGTGCGTTTGCCTCTTCCCTCCACCCCAGGAGCATAGCGTAAGGGCGTTGTTTTCTCAGACAAGCCCCCTCCCACTGGCTCTCACTGCAATTGCCCCCTGACCTCTCCTCTCCTCCGTTCCCATCTCCAGGAGCTCTACTACGAGGACCGGCATTACCACGAGGGCTGCTTCCGATGCTTCCGGTGCGACCGCTCCCTAGCCGACGAGCCCTTCACCTGCCAGGGCCAGGAGCTGCTCTGCAACGACTGCTATTGCCGGGAGTTCTCCTCCCAGTGTGTGGCCTGCCAGCAGGTGGTCATGCCAGGTGGGCTGCTTTGCCCTTTCCCCCCCCCCGACCACGAGGGAGGGGGGCAAGGGGAGCTACCTCCGCAGCCGGGGTCACCACGGCTAGCATGGGTTCCCTAGAATCATAGTGCTGTTGATTTGGGAAGGACCCCCAAAGGACATCCAATCCAACCCCCTGCAATGCCCCACCACAGGCTCCCGGAAGCTGGAGTACAATGGCCAGACGTGGCACGAGCACTGCTTCCTCTGCAGCGGCTGCCAGCAGCCCATCGGGGCTCGCTCCTTCATCCCCGAGCAGAAGGACTACTACTGCGTCCCGTGCTACGAGAGCAAGTTCGCCCCCCGCTGCACCCACTGCAAGAAGGTGGGGCCCCGTCTGCTTTTTTAACTAGTGTGTGGGGGGAGGGGGACAGCTGGGCAGGGGGCCTCTCAGGCCCTGAAAGCTTGGGTTGGGTGGGTGGACAGGGGCTCTGTGCGTCTTACTCTTGTTCTTCCGCCTGTGTAGTCAGAGGCAGCAATGCTTCTGGATATCAGTAGCTGGAAGGGAGAGTGCTGCTCTCATGCTCAAATTCTGCTTGTGGGTTTCCCACTGGAGCAGGGGCAGATCTACTATGAAACTAATTAAGCTGAAGCTTCACTGCCCCTAATCCCAGAGGGACCCCAGAAGCAATTTAGTCCACATTGCTTAACAATTTTGGGTCTAGTAGACCCAACTGGAGTGGCACAATGCAAATTGGGGTGAGCTCCCATTGCTTGGTCCCAGCTCCTGCCAACATAGCAGTTCGAAAGAACATCAAAGTGCAAGTAGATAAATAGGTACTGCTCAGGCAGGAAGGTAAACGGCGTTTCCGTGTGCTGCTCTGGTTCGCCAGAAGCAGCTTAGTCATGCTGGCCACATGACCCGGAAGCAGTCTGTGGACAAACGCCGGCTCCCTTGGCCAAGAAAGCGAGATGAGCGCCACAACCCCAGAATCGGTCATGACAGGACCTAATGGTCAGGGGTCCCTTTACCTTTACCTATATTTCAACAATTCCAAAGTTTGACAGTCAGCAGCACAGACATTGTAAAGGTGTCAGGACAACCCTATTGAAGAAGCTAACAGTTGTGATCCAAACCTCATTGCTGGCTGCATAGGAGCCCCCATGACAGTTTCAGCTTCAAAATGTAGTTGTTCTTTTTCTGCCATTGCACTGGAGGCATCCGATTGGCCAGTGTGAGGGCAAGATGCTGGACTGGAGGGGCAACCCTTGGCCCCATCTAGCACCCAGACTCTTTTTCTGTTCTCCCGCTCAGTCGCTGACCAAGGGAGGCGTGACCTACCGGGACGAGCCCTGGCACAAGGAGTGCTTCGTCTGCACGAGCTGCCAGACCCCCCTGGCCGGGCAGCAGTTCACCTCTCAGGAAGACCAGCCCTACTGTGTCAAGTGCTTTGGGAGCCTCTACGCCAAGAAGTGCAGCGCCTGCACCAAGCCCATCACAGGTGAGATCGGGAGGTGGGCGGAGCCACGGAGGCCTCCTGCGGCCCCTGAGGGTGGGGGCCAGGGAGGGGTGCCCTGTTGCAAGTCCCAGCCCTGCCCACATCCCATTCTCCATCCCCCTCTCTTTCTCCCCCCAGGCTTTGGAGGGGGCAAATACGTCTCCTTTGAGGACCGCCACTGGCACCACAACTGCTTCAGCTGCTCCCGCTGTGCCGCCTCCCTCGTGGGCAAGGGCTTCATCCCGGAGAATGAGGAGATCCTCTGCCGCGACTGCGCTAGCGACCTCTGAGGCCGGGCCTGGTGCCGGTTGTCTTCCAGGCTTCCTGCATCCTGAAGCAGCAGCAACAGTGGGGCAGAGTGGGTGCTCCCTCCCTGCTCCCCTTTCCCTGCCTCTCTGTGGCTGGGCCTCAGGGGCTGGATCCACATGCCCCCATAACTTTGTCCCCAGAGGTTGTGCTGCGAGGTGGGAGGCCGCTCCCTCCCTCCGTCCCCTGTCTCCTGCTGTTGCAGCCTAGCAAAGCCTGTCTATGCAAGGCCATCCCAGCATGGGATGCAGGGGGAATGTATGTCTGAAGCGGTTGCAGCCCCTCCCACCTCCCACCAACCCCTTCCCTGAGCCTCTAGGGAGGAGTCTCCAGTTTCTGGGGCTAGTAGCTCAAGCTCTCCCCCCCTGCCAAGAGTCCCACCTTCTCCCTGCTTTTGAAGTGAGGGAGGTGGAAGCAGAGGCTGGAGGGAGGGCACCACCCCACCTTCTCTTAGCAGCCTCTAAGGGAGGGTGCTGTGCCTCCCTGCCCCCCAGGGGTCCTGCCCCCCACCCATCTTTCTCCCCCCAAGTGTTGTCTGCAGTGGTAGGAGGGGAGGGTGAGTGGACCCGGGAGCAAACTTGTCAAAACAGGCAAGGCTCCAGAAGTGGGTCTCCCTTGCAGGGTGGGCGCTGAGGGTGCTCAGGACCCTTTGGGTGGGCCTTGGCACTCTCTCCACCCACAGTGACTTTGTGGCCTGCTCAGCACCAGCTGCTCTGCCTAGCAGGATCTCCAGAACGATACCAAAGTGACCCCCCCATCTTCTCCAGCTTCAGGAAGCCGCTTCCGGCTCCTATTCTCTATATCCTAAACTTTTTTCCTGGCTCCTTCTCTCTCCCCTCTTCCAAGGAATATTTTGCCCCCATCCTGTTCATGTACTGTGTAGCCAGTTCCTTGGATATTTTGCAGTGGGGGAGTCAGTGTGTGTGTGTGTGTGTGTTTCTCTCTCTGCCTGTTGGAGGTGGTGGTGGGGGGACTCCTCCTAGCCTTGCCCATATCTGGCCAGTCTCTGCCCCGCCCCCCGCTTTCTGGCTTTATATAATAAACCATGTTACTGGACCATGGATGTCGTTCTTAGCAACTTGTGGGAGGGAGGGGGGAAATATTGCATTTGCCCCGTCAGGAATTTGCACTTGATTTTCTCACATTCGGGGGGGGGGGGGCGGCGGCAGGGCAATCGGTGCCTGTCTCTCCTCCCCCCACCTCACCTCCCATTTGTGGCTTTCAGAGCAGGCTGAGAACATGCAAAACTTTGCCCTGTGGCTGTTTGGAAGGAAAATTGGATAATTCCACCCCTTCTGTGTTTGTCAGAAGGACGGACACACACGCATTCTAGGATCCAAATCTGGCTGCATACAGCCTTCTTTGCAGCAGGGTGGGGGCTCCTTGGACTCTTGTAAACAGAAGACAACATATTCTTGAAATTGCAACCCTGTCCCGCTCCCTGGACTTGCTGGGACATGGACCCAGGGCAGCTGATCTCTGGGCTGATGCAGTGGAACCGCTCCCGCTCTTGCAAACCTGGGCAAGGCTGACTGTTGTGCATCTCTGGAAGAGCCTTTTTTCTTCTGAAAGCAGCTTCCCCCATCCAGCTCTGAGCGCAGGGAGGGGGGGGTGCTCAGCCCTCCCCCCTCCCCCACAGATCCAGCTACCAGGCTTTTGTTACCTCTGGGCCCCTGGGATCCCCCTCGGCCTGGCGTTCCTCTCCAAAAAAGGAAATGGCCCAGCTGCCTGTGGCCGGCAACATCTGGATCCCATCCCAACATGAATGGGTCACGACTTGCTTTGCCTGCCTGATTTATTTGTGGGGAGGGAGTGGGAGGGTGGTGAGGTAATGGGGCAAGGCTGGAAGGCGACGGTGGGGGTGGAAATGGCCTTGGATGCAGGAGGCTCCTCTGGCTGGGGAACCACAGGGAGGGAAACTGCTGGGCTGGGTGACATGGGGGGGGGCGCGTTGTGGCTCAGGCAGGGAAGGAGGCTTTGCAAGGCGGTCTGTGAGGCCTGAGACCTTTGCTTAGCTCTTAGATGTGTCTCTCCCCCACCCCCAACCCACCCATTCATTTTTAGGAGTTGCAGCGCACTCCTCAATGCTGACTTCGACATTTCCTTCCCTGGAACCCCAGTGTGGGCCACTGAAGGGTTTAAGTTGCAAAGCAAAAGTGCATGCTCAGCAGTTCTTAAAGCCTTGGAAAAAGTGCCTTGCTGGATCAGGCAAAGGCCTGTGCTGCCAAGCAGAAGCTGCCCCCTGTGGGCCATGCTGGGCTTGCTTCACTGGGCTGGTTAGTTCTAGATGCCCACCGCCTGTTCTGTCCAGGGAAGTCTCTCCAGGAGAGATGAGCTGGTCACTCGTTGGCTTGTTTGGACCTGTTTTCACCTGCGTGTGCTGCGACAGGGGGTTGGTACCCACTCCTCCTTGGGCCCCTTTCTTTTGCCAGCTTCACAGTCTTGGAGTGAGAAAAGGCTTTTGAAGAGTGAAAGGGGAAGAATCTTACACATACCCATGTGCCTTTATCAGCCATACAATTGCCTGCTCCCTCCCTCCCTCGGCACCTGGCCCTGTTTATCTAAGTCTGCATGCCTTTCCTTTCCAAAAATGCCCCTTTAGTGCTGTCCAGGGCAGAGACTCAAATTAGTTTCCACTGGCACTCTCCCATGTCCCAACAGGAAGAGCAGTTTTCCTATGCTCCTGCCCTCCTGCCTCTGGTTCAGCCACTTGCACCCTGGGCTGGACTATGGCTTGAGGTCCTCAGTCCCCACCAGCAGCCTGGTCTTCCCTGGGACAGTATCTAGTTTCAGAGGGAGGTGGGCTAGGACTCTCCCCAAGGGCTACTTGCAAACCCCACCCCATTGCCTTCTCCATGAGGGGAAAACTGGCATACTTCCAAGGAGCTCAACCGGGCCCTGGGACCTAAAATTTGTGCAGTGTTGGGAAAAGAGCTTCCTGGATCAGGCCAGAGGGAGCCCATCTGGTCCAGCATTCTCACCATGGCTAACCATGTTCCTCTACTGGAAGTCCACAAGCAGGACTTGAGTGCAAATAGCAACTGCCTCCACCCAGGGGTGCCAGCCATGGTCCTGAGTGCCTCTGCAATTGCCTCCCACTGTGAGGAGGCTACTTTGATGATGGGAAGGGGAAACATGGACGGCTTAAGGTTTGTGCCCCAAAGGTGGCTCTGCTGAGACAGGAAGCATGACAAGATTGTAGAGAGATGTGCAAATCAAGGTGTGATGAGTTATAGAGACATGCACCACATTCTACCTGTCCGCTGGGAACCCCCAGCAAGAGGAACGATGGCTTTGCTTCTTCCCAAAAGGGGCTCAAACTGCCCAACTTGAAGGTGAGTGCTGGCCTAAGGTATGTAGCCTAGGCACCGATGAGCTCATGGGTCGACCTGACCCAAGGCTGTGAATTGAATTCTCTAACCCCTGACATGCCACCTGGTGGACTCGGCCATCCCCTCCCAACCACAACACGGCCTCAGCTCAAAGCCTCTAGGGAAAGGCTCTCTAGAACAGAGCCGGCCTCCCATCACCTTGCTCAAGGAGCTACAGGCAAGTGCTTGGGATATGGGAAGGTGGTCAGCAACAGCAAGTCTGCACACAGGAAGAGCCAGGGAAGGTGGAGCCTAAGTGGCAACTGTGGGGCTGTTGCGGAGACCACAGTGGTTTGGTTCACTAGTTCCAAGAGCAAAGATCCCCAGGCCCACGTTATTATTAATTTTATTTAGAGCATTTGGAAAGAAAGGCTCTCAGGGCAGCCTAGGTACAATCAAGACAAGACAGTCCCTACCCACAGGCTGACAATCTAAAGAAAACTCAAAACATGACACACAAGGGAAAAGAGACAGGCAGGGAAGAGGAAAACCAAATTCCAAATTCAGGCACCAATTTCTCAACAGTTCCTATATTGGCCAGCTGGCTCAGTTCAGGGGCAGGAGGTGCCTGGTGGAGCTGGGCAAAGCTGATGAAATGAGCCTTCTGCTTCCCATCTCTGCCACTGATGCAATGGCTGTCCCCAGGATGACATGGAAGGGAGAAGAGACCTGATGGGACTGGCCTGTCCCAGCAGAACTGATAATGGAGTGAGCTCTGCTTCCCAGCTCTCCCACTGCTGGAATGGCTGCCCCCAGTAAACTAGCAGCTAGCCTTGCCTTTCCCATAGACACAGCCTCCCTGTCACACACATTTCTGTCCCACAGCAGCAGTATAGGCCTCTCTGCTGTCCCAGCATGAGTCGGGGTGGTGGTGGTGGAGGGCATTTCCTAAACAGTGGACTCTATTCCCTGTCCCCACATCCCTGGTCCTCTTCTAGGCAGCTTCCTCATCCAGCCAGTGCCAGAAGCAGCTGTTTCAGGTCAACGGGAGAAGGGATAGATGGGTGAGGAGCGGGGTCCCCACCTGCAGTGAGTTCTTCCTCGGCTGAGGGGAGGTTCTGCTCCATTGGGGGGCTGCCTCTCCACTGCCATCTTTCTCGCTGCCACCACCCAGAGACGGAGAGCTGATCTACACCTCAAAAGCAAAGTGAAGGTGGCAGAATTCTGGATTGTATCACTGAGAGGCAGTGACTGGCCCAAGGTGAGCTTCATGGCCAAGTAGTGGCCTGACACACTAGCTACTGTACTACACTGGCTTTCTACAAAGTGCAACTGCTGCTAAAGGTCTTCTTTTTCTCCCCTGCACCACTTTTCTACACTGCACTGCTGTAAGACGCTTCCTCCCTCACGGCAGGGAGCAGCCTAACCCTACCCTAACCCCACATCCAAGGGAAGCATTCAGCACAAACATGGAGTTAAGCTTCCTATTTGCAAAGGCCTGGAATCACTCTGGGAATCACGACCTGGATGTAGAGAGCAGGGAAAAGGGTAAGCATGGCCTTAGTCATAGAATATAATGGTAGAGCTGGAAGGGACTCCAGGGTCCTCTAGTCCAACCCCCTGCAATGCAGGAATCACTGCTCAATAATCCCTGGCAGACGGCCATCCAACCTCTGCTTAAAAGCCTCCAGGGAAGGAGAGTGCACTATGGTCCTCCCAGGCTGAGGTACAAGTACTCAGGGGACACCCATCCCCTCTCCTCCCTCTGCCCCTTACAAACCTCTCCTATGCCCTCAGGTCTCTGCTACGCGCTCCAGGCACTGACCATTGCTTGCTTCCCTGTGCCTGTCTCCTACAGCGCTTCTCTCCTGAGCCCCTGCATCTACGTTCGGAACATTTAGGTTAAAATCTTGCATTAGAGGGTATTTCAATAACGCGAATACAACACAACGGAATGTATTATAAAAATTTCCTTTATAGCCGAAATATAAAATAAAGAATAAGAAACTAGGGCAGGGGAGCAACACCCTAAAAATATGCTTTGTTCCACCACAAATGAGAAGAGAATGAGGAACTGGGGGTGGGGCTCCTCTTACACCCTCGTCCCTCCCATCTGAACTAAATGGCAGCAGGACTTGTGCCACAATTAAACTTCACAGGCTCCCCCAGGAGGGCACTGGATGGGTCGGGAGTCAGGACTCACTAATAGGTCCTAATCCAAGGTGGTTTGCGAGAAGCGCATTCCATCATGCAAATATATGATAAAAGAGTAAGAAATGGGTCCCCAAATGCCTGCTTGGGTTTGCACTGCAGGGGGTTGGACCAGATGACCTATTTAGAGACCCTCAATGACCCCTACAGGTCAATGATTCTATAAAAAAGTGGGTCATGGGTCTGATAAGGTTGGAGATTCATGATCCAGGGTATGGGGTGACTGGGAGGAGGCAGCTGTATTTCCTCGCTGGTACCAGGCGAGCTCGAGTGAGGAATTCCGGCGAAGCCTCCTGAGCTCGCCCCGAGGCTGACGCTTCTCCCTCGTTACATCCCAACGGGAGGCGTCGCTTCTCCTTTTGTCCGTGCACGCGCTCTCCTCTGCACGTTCCTAGTTCTTCGGTTCCCCGCCGAGCGGAAGTGGGCTAGTTGGGGACCGGAAGTCGCCGGCGCGGAAGTGCCTGGCTCACGAAAGCATGGCGGCTGCGTTCAAGAAGGCGGGCAAGTCACGCCAGCGGGAGCACCGCGAGCGGAGCCAGGTGGGCGGACCAGGCAGAGGCGCCGCGGGGAGCGGGACGGGCGGACGGTCTCCAGTGGCGGCTTCTCCCTCCCTTCCCTCCCCGCCCGTCTCGAGTGTCGCTTCCAGGTTTGGGCTCTGCCTGCAGCAGAGGGGCCAGTGACCCCCGCAGGAGCCTCGTCTGGCTTAGAGGCAGCTGCCCTGCGCCTTGGCTGGGTGGGGAAGAGGTTAGAGGTCGTGGCCAGGGCTGCCCCTCAAGAGCCGAGGCCGCGGCGTCTCTGGAGCTCCTCTCTCCGCCTTCGGGGGGTGTCACTTCCGACGCCACCCTGTTGTACGAGGAGCTGCATTAGGAGGGCACCCGAAGGTTTCCTCCCTCTTCCCCTACGGAAAGGCCCTTTTGCCCTCTGGGTCCTTGCGGACGGTCCAGAAGTTCAATAGAAATGCCCGGTTGGAAGGGACCCCACCCCAAGGGTTCATCTACTCCAACCCCCTGCAATGCAGGGATCACAGCAAAAGCGTCGCTGAGAGATGGCCTTCTGTCCTCTGTTTAAAAACCTCCAGTGGAGGAGAGTTCACCACCTTCCGAGGTAGCTGGGTGTCAGACAACCGGGCCCACTTCGCTCAGTATGGTCTGCACTGACTGGCAGTAGTGGCCAGTCTCCAGAGTCCTTTCCCAGGCCTAACTGGAGATGCTGGCAGGGATTGGACGTGGGGCCTGCTGCATGGAAAACAGGCATCCTGCCACTGAGCTTACAGGCCTTTTCCTTGGTGTTAATAAATGTGCTATAAAACAAGCTTAAACTTCAGTAGTCTACTTGTTTGTTTGTTTGTTTGTTTTAAATAAGACACCTGGCGCATATATCCACCTCCTATGTTTATTGAGCACTTGTCCCCATGTGTGTTTGTTTCTCTCTCCCTGCTCCCCATCCCCCAGCCAGCTTCGCGAAAGAATCTTGGAATCCTTGAAAAGAAGAAGGACTACAAACTCCGTGCCAAGTGAGTAATGTCCCTCACTCTCACAATATGCCTCCTGCAGCTGCTCACTAGGACCTGCCAGTATCTTGCACTGCAGCAATGTGATCATCATCATTTATTGCGTTTATATCTCACCTTTTCCTCCAAGGAGCTCCAAGTGGTGTACATGGTTCTCCTCACTCTTCATTTAATACCCATCCCTCCTCATTTCATCCCAACAATCCTGTGAGGTAGATTAGGCTTAGAGGCAGTGACTGGCCCAAGGTCACCCAGTGAGTGTCATGGCCAAGTGGGGATTTAACCCCTGGTCTCCCAGGTCCCTAGTCCAGCACTCTAGCCACTGCACCACACTAATGTGGCTGTGTCAAGTTTGTCTGACCCTTAAATGTGCTGACCCCAAAATGGTGTGCAGGAGGTCTCTGCTACTTCATTTCCCTGCTCAACAGTTGATGAACGGGAAGGCTTTTCTTGCAGCAGGCAAGGAAATGGGGTCTCCGCCATGGGCATTGGCAGGTTTTGTTGTTGGGGGGGGGGCAGAACCTCAGTTAGTTAACTATTTTTATTGATTATAATTGATCAATTAAATAAATTTTATTGGGCCCAGTTCTTGTGAGCAGCTAAAATTGGGCCCAAGAATGAATTGACAACCAATGTAGTTGTTTTAAAATATGGGTTGTGTGCCATCTAAATGGAGCCCCAGGCTGCAATGTGGCTGCTGCATCTTGAATGAATTGAGGTTTAAGTTGTCTTCATGACCAGCACCATGTGGAGTGTGTTACAGTAAACTAATCTGGAATATTTGGAGGGTAAAGCATTCCCTTAATCATCTGTAGTACTTTGTGTGTTCATGGCAGAGGCTTGCATTAGTTCCTGGTGAAATAGAAAAGCCCTGCCACTGGATCAAACCAAAGGCCTCTTGAGTCCAGCATCCTAGTCTCACAGTGGAGAACCAAATGCCTGTGGGAAGCCTCCAAGCAGGAACTGAGTGCAACTGCACTTTCCTTATTTGTGATGCCTGGCAGCTGATATTCAGAAGCGTAAAGGAAGGAGCAACTCTTCCCTTCCCCCTTTTCTAGCCCACTCGTAGCCTCTCTGTGGAGGAAACTCTTTGTGTGGAAAGGCTGTGCTAATGTGGATGTTTTGTTGCCTTTCAGTGACTACCATAAGAAGCGGAATGCGCTCCAGGCGCTTCGCAGGAAGGCCGAGGAGAAGAACCCGGATGAATTCTATTACAAAATGACCCGTGTGCAGCTCCAGGTGAGAGTCTGCCTTGGGAAGCAGCCCTGCATAAGGGGGGGACATGGCTTCCTGCTTGTTTGTCCAAGAAGCAGATAGCGGATCAAATAGTCTTATTAGCCTGAGTAGAGAATAGGATGGGACTATTTTTGAAGGGTGTGTATGTTCTGTGACCAACTTGAATAGCTTTAAAAGAGATTAGACAAATGCATAGAGGATTAGGCTCTATTTTACCTCCACTGTCAGAAACAGTTTGATTCGGAATACCAATTACTGCAGATTGGAAGTGGGGAGAGTGCTGTTGCATTCAAGTCCTCCTTATTGGCTTGCTGTTGGGCATTTGGTTGGCCACTGTAAGAAGAGAATTAGATAGGTCTTTGGACTCATCCAGATGGATGGGCTCTTCTTATGTGGGGCTGCATTGGGGGAGAGACAGTTGCAGTGTAGATTCTGCTGCTGACCTTCATGGCTTGACTGACTGGGTGGGGGTAGGGATAAATGCCCTTGTTTGCATCTGTATATTTGTCCGCTCCATCTTTTCTACATCTTGTGGAGCACAAGAAACCCCATCCTTGCTATTTTTGTCTTTGGAGTATTCCTGTTTAATTTTCCTGTTCTGTTTGCTTGTTTGTTTGCCAGACGGAAAAGGGGGGTTACTGGCTTGTTCTACAGTGCCTAACCAGTCAGATCTGTTGCAGAGATTGTTGTCATTTTAGGTTTCTGTTGTCCCAGCCCAATCTAAGCTCTTATGGCACCACTGACTCTGTCTGACCAGAAAGTATGTATGTTTTCTTACTGGCAGGATGGAGTTCACATAATTAAAAAGCAGGAAGAAGAAACCACGCTGGAGCAGCAGAAGCTGATGAAGACACAGGACCTGAAATACATTGAGATGAAGCGGGTAGCTGAAGTCAAGGTTAGAGCACATTCCTTTTTTCTTTTTTTAAAAGATATTTATTAAAGGTTTAATAGGTACAGAAAAAAGAAGAAAGAAACAATAAAAAGTTCACAATACATCAAAAATAAAGAAAAAAAACAAAAAACACACACAACAGAACAACAAAAAAAGCAAAAACATTTAAAAAACACATCCAATATCTCTATATCTCTACCTTTCATTTACTTATGTCATCGACCTCCTCACACCTCCCTTTTTTGTATTCTTGTTCAATTAGCTATTTCAGCAAATCCTTTCCATCTTTCTTAATTTTTGTTCTATAATTTATCTTAACACAATTAACCTTAAATTTCCACTTTTACCCATTAACAATCTATTTTTACTTAATTCTTTATAACATTTCTGCTAAAGCCATATAACTTCATTCCAGCATCTTTCTAACATTCATTAATTTTACAATATTTCTGTAAATAAGCTTTAAATTTTTTCCAATCTTCTTCCACTGACTCTTCTCCCTGGTCTCGGATTCTGCCAGTCATTTCCGCCAACTCCATGTAGTCCATCAGCTTCATCTGCCATTCTTCCCTGGTAGGTAGATCTTGTGTCTTCCAGTGCTTTGCGATAAGTATTTTTGCTGCTGTTGTGGCATACATGAAAAAAATTCTATCCTTCTTTGGCACCAATTGGCCTACCATGCCCAGGAGAAAGGCCTCTGGTTTCTTTAGAAAGGTATATTTAAATACCTTTTTCATTTCATTATAGATCATCTCCCAGAATGCCTTAATCTTTGGGCACGTCCACCAAAGGTGAAAGAATGTACCTTCAGTTTCATTACATTTCCAACATTTATTATCGGGCAAATGATAAATTTTTGCAAGCTTGACTGGTGTTATGTACCACCTGTAAATCATTTTCATTAAGTTCTCTTTTAAGATATTACATGCCGTAAACTTCATACCAGTGTTCCATAACTGTTCCCAGTCAATCATCATAATATTATGTCCAACATCTTGTGCCCATTTAATCATAGCAGATTTCACCATTTCATCTTGGGTATTCCATTTCAACAGCAAGTTATACATTCTTGACAAATTCTTAACTTTAGGTTCTAGCAATTCTGTTTCCAGCTTTGATTTTTCCACCTGAAAACCTAGTTTTTTATCCAAATTATATGCCTCCATTATTTGATAATAATGGAGCCAATCTCGTACTCTGTTTTTTAATTTTTCAAAGCTCTGTAGCTTTAATCTGTCACCCTCTTGTTCTAAAATTTCCCAATACTTCGGCCATTTGGCCTCCATATTGAGTTTTTTCAAAGCCTTTGCTTCCATTGGTGAAAGCCATCTTGGGGTTTTATTTTCTAACAAATCCTTATATCTTATTCAGACATTAAACAGTGCTTTTCTTACAATATGGTTTTTAAACGCTTTATGTGCTTTGACCTTATCATACCACAAATATGCATGCCAACCAAATACATTATTGAAACCTTCCAAATCCAAAACATCCGTGTTTTCAAGAAGCATCCATTCTCTCAGCCAACAAAAAGCGGCTGATTCATAATAAAGTTTTAAGTCTGGCAGGGCAAATCCACCTCTTTCTTTAGCATCAGTTAATATCTTAAATTTTATACGAGGCTTCTTGCCCTGCCAGACAAATCTGGAGATATCTCTCTGCCACTTCTTGAAACAGTCCATTTTGTCCAAAATTTGCAGTGTTTGAAACAAAAATAACATTCTTGGCAATACATTCATTTTTATCACAGCAATTCGGCCTAGCAGCGATAGCTTCAAATTTGACCATATTTCTAAATCTTTTTTCACTTCAGTCCAGCATTTTTCATAATTATCCTTAAATAAATTCACATTCTTAGCAGTCATATTAACCCCTAAATATTTCACTTTCTTAACCAATGTCAGACCTGTCTCCTTCTGGAACTTCTCTCTCTCAATCTCATTTAGATTTTTCTCCAAAACTTTAGTTTTCGTCTTATTCAACTTAAAACCTGCTACCTGACCAAATTCTTGAATCAATTCTAATACTCTTTTTGTACTTGATTCTGGCTCCTAAGGTTAGAGCACATTCCTTTCACCCTCTGGGATTCCCACTGGAGTTAAAGGGAATTCACTTCCTGGCACTTATTGTGGGTGTATGAAGGGTTAACAGTCACCCCCGTAAATGCTGCTCCCTGGTCTACCACATGTGGAGTTGGGAAGGAATAGTGGTTGTGTTTGGCTGTCTTATATGTGACTTGGCTTGCTTGCAAGAGCCATGTGCCAAGCTTTCCACCGTGCTTCTGTTTTGTGTGATTCACCCTGGTCTGGTTTTTGTTCATGAATGATTGTGGAGAGCTGCCTGGCAGCTGGATGGCCATGCCTTGTGCTAGGAGGCTGCCCTAGACAGATGGCCTCAGGGAGCCTGGGGACCCTCCTTTCTATCAGGCCAGCCTATTGGTCCCACTGGTTCTGTTGCCTACTCTGGCTGGTGGTAACTCATCCCAGGGAGAGGAAGGCCTCTGCTTGTCAGGCAGAGGTGTTGGGGACTGTGCTTTTCACAGTCTGCGTGCAAAGCCTGTGCTCTTCCCTGAGTTCAGGTCCTGCCCCACCACTTCCAGCTCTCCTGGTTCTGTGGCTCCCAGCAAAGATGAAGACTTGAGTCACTTTTCTCTCTTAGAAAATTGAAAGGCTGAAGTCGGAGCTCCACCTGCTGGAAGCTGAGGGCAAGCAGCCGAACAAACACACATTCTTTTTTGACACAAAGAAGGAAGGTAAGGGGGGCATGTATGGCGGATGTGGGGGGCACTTGGCTGCTCTCTCCCCACCCTCCTCTTTCTTGTTTACTTTTCCGTCAGAGGAACCTTCCTTCTCATCCTTCTCCTTTGACTCTAATGCACTTGTGCTGAAGAATGTTGTGGGGGTTGTGGGATGGTAGTTGGAAGAGGGGAAGGGAGGGAGCTGCCAGAGGCATAAGAGCCTGCTGGATCAGGCCAAAGGGGGCCCATCTAGTCCCACATTTTGCTCTCACAATGGCCAACAAGATGCCCATTAGGGGAAACCTGCGAGTGCAGGATTTGAGCACAAGAGGCCTCCCTCCTCCTATGCCTTCCAGCACCTGGTATTCAGAAGCCCCCAGGCTGCTTCCTGTTCTGCATGACCCTTCCTTAGGGCTCTGGAGTGTCTGGTGAGTGGTGTTTCTTGGCTGACTTTGCCAACCCCAGGGCCTTCTCTTTTTTCCAGTGCAAAGATTTGACATTGCCACCCATCTGAACACTGCACCGGAGCTGGTGGGCAGAGTGTACAACCGGCCAACCCTTGAAACTCTGCGGAAGGAAACTGTTCGGGGGGCCACCACCCAGGGCCAGTTGAAGGTCTGTGCAGCTGCTTCTTATCAGCTCCCTAGAGTCTTCTGCTTGGGAGCTAAACTGAGGGTGTCGAAGTGGGAGGACCCATGTTCTCATCCTGGTTGCATGCTTCGGCTTATAGCCCGCTGAGTTCTGCTCATTTAATTGGAGTTCTGCTCCACTTAAATGAATGGATCTCAGCTATTGATTTAAAGGGGTTTTTTATGGGTACTTTGCGTAATGCTAAATATTGCCCCAAGTGCCACTAGGACTAGCGGAGAGGTGGTGGAGTTCTCTCAGCTCCCTGCAGATACGGGGTGACGTGTTAAATCTAGGTAGGCAGATAAGAAGGAAAATATTTCTCAGCCCGGGGTTGGCGGCTGCTGATTTTATTTATAGTCCTCAGGCTTGCACGATTTGGGAAATGGGCCAGAGGGAGCCAGACGTCTGCTCAGTGTGTTTGAGAGTGGGGGAAGGGGATTCCCCCCTTTCTTCCTCCACGTTCAGTTTGATTGGCTCCAGCCTATCAGGAAGCTCTGCAGAAGGTCACATGACTCCTGCCTGGGATACGGAGGAGGAGGAAGCCTTGAGGAGCAGAAACATTGGGCAATACCCGGCAGCCTGAGAGGAATTCAGGGGCCATCCAGAACTGCTGAGGCAGAGACTGCTGTGGCGGGAGATGGGAGATAAGGTCCCCACCCTCCTGTTGGCATATTGCTGAAGTCGCTGTGCTAGTTCAGACTGGTGGGTTCTCTTCTCTTCCAGGAGAACTGAGTCACCTTCTGAAGGTGCGACAAGTCTGGATCCGTCGTCCTCAATGGTGCTAATTAGCTCACACCTGCCTTGAGATGGCCTTGCTCGGGAAAGCTGGGTCTGGCAGCCTGGGGCCTGGGTGCCGTGGGGATCGGCAACATGCTCCCTGGAAATGGCATTGAGCCAGGCCCACAGGAGAGGCCCAAACTCCCTCTGTACCTGCTGTGGTGAGATGTGAGACCTCCAGGGTTCCCAGAGCAGCCTGCCTGCTTTTGTCAACCCACCCCATCCCACTGGCCTAGTATATGTTTATGTCTTCCTTGGCCTGTTGCTGTGAATAGTTAGGAAGGGTTGGGTTGAAAGGAAGATGCTCCTTTGGGAAAGTCTCTTTGAGAATCCAGGGGAGAAGTTTGACTGCAGGGTGTCTGTGGCTTCTCTTGAGAATCTGGCTGCAGAGGGCTGCTTTTTCACATGTTGAATGTTTAGCTGTGAGATGGACTCTGGTGAAGGTGCCCTTCCTCAGTTACAACTCACAGCAGCCAGCATGACTTCTTGTCAAGGATGATGATGGGAATTGTAGTCCAGCAACATTTGGAGAGCATTGGAATAGGGAAGGTTTGCCTGCAGGGTTGAAAGTGGGGTATGCTGGGAACTTTCACTTAACCCACCGAGAAAGAATTGGAGGCAGCCTTGGGCATGGTGTCTTCTCCTTAAGATCGGTTGGAGACACCTGGCGTTTCAGGGAGGACTTGTTTCTGTCCATTGCCAAAAGCAATAAATGTCTCTCTCTCTTTTGTCTTAAGAAATTAGCCCGCCAGAGGAAGAGTCAGTACAGCCTCCTGAAGCAGCGCATTGAGAGGGAGCGGAAGATGTTTGTCATCGCTCAGAAGCTCCAGACCCGGAAGGACCTTTTGGTGAGGGAGCAGACTGTGTCTTTGCCTTCCACCTACTATTGCTTCCCTTTGCTCTTGGCTGAGGTGGCAGTATCTTGCTACTGCCTTACAGTGGCTTCTCCTGCCTCTTTTCCAGGGAACATGGGAGGGGGGGTCAATGTGTGTCTTCAGAGAGGATCAGTCAGCCCTTCCTGCTTCCCAAGGGTTATGTGGGCAGTTCCACAACCAGTTTGAGAGACTGAGAGATCTAAGATGGGTTGCTTGACTCCTTGCTGCTTCCCAGCCCCCTACCCTATGCCTGGCTTTTCTCTCTTGAGCCTTATGAGAAGGGTATGTTGCTTTAAGAAGCCCCACTTTCTTCTCCCCCAATTTCAGGACAAAGCCCACAAAGTGAAGCTGAAGAAAGAGACCGTCAACCAGCCAGCTATTTACAAATTCCAGTTCAGGCGGAAGCGCTGACTGCCGTGTGCTGTGGTGGGTATGATGAAGGACATCTTATTCCACGATAACTTAGAGGAGGTTCCCCCACTCCCACCCCGGCAAGTGGCCTTTCTTGGTGGAGCCGTCTCATTGCACAAATTCATTTTCTCGTTTTCAGAATAAATGTTGTCTTGTATACCTTCTTTTCAAACAAATCCACTGGGAGCAATTCTGATTTCTATTGCTTGTGTGAAGGGGCTCACTGAACATGCAGAGATGGGGCCCTAAGGTGGCCTTGTCAACCCATCATAACTGGCAAGAAAATGTCTCTTCCTCTCCAGATTTTGAACTTCTGCACTGGAACACCTGGGTATGTAATGCAAGTGGGTGAATAATAATAAATTCAAACCAAAATGAGCAGTGAGACTTGCATAAAGAAGGTACTTCTTTTCTTCACCCCATGTATTAAGTTATTTGGCAGTTGAGATTACAAGAATATTGACTTTCCCTGTCTGGGATGGGGCTTACTTTGGTTTCCTCTTGTGTAGGCAGAGAGCTAAGGGGAAGGATTGGCTGGGAGTCATGGCAGTCCCAGATTCCCCCACTCGGTGAGCTGTGCTGATTGACTAGCCTGCCGTAGGCTGCTTTGCTTCTGAAGGATTCTGAAGGGGTTTGGCTGAGCCCGCCTGGGATGTGGAGAGGGTAAAATTCTGCCCACCTTCTGCTCTCCGCAGGTACAATATATTGTGCCACTCTGATAGGGCAGCAGGGAGAGCCTTCCAGAGGAGCAGCCAGCTGGCATTGCCCATCTGAGCTTCTTGGACTTTGCCTAGCAGTGGAGGCTTAGTGCGGAATGCCCAGCAGGTGGCAGTGCTGCTCTGTGGCTGCAGAGGACTGTGCTGGTTGGGGGAAAGCCAGCCAGAGCAGAAAGGGAGCTGCTGGAGTGCTCCTAACCACTCAGCCAGAGGTTGCTTGCCTTGACTCCCATCTGAGATACCAAAGAACTGAGCCAATGTTATTTGAAGTTGATGCTGATGCTGCTTTCAGCATGCAGACCCCTGTGGTGTGGCTCAGGTCTTTGTCTCCAGCAAGATCAATTGGGGTTTCTGTTTACTTTTGTTCTTAATGTGTGTAGCTGAACTGCATTCTTCGAGGTGGACCTTTGCAAATGGGTTTCTGCTGCCAGGAGAGGGAAGCCCAGCTGGGACACCCTCATCATAGGCTGCAGACTCTCACCTCGATGAGTGCCCCTCTGGTCCCCCCCCCCATGTTCTCCAACCATATGAGGAGGCAAAAGAGTGAGGGGCATCCTGTATTCTTTCAAGGTGGGCCCTTGCTGGTTTCCTCTGGGCACCTGATGGTTGTATGTTAGGTGGTAGGCTTTGGTGATCCAGGCTGATGATCCTGCAGAGCCCTGTTTACTTGGTATGATACACACCATTAGAATCTCCTGCATTCTCCACACCAGTATTATATAAGGCAGAAGGAGAAAGGAGGGATCTGAAATGCATTTTGGGGCAGACATCCCAGCTGCCTCTGTCCTGGAAGTGTGCCTGCCCACTTGTGGCAGGTGTTCAATCCCACCTACAGCAAGAAAGCTGTAGCTCAGCAACCCAGGATTAGGTGCAGGGAGGTTTGCTTCCTAGACAAGGCATGCAAAGTCTTTGCTAAGGTCGGTCCCTCCTTTCCTCTTTCGGCCCTCAATCTTGCAGAGAGTCGCCCTGCTCATCTCACACCTGGGGCAGTATTTTTTCCTGCAACCTCATCCAATCCCTACAGGGTTTTGTGAGGGTGAAAGGCTGCAGAGGAGCATGAGAAGAGCCTGGAGGCTGGATCTAACCAAAGGCTGCCCATCTAGTCTTGCACTCTTATTTCGCAAGGCCCAAATGAGCCCAAAAGCAGGACCTGAGTGCAAGAGCACTTCCCTGCCCCGTCTGATCCCCCCAATAATTGGAATTCAGAAACATGCTCCCATCTCTGAGCCTGGAGATGATGCAGCCAGTGTGAGCAGTAGCATTTGGTAACGTCTTCCTCCCTGAGTAGGCATTCTAAGAGCCATTTGTAGGAAGGTGATTCTCATGCCCCTATCTCTAGCAGGTCAGCATGGAGCTTTCGGAGCCAAGGGGTCGCTGGAGGCTTGTTGCCAGGTTCTCCTTACCTCGTCAAAAGAGGTGCTCAGCCCCCCCCACCAACCCAATTTCTTTGGACTTGGGGTCATCTTGGCCAGCTCTGGCATAATTCATGCTTGGAATGTGGAAAAGGCTTCCATAAGGTCCTCCAGACCCTTCCTGCTGCAGATAGAAGCCCAGAAAAGTGCCTAGATTGGCAACCAGGGCTGCTGTACAGATCTCTCTTCTCTTCCAGTGTCCCTGGGACAATGCTCTGAGTGCTGAGGCACCCATACCTGCAGCTCTTTTGCTGCAGGACTTTCCTGTATTTCTCAACCCTGGTGAAGTCTGGAGTGGGAAGCATGGGGTGGGGTCTCTGAGCCCCCAGCGCCTGCCTGGAGGGATCTGTGGGGGAGAGAAGCAGCTGGGGATAATTATAGTAACAGGAACTGAACAGGCAGGTTTCTGGGAGCTGGAAGCTCCTTCCTCCCTCCCCGTCTCCCTGCTGGGTGATGGTGCAGCTGGGCTCCAGGTGACTCAGTGTGTGGCAAAGGGTGGTGGAGCCCTCTTGGGAAATAACCTACTTGCTTGTGCCACAGCCGGGCAGAGAGCCAGCTGCCCGCTTGCTGCCCTGAGCCCGGGCTGCTTGGGGGCCACTTGCCTGGGCTTCTGGGTGGCTGATCGGGGGAAACCAAGAGTGTTTGCCTATCCTTGCTCTCTGAATTTGGCCTCCCTCAGAGGTGTGTGAAGATAGGTATGTTTGTGGAGAAGAGAGCCCTGCAGGCTTCTTTTTAAATCCTCTCTGCAAGCCTGCAGATTGATCAAGAGTTTGTCCCAGAGCAGCAGCAGCCTTCTCTCTGTCAGATAGGAGGCAACTGAGCACCTTGGCTGCAATCCCACTGGGCTAATTCAAGCTGAAGCTTTTCTGCCTGCCTGCACCCTGCATAGAGTAGGGAGCTGTCCTAGACCACCATGCAAGCCCATCTCACTCAGCCTTGCTTTCACTGGGACCGGCTGCGAATCTCCATGGTTTCAGGCAATGTCTTGCTGAAAGGAAGGGGAGAGGTCAGGGTTTGAACTTGGGACTTTTTGCATGTAGTTTGATATATTCCAGAGTGGCTTCTGACAAAGAGCAACCCAATTGCACTTTCGTATCCATTGCCACTGCTAGGAGCAGCTAGCCTGCGTCTTGGGCACAGCTGTCAACATGAGGCTTCCCGCGGTTTGAACATGGGCTGTCACTCCTTCACAGGAAGTCATGGCATTGGCATGGTTGGAGCTTCACGCTGGGTCCTTGGCAAGGGGCCTTTGGTGCCTCGTTGTGCTTGAGGAGTCCTCAGAGAAGGAGGTGGTTCAAGGTAGCCTCTGCTTCTATCCCAGGCAGGTCAGGGCAGTTAATAACAGCTGCCACAGTGTGCCAGGAACGTATTGACAAGTCTTCCCTTGAACCATTGCTGCAGCGCCTTCCAGCCCCAGCTGCTTTGAAAGCCAGTCCCTGGCACAGAGCAGGAGGAGAACATAAGAGCCTGCTGAATCAGGCCAGTGGCCCATCTAGGCCAGCATCCTGTTCTCACGGTTCTTAACCAGATGCCCCAAAGGGAAACCAGCAAACAGGACTCTGAGCACAAGGGCAGTTTTTCCCCTCCTGAGGTGTCCAGCAGCTGGTATTCAGAAGCATTGCTGCCTCTCCTAACTGTGGAGGCAGAGCATAGCCATGGCAGCTAGTAGTCATTGATAACATCCTCCATGAAATTGTCTAGTAGTCATTGATAACCTCCTCCATGAATTTGTCTATAACCTTTTAAAGCCATTCAGGTTGGTGGCGATCACTGTCTCCTGTGGGAGCGAGTTCCATAGTTTAACTTGTGTGCTGCGTGAAGAAGCATGGGTCAGCCAAATCCAGCCTGGGGGCTTCTGTGGAGTTTCAGGGCAGAATTACTGAGCAGCCCAAAGAAGTGGCATGGGGAAATAATTTTGCTGGTGGAGAGGACCAAGCAGTCAAACCAGTCGCACACACACCTGCACTTGAAAGCCCCATGGATGGGCTGCCCTGGACACCCTGCCAGGAGCCCCAGCCCCCAGTCAACCCTCTCCGCTGCTCTTCTGGGAGGGGCGAGCAGTTTCCTCATGCATTGTCATGAGCTGGGGGCAGGGGGACAGGCAGGCTTTCTTCTTAGTCAGAGCTGGAGCCGAGGTCTGTTTTGGCTGCTCATCAGCATCAGGGAACTGTGTCCCTGCGAGGTTTGATACAATTTAATTAACCTAATTAAAAGCTCTGATTGCAGAGATGATTGGGGTAGAGCCAGCAGCAACTGCATATTTATAATGAGCTGGAAGGTGTGGGACCTCCGCCAAGCGATATGCATCTCTAATGAGCTGCTGCTGGTGCGATCTGAGCGCGCCTTTGGAACGTGAACATTTATTTTTGGCAACGGCGGGCAGTTTATCGCCAAGACGCGGAGGGAGGGAGCCTCCTTCCTTCCCAGCTCCAGGCGTGGCTCTCCCACTCCCAGCCCCCTTGACAGACACAGACGCAGCCTTGCCAAGGTGCAAAGGCAGGCAGGCAGGCAGGCAAGCAAACAAACACCCACCCTGCGTGCAAACCTGAGCCCAGAGAGAGAATCAGAGAGATGCACCCAGGCTCCTTCCCTCTCAGTCATTCATAAAACCCAGCACATACTCCATGCTCCTGGCCTCATGCAGCCCACCCTCTGAGCCCTGCTGGTACATGCAGTGTCTACACCCATCCACCCCAGCTGCCCAAATATCTCCCTACTGTCTAAGTAGCCTCTCCATGCCCTTTTGGGGGAGCTCCCGCAAGGCCTGGCTCTTTCTCCAGCCTCTGACTGAAAGAGACTCTCAGTCCACCGAGACCAGGATAGGCTTTGGAGAGCCACTGTGGTGTAGTGTTAGACTAGGATCTGGGAGACCAGGGTTCAAATCCCCACCTGAGTCGTGAAACTCACTTGGGTGACCTTGGTGGCCAGTCAGTGCCTCTCAGCCTAACCTACCTCACAGGGTTGTTGTAGTAATTAGGTGAGAAGGAGGACCAAAGGGAATCCTGCCTGCCCCACTACCTGAGTGAGTTTTAACCTTCTTCCATGCATAGCTGGAGCACCTTCCCACCAGTTTGGACCCAGAGCGGTGGCTGATCCATGCCAGGCTGTTGCTGGGAGGCAAGGGGACAAGATGGTCAGTGAAGGAACACCCACACACCCCTCCTTCCAAACTGCATTAGTTCCTCTGCACAGCAAGGAAGCTTCCTCAGAGACCCCACTGTGAGATCTAGTTTATCTGCAGTGGACAGGACAGGCCTGGCCTGGTCACAGGGGAGAAGGTCAGAAGATAAAATGAGGCAGAGGTGTGTAAAGGTGTGGGAGTCAAGCAGGGAGGTGGAGAGCTGTTTTGATGTTGACCACTATTTGTTGGCAGCTCCACTTCCAGGGATTCATCTTTCTGCAAGCACAGCACCATCTTCAGGCACATCCTCCAGGGATTTTCTTTTCCTTTCTTTCGGACCAAATGGGCCCTATGGTGGCTTGCAATCTTTAAAAATGTATCAGTAAAAAATAAAATGCAGAACTTGTTACACATTTTTTTAAATGTTAAATTGGAGCTAACTAAAATAAATTCAGTGGAGGGGAGGAAAACACTCAAGGCTTGGTGAAATAAACATGTTTTTACAGTTTGCCCAAAGGGTCTTAAATGAATGGGCTCCTTTGGTTTCCTGGGTGCTGCAACTTCAAAGACTCTCGCCTCCTGTATCCCAGCTGAGTGCACCTCTAATGGAAACGTGACCTGGAGCAAGGCAAACACAGTGTGATATCAGCAGGTTCATGTTATATCAGTAAGTTCTTGTAATATGGCCCATCACAAATCCTGGCCCCAAACTGTTAGGGCATTGAATCGGGCCCAGAAAGGAAATGGCAGTCTGTGCAGATTGTACAACTCTGGAAACAGCCCAGGTGAAGTTCTGGCAACTGCCTCTTGATTTCCAGACTTGTTTCAAAGGCAGCCCCACAGAGAGCATCTTTCAGGCATTAATCTTGATGGGATGGTAGCATGTTTGACAGTGACCACCTCTTTTTTTTTTGATGCACTTTGGAAAATGGGCAAAACCACTTGGAGCCACAGCTGCCCCCTGAGCATCCAAGAGTGCTCCTAAACTGGACCTCAACCTTCCAGGGTATGGAACCTCATTTAGGACAGGGAGGTCAACGAAGGCGCCAGGCGGACCTCTCTGGGGAGAGTATTCCATAGACGGAAAACTAACTCAAAAGTCCCTTGTGGTCATAGTGAACTTATGCCCAACTTCCAAGGAGATCGTAGCACCAATGCCCATAGGGTAGCAATCCTCCCCCCACCTCCTGAATAAGGCCCCTTGCATCAGAAATAACTGCACCATCATTTCTCTGGGGGATTGGGGATTTCCATTGTAAAAGGCCTGGTGGGACAACAGTGGTGACTGAGCTACCAACTTCAGAAGAAGTAGTCGTCATCACCGATCCCACCACCTCATCTAAAGAGTATGAATTTGAACCCCTTGTCTGCCTGCCTGTGAAAGACAGCATCATCTGGTTTTACTGGCCATACAGGGAAATCAGAAGGCTGCCTTGGCTCAGAGAGAACCACCACCACCACCACCAGCAGCAGCAGCTAGTCACCAGCTCCAGCTGGCTATCCCACCACAGCAGAACAGAGAGACAGGAGTCCGCACAGCTGCACATGGTGGGTGGCTGGCTGGCAGGGGTTCAGTGCATTGAAGTAGCCCAGATTGAGCCCTGCTTGTGTCTATGCCCCCAAGTCTTTCCTAATCCCTCAACAAGCAGGGTGGAGTCCCAAGGAATGTGTTGGGGGTGGGTGGGAGGCATGTGCGTGTCCTCAAGTGACCGGCCCCCTCCTCTAAGGTGGCTCTAGCCTCCCACTGCACGGGGGTGGGAAACACTGTGGTTCCAGGAGTCACATTTTTGGAGTGGTCTCTCTGCTGCCCGAGCAAATAAATGTCCCAGCAGGCGGACAATTGTGTGCTTATGAGGGGCTCTGCCGGAGGCTCAAGTGCCCTTTGTAGGGGACTTGTCAGCAGTGTGTGCTTTTGCTGAGCGTACACTGAGACCCCTCCTCTCCTCCCTCCAGAAGAAAAGGCTTCGCTGAATGCCCACACTGGGGACTTTGTTCCCCGGGGGCTTGAGGGCTCTGTGGCCTGTGCCAGCCTTGCAAAATGGGTCTTGCAGACCTGCGTGGTGAGAGATAATGTTTCCTTCTTATCTACTGCTGCCCACCTACACGAGGGCCAGGGGGCTGACCTTCCAAAACAAGCCTTGATTCTTCCGAGGATTGTTGGCACCCTCCCAGGCCCGCTCTGCTCACAGGGTGGCCCTTGTGCTTGCTGCATGGAGGGACCCCGATCTGTGGCTCAGCCCACGCAGGCTGAGGCTGCACAAAGGGAGCTCAGGCGGCCGTTCGGCCCCTCCCCGGGCATCTTCTGGGCAAGAATGTTCCCTTTGCTGCATATAATAATATAAATGCACACAGAGGGAGGTGGCTGCCTGCGTCAGGCCTTTCGCTTGCTCTCTTGGGAGCACAATCTCGGCCCCCCAAAGGTGAAATCTCTCATCACAGCTGCCCATGAATCTTGGGCTGGCTTCATTCAGTTCCTATGGAGATCTGAAACTTGATTTTAAAGGGGCCCAATTACTACAAACTCGGGGTACAATCCCATAGAGCAGGTATATTCAGCCTTTTCAGGTTCAGGATCCACTTTTAACCCAAACATGCATTTGGGGGACTTGTTTCTTAATTTTTTATCCTGCTGCAACTGCCCTTGGATCAGGCTGCAACCCACCAGTCCAAGGCTAAGGAGGAGTCACACAGGCTCAGTGGTAGAGCATTTGCCTTGCATGCAGAAGGTTCCAGGTTCAATCCCCAGCATCACCAGGTAGGCTTGGGAGAAATCACTGAGAGCCACTCAATGTAGACAGTACTGAGCAAGATGGACCAGTGGTCTGACTCTGGATAAAGCAGCTTCTGATGTTCCTATGAGTGGATGAGCTGCTGGGCTGGTGGAGCTCCCCTGGGATGGCCAGCAGAAGCTCCATGAGGGCAGAAGCTCCTGCAACAGAGCCGGCAACAATAGGGGAGGGCTGTGGGCCTGGCACTGTTTGGGCACATCCTCTGCCCCTTGGTTTGAAGGGCAACAAGGACACCTGGGGCTGGTGGAAGAGAAGTCAATGGGAAAGGGAATATCAAAATAAGAAAGTCCACCTCCCCCCGGAAATGACAGAGGGCAGGATACAGTGCAGCTCAGCTCAGCAGCTAGGCACAGCAGCACCCCTCAAGCAGTCAATAAGCCCCCTGCATAAAATGTCCAGATCAAAGGATGAAGCTCTCCTCTAAAAAGGAAACACCTGCTTCCAAAAAGAGGCTTCTGAGCATGTGCCAAGTACCCTTTCGAAAGGGCTTCAAGGTGTGCCTGAACCCCATCACTCCCATCTCTTGGAAAAGTCACATCCCCACCCCTTTTTCTGCCTAGGTCAGGGGCAGAGTGTTCCGCTTTGGGACCATGAAGGGCCTTGTTAACAGAGTTGCCTGGCCTAGATCCCATCAGGGTGACAGGTGTGGGAACGTTGAGGATATTAGGAGAGGATATCTTGATTAAATATCCTTCCTCACTCATGCTAGTGAGCTGGTAGCAGAGCACATTCCCCTGTATATCACAAGAAGCTAGTTGGTAGATTCATTAGAATCTCTTGAGTTAAGCAATCCAGTCTGGCTTGTCCAGTTTGGATTTGTTCCTGGTAAATTCCCCTTTGATTCCCTCTTAAAAAGAATAAAGACACAACAGTGTTCTCTTAAAAGTAATAAGAAGTTTACTTACATTCAGTTCACAGTGTGATCCTGAAGACAGGCTTTGGCTTGCAGTTACAGAAGAGAGTGTGGGTTCATCCCTCATGGGGACTGAGCCCATGTGCTGCTGGCTGAGAGCCAGCAGAGAGCAAAAGAACAACAAGATGGAACAAGGTGAAACAGCAAAAGGAGAAGCGAAGATGGCTGCGTGACCAGCCCTTTTATGGGGTCTCCCAGGGTCATGCCCATCTACCTGGTCACATGTAGGGGAAGGATGCTCCAGACAGGTGTGACAGGAAGTCCTCCTGGCTGGAGTAACATCCCCCTGTGTGTCCACTCTGGGCAAACAGGAAATGGTGTATTTGACTGCTACAGTGATGTCACATCCCACAATAGGTTGTGGGAGCATGAAGGACCAGGCAAGAGGGGTCCCTTCAGTCCAGGCCACCACAAGGCTCATGGCTGCCAAAAGGTTCTTTGGCACTTTGGAACTCCCTGTCTATTAATATCAGGTGGGTGCCTTCACTGTACTCTTTTCGAAGCCTGCTAAAAGCATCCTTGCTTAGACAAGCCTACCCACAGATTCAGAAAGCGGATGCGAGTTTTTATCTCTTTTTACTTTATTTTACTCTCTTCTAGAAAGTCTTAAATTGTTATTAATTCTTCTTAGTGGTAATTGTGTAGTTTTATCCTTTTTGTAAACTGCTTTGAGATTGTTGAGTTTTGGTTTTTTTTAAACCAATCAAGTGGCGTATAGATTTTATGAAATAAATAAATAGTAGTTAAAGTGGGCTGCTGGAATGTGCCCACTGCCCTTGGCACGGGGACAGCTGTGTTTGCCAGATGCAGACAGGCAAATGCCCCCCATCTGGCTAGCCCTGTGCGTGGGATCGCTTTGGGAGCCTCTCTCCTTGCTGGAACAGTCAGGGGGGCATCGCCTGCCTGCTGCACATCTGGGTGAAGTGCAGCGCCCTGCCCAGCCCCAGCCCCAGCTGAATGCACTCCGTGTTCCAGCTGCATTCCAGGACGGGAGAGCTGAACTCTGGCCAGGAGGCCTCGGGTGGACGGAAGCAGCAACCATCCCATCTATGCAGCTGCTTGCCAACTGTCGTCAGAAGGAAGGGATGCCCTGAGCCAGTGACGCGCGCTGGGCTGGCGTGGGGCTGAGGCCCTCCTGCACAGCACTGGCCAGGCTGCCAAGAAGGGGGAGAGGAGCTGCTGTTGCGGCCACCGGATCCTGAACCTTCCTCCAGGGTCAGGCTTTAGTCAGGAGAATCAGAAACAGTGCCTACTGCTGGGTCGTTCCTGACCTCTCTGCCTATTTTAGCTGGCACAGAGCTGCCCGACTGATTTGGGAATGGAATGGAATGTCTTTGCTAAGAGGATCTGGGCATTCTGAACATCATTTTTCAGAATGAACTGAGAATCACAGAACTGTAGGGTTGGAAAGGACCTCAAGGGTCATCTAGTCTAACTCCCTGCGATGCAAGCATCACAGATGACTATCCAATCTCTGATTAAGGAAGGAGAGTCCACCACCTTCTAACTTACACACTTCGGGCCAGGTTTGTGCAAAGGTGGGGGGAGGGCGTGGGGGGGACAGCCAAGTACACTTGCCCCAATCCTCAGAGGGCTAAGCTGGCCAGTGTGGGGCGGGGAGCTGTCAGGGACCAGCTACTTTTTGGTTTGAGTTTATAACTTTATTCTAAAGAGACTCCCACCTGGGTCTCAGACAAGCACTGCATGGGCCTTCTTAGAGCACCTGTGTGGAAATGGGTGCATGTTTTGTTGTCTAGAACAGCTCACCTTGAGCTTAATAGTCCAGAACTCTTCCATATCAACTAAGAACAATCTGATCCATGCACCAAGTTCAGGAGAATGGAGTGAAGCATCCTTAGAAGCAGTTGCGGAGGAAAGGGGTGGCGGGGACCACAGGCTGCACTGGAGCTGCAGGGCGCCCTCCAGTGGATGGGCCCAGTGCTGCCTGAAAATGCAGTATGGGATGCGGCTCCAGCCACCACCTCCTTCCTGGCTGCAGCTGCATTGGTGGAGGAAGGGGTGGTGCGGTCTGCCCCAGGTGTCATCCCTGAGGGGGGGTGTCATCACCATCCAGCCCTCTAGGACACTAGCCCTGCCCCCATGTGCACCGTTCCAGGTGCTGGAACAGCTAGCTCCATCTCAGCTGCCCTCTATCTGAGCGGGAGGTGGCCGGCCCCTGCCCTGGCTCTCCCTGTCTGGTGGGTGGCTTGCCCTGTCCCCATGGATGGCTAGCCCTGCTTCCTGTTCTAGCTACGCTGCTGCATAGAACCTGTGCCCCGCTGCATCAATCACATAAGCTAATACCCAGAGTTGCTCTGGCTTTTGCCTTCTCTCTCTCTCTCTCTCTCTCTCTCTCTCTCTGTGTGTGTGTGTGTGTGAGAGAGAGAAAATCTTTGTGGTGTTCCTCTGACTCTGTCCTCTCCAGTTCTTTAAGGTGTTGGCCAGAACTGGGCAGAGCATACTGGCCACGACCTACCACTAGGGCAAACACAGGCACAGGCAGCCCCTGCTTGTAATGTTGGAATTATTGGTGCAACCCCAAATGACATTCCTTGCAGGTGAAGCTTTTGTAAGATCCTTGTTGTCATGCTTCTTTACTTCGGTTGGGTCAGAGATCCCAGCAGCCTCTCCGCCATTTTGGCCAAGAAGTGTTCCCTTTACTTTTATCTTTCTTGAACTTGTTCCTTATAGCAGGGGATGTTCAACTGAGGGTCATTCCAGATGGGGGTTTAGTGCTATCAATGGGTCTTCCAGACATTGCAGGTGGCTCACCTACCATTTTGTTTTGACATAAGATTTCCCCCAGAAAGGATAAATCCAGATTAAATTGTGTGCGCGCGTGCGTACGTGCAAGATGGCATTTTGATGCAATGATGCCATGTGAACCCTGTGAAAAACTCGCACAGATGAGAAGCATCTCCCACCCCCACAATAAACACTCACCTGGAAGCAGCCTGAGGGCATTTTGAATCTAAGTCCCATCCTCTGATCTCCTCACCACACTGCCCTTCCTATCAGTCTTATGCTCGTTGCTGTGAGCAGCTCTTGTGGTTGTTGTGTGGAGAACGGAGGCAAACTTCCACTTTCCCCCTTCTTGCATCAGCAACAAATGTGAAGGGCATGTTCCATCTGCCTCTTTACCCAGCACACTGGTGGAGACATCTCACACAGGGTGGAACCCAAGAGAAAATCCTGCTGCTCTGGAATGGGGTAATGTTGGTGGCACCTCGGCATGCAAATCCCCTCCTTAAGGCTTCCCTATTGCATGCCTCTGAGAGCCCCTTGCCTTTAGCCCAGTTTGTGAGCCACACAACTTGAGTCACTTGCCTCCACCCCAGCTGGCTACTAGCCCACCAGTTTCTTCCCACTGTCCATCCCCCCTCGGTGGTTGATGGACCCAGCAGTTTCTGGTTTGCAGCTTACAGAAGGGAGACCCAGACACTGCAAGGCCTGGCCTGGTGAGAGATCTGGGGCCCAGCTTGGCCTCCGTAGCTGGAGCTCCACCACTCCTTCCGTGACAGACAGGCAGGTCACTTGACAGGCCGCTCTGGGGTGCCCTGTGACCCCTGGTTATTTATGTGGCCTTGTGAAATTGATGTGCCTAGAGCCCTGGGACAGATAAGTGGAGGCTCCGTCATTAGTTTAAGCAGAGGTGAAAGGTGGTCAATAAAGAGGATTTCATGTCGCATTGATCATCCCTTGGCATTTCCTCCTGGCTCCCACCTCCCAGCCTCCAGGAAGAGCAATTAAAGGCAGAGCCAAAGCTCCACTGGGCAGCGCAGCAGAATTCCCAAGGGTGGCCCAGGGAGCAAGGTCCCTGCCCCTTGAGCCTGGCTTTGACTGCCAACGCAGGCAGGGCTCAACCAGCCTTGCCACAACCAGCCACTCACAGGCATGGAAACAGTTGACTCCGGGATCTGAGAGCTTTGCAGTTTGTTTCTTCAACACCTTCATCAAACAATGCAGAGGCCACCTCCTGCCTTTCTTCCCCGGACTCCAAAATGGTAGGAGAATTTCCCTGCCCATCAACAAAGCAGAAAGCCAGGTCTATGGTGAAGTGGGGCATTGGTTCAATGGGCAGTGGTTCAATTTTGAATTGGTTCAATTTTACTAGTTTTGTTTTAATAATGCTTTGCAGACCTGTTTTTATGTTCCAGTTGCTATTTTCTATCCCATTGTGTGTGTTTGATGTTAACAGAACTCCAGCGTGGTGAAATGGTTTTACTAGTGCCTGGAAAACCAGGGTTCAAATCTCTATTCAGGCATGAAGCTCGCTGGGTGTGACCTTAAGCTCTATTGTATATTAGCTTCACAGGGTTGTTGTGAAAATAAAAAGGGGAGAGAGACCTGTGTATGCCACCTTGAGCTACTTGGAGGAAAAAAGGTGGGGTATAATAAATGCAACAAGCAAGCAAGTAAACATTAAGCACCATTTAGTAGAAAGGAAGAACAAACATTCAACCAACAGCCAAAGCCCTTCCTCAAAGGTCCTTGGTGTTTTTCTTGCTTTTGCCCTTCTCCCCCCGCCATTTCTGCCATCCTTCCAGTTCTCTTGCATAAGATCATATTGCTTCACATGAGACCTAGATTCATAAAATTGGAAGGGACCCTGAGGATCATCTTCTCCAACCTAAATATGCAGCTCTCTCATATGGGGATAGAACCTGCAACCTTGGCATTATCAGTACCATGCTCTAACCAACTGTGCATAAAAAGTTATTCATTGTGGATCCTGAATGCTTGCTAAGAGAAACCCTCCACACCCCATCCATCGGTAGTGATGTGTTTTATGCAAGCCCAAAGGCAGCAAGGTTGGGGTGGGGTTGGGACTTCTCTCCCTTAGATCTTATCCATGCTTCAGAGGCTGCTGAGTGGCTCCTTACTTTGCCAGCTTGGTGGAGCAATTGACCAGGCCATTTTTATTTTTTTTTCAGTCCCCCCCACCCCCCTTATGACTTCCTTAAGTCTGCTGCTCCCTTTGACTTCCTCCAACTTTTGCCCATGGATTCTATAAGACCTTCTGGATGAGATGGGCAAGAGTGAGATCTGCCATGACCCCTCATCTGGCCTCCATCCCTCTTGGCTTTGGCACAAACAGGGCCCGTTGTTCTCACCCTTAGAATGTTGACAGCCAAGAACTTCTGGTGTGAAGGGAAAGAGTTATAGCTGCTTGCCATTCCAGGCCTGTTTTTAATCTTCCTCCAGCAATATTTGTATTCTGCAGCAGACTGAGCCGATGGATTGAGAGTCGGGCAGAAAAGCTCGCAGAGCTGGCAATTTGCAGCTCTTCCCCCCCTAGAGCGGAGCAAACTCTGGCGTGGAAAAGTCAAAGGAAAATTAAAACAAAATTGCCATCAGCTGCCAGATTGCTCCATGTTCCTGCCCGGGAGGTGGTGGAAGGATGAGCCTGGCTGTAGGATCAGACCAAAGGGCTTGCTGCTAGGCCAGCATCATTCTTCAGTGTCATTGGCCATTAGTATCATGGGCCCAGCGCTGTGGAATACTCTGCCAATAGAGGTTCAGCAGTCGCCTTCTGTGCCAACTTTTAAATGAAAACTTTTCTATTCCACCAGGCATTTCGGAATGCACTCCTCCACGATGGTTAATTCATGGCGGTTTTTAACTTTATAGTTTTATGTTTTTATTGCTGTAAATTGCTTTGATTTTATATTTTTATAAAATGATACCGCAGTGTACATTTTAAAATAAATAAGCGATAAATAAATCCTGTTTCCACAGTGACTAACCAGATGCCCCTCGGAAGCTGACAGGCAGTCCGTGGGGAAAAGGGCTCTTGTTCCCCATTCATCCATAGCAACTGGCCTTGAGAGGCATGGCTCTCTGCTCTTAGAGGCTGGAGGCAGATACCATGACGTGGATTTGCCTCATCCTCCTTTAGGCCAAAGCCCCACAATGTGGCCAACACCACACTGTGTGGGAGCAACTCCCACAGTCTAATTGGGTGCTGTGTGAAGAAGCGTCCTTCAAACCCCCCCCCCCCACTGAGTTCCTGTGCTATTATGAGAATGTTGGGGGGCAGAGAACTTCCATCTCTCCACTTCCTCTATGCCATTCACAATTTTACACCCCTCTATCATGTGTGTGCACCCCATTTCATATTACTTTTTACAAACTAAGATGTTCCAAACTTCACGTTGCATGTTTTTATAGAGGAAGGCAGGATATATATATATTTTTAAAAAAACAGCAACCCACAACATTTGTTAAAAACAAAATAGGTACCAACAAGAAACATTTCTGCGTAAAGGTTATCCCTAGAAACCTATTCCCAAAGACGATGCATTCTAGTTCTGTTTGACTTTGTTTATACTGGAGGAAATGGGGTGATAAACTTGCATGGAGGACACTCTGCCTGCCACCCTGGCCTGCCCCAACACAGCAAAGGAGAAGAAAACAGCCCTTTCCACAGGGACCCTTTGGGGCATCTTTCAGTGGCAGACATTTGAAAACCTTCAGGGTGAAAAACAAAACAGAATGAAGATGTTGCGAGGAATTTGGGCTTTAATCAAAGCTTGCCACCGCTGTCCAGTTCTTGTCCTTCAGCTCAGGCTTATAGAGTGCTTTGTGGGGGTGACTCCTCCCAAGTCAAGGAAAAAGGGCTGTAGCAGCCAAAGAGTTTGCACCAAAACCCCTCCATCAGAGACTTGCCACAGGACAGGAGGTGGGAGAGAGGCATTCCTCTTCTTTCTCCACATGCATGGCCAGAATTGAGGACCTGAAACTACAGAGCTGCAAGTGGGCTCTGTGCAGCTTCACAAATCATTTAGAAACAGACTTAAACACATGTCCAAATAATTTAGAAATACATGTAAATTTAAACATATCCCCTTTCTGACCATTTTAAAATTAAAAACCTGGATTACAAGATTACAATTAAAATCCTTAAGAATAACAAGGAACTGTTTATGTTGTATCCATAAGAGCTCCTTGAATTTTAAACTCCATTTTAACAAATGAAATTAAAAGAGGGGGAAAAAATGATTGTAATTCAAATAATGATACCTTTTTTCCCCAAGTGCGGTGCATTTTTTTCCAGTTCTGTCAAGAATCCTTCAAAATGCTTAACTTTTCTTTTGTGCGCAGTTTATAGCAACATTCATGACAGTCCAGGCAAAGGCAAAGTTAAGCAAAGAATTTCAGATACTGACAACTCAGTTTAAGATCGCAGCACCATGAGAATTGTCCCCCCGCCCTCCAGCAGATGTCCTTTAAGTTATTACCTGGGGGGGTGGGAATTTGCTTTTGACTTCTCTGAATTCTAGTTTTTGCAAAAAGACTTCCTGGTATTTAATTTATTTTAATCTTGTGTATCCGGTTATTTTATTTTATTTTAGTTCAAATTAACTATTATAAAATTATGCACACGTACATTTTAATTGAATTGAAATGTCCTAAGTGCAATTCACGATATCCTCATGAATAAATAAAACACATTTTCTAGCTCATTTCATGAAAACACGGAGAATAATACTCCAATAATGGTTATGTTTAAAAGGTTACAGTTGTTTAAAACAAGTGAGAAATGCATCATTCCTTGTAAAGGGCTACTGCTGGAAAAAGGGAAATTGAAAAACAACATTTTAACCATTGTGGCCCGAAGAGCACAATTTAATATAAAAATAAAAAGCTCATCATTAGAAGGAAATCCTATGTCTGCTCATTTAAATCTTTGTACTTGTGAACAGCATTCCACTACCCACAGAATGAGAAAGGGCCACTGTCTGTTAGGAAGCAAAAGGGAACTGAATGCTGGAGCTAAGCCTTTGGGCATTTCTGCACCGGTGACCAGAAATATGACCCAGGAAAGCCCTTTTTTTGTTCCACTTAAAGCCCAGAGCGAGGAGCAGCATCAGCCGCCGCCCCAGAGCCTGTCCTGCTGTTGGGGAAGCACCTCCAGCAACCACAGACAATGATCCTGGGCTTTATGGGAAGCCACATCGGTTTAGGGCAACCCGGGAAAAGGGGACGTGATACCGAGTGGCATGAATTATGCAGGAGGCCTGATTTAACACGCGCATTATTCCTCCCCGCAAGCCGAGCCCGGCGCACTTTAATGCTGCCTTTGCAGCCTCCCAATTCCCCAGCTCTTCCTGTGATTACTCACAGCAACAAAGCCCGCTCTTATTAGATCTAATTGAAACTTTTGCAGATAGAGCTGATGTGAGTCACCGAGGAAAACACCTGATTAAGCTGCAGGCGCCGTCTATTTATATTTGTGCAGTGGTGGCAGAAGCAGCAGCAGCGCGCCATTGGCGGAGGTGTGAGAGGACGGGACACGGTGCCAAGGCGGAGGCCAAGCTCTCTGCCCCTTCTTGGAGCCCCACTGAATCGGTGGTGCTCCCCCCCCCCCCGCGCCCCGTCTGCTCCAACCCCTTTGCTGCTCTCTGGGGTGATCCTGCGGGAGAGAGGAGGGACCCCCTCCCTCGGGTTGTTACGACTGGGCCGCGTCTGGTGGCATCCACAAAGCCCAGTTTGGCTCACAAGGACACGGTTTGGCGCAGTGGGGCGTGGTGGGGGTAGGAGAAGGGGGCTTAGTGCTGCCTTTTGGTTGCCACGGATTGAGCGCCCCCTCCCTTCCCTCTCCTCTCACAATGTAAAGATTTTGGAGCCCGTCAGAAAAGAAAATGGCTCATGACAGTGAAGGGGGGGGGGCTTGCTTAACAGCAGCCGGACAAGAGCAAATGTCAGGAAGCCAGTGGCCTGAACTAGCCTGGATCTTCCCCACGCTCAGAAACAGCTGCCTAAGAAAAAGCCACGTCGCCGCCTCCCTTCCCGAGGCATCTTATGTGTCCAGAATTCCATATCACTCCGAAACCTGCTTTCCGTCTCATCAACATTCGTGAGCTGATGGAACTTACCAACTCATTTATATTCTGCTTCCAGTAGAAGCACCCCCGCCCCCCGCAACGCCCCACAAATTGCCAGAGTGACCTAGTATTCTGCTGCACTTCCTTTGCCAGGCGGTAGGGGGCACTCTGTCTTCACAGAAACGCCCCCCCCCCCCGGTGACCCTGGGGGACAATGCACTTTCGCACACTCGAGGGCCCCTTTGGACAAGTCCATGAGACCCACCACAGCTGAGGTAGCTGCCGGCTCCATAAGTCATTCAGCTCACAGGGCCACCAGGCACACAACTGGCCGACGAGGCGCATCTTCTCTGGAAAGGTGGCAATAAGGAAGCAGCCGGTTCTTTGCGCGCCTCAGTGGGGGGTGGGGTGGGGGGCAGCAGATGGGCGGGGAGAGGGCTCAGTTCCACGATGGGCCAGAACGCGGGGGGGGGCATGGGGACATGAAAGACCCTTTCCCCTGGAAAAAAGAAAATTGGGGTGTTGGGACTGTTGGGGAGACAAAGGGAGCCGCCCTCTGCTCTCGCATGGCCCCCATTTGCGTCAGAAGAAGCCTTCGGGATACAGAAGAGAGGGGTACCCCGGTAATGAAGGGGCTGGAGCGGTCAGCTCTCCTCCGCAACAAAGGAGGATCCTGGGGAGGGAAACGGGGAAGGCGCCAGTCGATGGGGCTTGATCGCCAGCTTCGAAAGGCTTCCCAAAGGGTTGGTTCGCCACCCCGGCCCCCCTCCACGTCTCCAGAGGCTGCCCCCACGTTCCCAAAGGGAAGAGGAGGCCGCTGCCTGGAAGCGAAGACTCCCGGCCTTCTTCTCCTCTGGCCCGCCCCAAGAAAACCCGCTCGCCTAAGCAGAGCGACCAAGACGTCCCTTCCTCTGACTTCTTAGCGGAAAAAAGCTGGACAGAGTTCCCTTAGTCCCCCCCATCTCTTGCAAAGGGCTTCTTTTTTCACGCAAGGAAAGGGGCCTCGTCTTCTTCGCGGGGAGTGGAGAAAGCAACCGGCGTTGTGGGGCTCAGCACCTTCCACTCCCCGCCACTAGCAAGCCCCATCCCGGCAGAGACAACTCTAGAAAGTGACTCTGCCGAAGAGCCGCATCGGGGCGCGCTGCTGGTTCCCCCAAAAGAGGGTCCCTTCAGCGCAGCTTTCCGGCAGCTTAGAGAAAAACCCAAGCAAAAAAAAGACACCCCCCCCCCCAGCACCAGCAACCCTGGTCGAGTCGTGCCTTTCGCACGAAATACCATTTCAGGGCTAAACAAAAGTTGTCTTAAAACGACCTTTGACAGCACAGAAAAGAGAGGAAAAGGGCTCCCTGGGTGGCCTAGAAAGACTGAAAGGCGGCGGGGCGGGGGTGCAGACTGAAGGACGGAGAAAGCAGCAGGGCCTGAGGCTGGCTTGAGGTGGGCGAGGGAGGGGCTTCCTGCCCCTTACCGGCTTCTCTCGTGCTAATTCACAGCCGACTTTGCGGACTGCGGGTCCTCTGGTTCCCCTCTCGGATTCTGCATTTTCAATATGTGAATAGCGGGGAGGAGGAGGAAGGCCATGCGACTGACTAACTCCAAAAAGACTTACCATCTTCCCCCAATGATGCTCCTTAAACTCTTCCCCACTTGGGCTATCAGATTCCACCGCAAACTCTCCCTGACCTGGAGATACAGCAGCGAAACAAACACTTTGAATGAGTCTCCTTGACTTTTCTGGGGTTTTCTTTTCTTTCTTTTAAGTTGCATTTTCATTTCCGCCTGGGCATTTGCATTATCAAAAGGAAGACAAAAGCAATCCAGAGAGGGAAGCAGATTTCCAATGCATGTTCTCTCCTCTACTCTGAAATGTGTTCATTTGCATCAAGCGCGAGCAGGCGGATTATGCCAGAAAGTGACCCCGGCAGCGGCGTCACCAGGAGACAATGGCGAATTTTGGAGCTGCGTGTGGCGCAGCAGAATTCAGGGGAACCAGTAGACAGATGGCCTAGGCTGGGGAGTAGGGGGTCTGTCTGCTTCCCTCCCCGCCCTCTGGGTCGCCCTTTCATTTCAGTGAGGCTCAGGCAAGGAGAACTTTCTCTTGGATCGGCCTCAGACCACTGAGGGCTCCTCGTTTTACAAGCGCCACCTTGAAGAAATGAGCGGATAAGGTGGCATAGAAGCGCATTCAGACGGCTGCGCTCCTACTTACGCTTCTCTGTGCCCATGCCTCACTGAGCTCACGCAGGCATCTATAGCATTGTCCTAAATAAAATGAGCTAACCGCCAATTTGAAAGTTCACCACCCAGTTTCAATTAGTTCACTGTATAATCTAAGAACTTTTTTCGAAGGCTGTTGTCTTAAAAGTGTTTGCTAGATTGTTTTTACTTGGTGAATTATTGCCCTGCGGGGATTCCAAATTGGTCCAGGCTCCTACATAACAAAAGATTCGGCCAGTGGGGGCAGGATTTCTCGCCCCCCGCGGCAGCCGCTGAAAAGGGAGAGTTCAAAACCCTCCAGAAAGAAAGAACTTTCCCGCAATGACCACAAAGCTGGACCGAGAGGTCCCAGCAGGAAAACAAAACAAAACAAAAATTGCGCCTCGCATTCCACTGACTTTTTCGCAACCTCGTTGGCAAGCCTGAACTGAACTAGCCTTCCCCGGCCGGCTTCGTCCCGACAACCTCCTAATCTACTGGGAAGGGCTCTCTGCACCCGGGAGGAGCGCCTCGCTGCCACCCCGAAGCGCTTCGAGGACGGAGAAGGGGCCTCCGTGGGGAAGCGGAGACCAGGCAGGCAGGTGAGCGGCCCTGACCCGGCCAGCGAGCGCCTGTGTACGGTCCGGCTCTGCCCGCCCGAGCGGGACCGGCTAGAGATGCCCGCAGCCCATGGCTGCCTCCCAGGGAAGTTGAGGAACCCTCGGGGGCATTCAAAGAGCGGCGGGGACTTTCTTCAGCAACCCTGGTGGACCGGAGAATACCGTTTTCTGGGGAAACCGAGAGAGCCAAACGCACGGCCCGACTGGGGTCGCCGCCGCTTCCTGTAGGCCTGAGGGGGCCGGCGCTGGGTCTCAGCGGGGGCACTGGAGAATTTTTTCACCGTTGGAGGGAGATTTAAGGCAGTGGGGGCGGGGGGGGCAGGAAAGAAAACCTCTGGGGCTGCGAGAAGCGAGAGCCGTCTCAGGGGCCCTTGCGCCTTAATCCTGCCCGAGTCCAGAGTCTCCACCGCCGCCTTGGAAGCTGCCTCGCGCCCTGTCCTGCCCTGCCCTACCTTCCTCCTCCTCTTTCCCGGTGCTTATGGGGACAAAAAAGAAAAAGACACGAGGCGGGTTCCTGGATAAATGTTTTATGCGAGTAATAAAATATTGGCTGTAACATAAATAAAAACGGAGCAGGATGATACAGAGGCAGACCCGGCCCAACAGACGGGCCCCGGCTCCGGGGCTGGCCTGGCGTGCGAGCAAAGGGAAGTCACAACGGGCCAGGGCGGGAGTCGGGTGCTGGCAGTTCGGACCCGGTCCCTCAACCTCCGCGCCTGCCGGATTCAAGGGGCAAAGTGGAAGCGAGCGCCGGGTCCCTTGTGGGTCGCTTTGGGAAGCCCAGGAGGCCTCTCCCAGACACCGCCCGGCTGGCAATAGAGGTTGCGCCCCTCCGCCCCCGCCCCCCGCAAGAAGAAACCGCATCCAGCTCAAACCTTGGGCCTCTCGCGTCTCTCCCGCCGGCCATAAGGCTGCTGCTGTTGCTGTTGCTGCTCCAGGTTCGGTCGGTGGAGTTTCAAATAAATACAGAGACTTTAAATTAGAAAGAGAGTCGGTCGCCAGCAGGCGTAGGAATAAATTAACGCGCCTCTGCGCGCTCTGCTGCCGCTTGCCCGGTCCGGCGTCGTCGTCGTCGGGCGGGGCGGCTCGGCCATCTGTCTGTCCTAGGGCCGCGCCGGGGGCTCTCTCGGCCGGCCCCCGAGGGCGCAGTCCGTTGGCCCTGCGGGCAGGTCCCGCAGCCAGTCCCAGGCAGGCCAGTCCAGTCCTCGGGAGCCGTCCCCGCCCGGGCCGAGTCATTGCCCGGGGCTCTGGAGCGTGTGCGGGTGCTGATGGTGGTGCTGGAGCGTCGGCGAGGCGTCGGCGCCCTGCGCGTAAAGGTCCTGGTCCATGGCGGGCGCGTGCGGTGCGGCGACGGGCGTCATGCGCTTCTCCTTCTGCCGCCGGTTGCAGAACCAGACGCGTACCACCTCCTTCTCCAGCTGGAGCGTGTCGGCCAGAGAGGTGATCTCGTGAGCCGAGGGCTTGGGGCATTTGAGGAAGTGGCTCTCGAGCGCGCCCTTGACGCCCACCTCGATGGAGGTGCGCTTCTTGCGCTTGCGGCCCTGCGCCGCGATCTTGTCCAGGCTGGCCGGGCTGCCCGTGCTGGAGTCGGTCTCCTCCAGCCACTTGTTGAGCAGCGGCTTCAGCTTGCACATGTTCTTGAAGCTCAGCTGCAGCGCCTCGAAGCGGCAGATGGTCGTCTGCGAGAAGACGTTGCCGTACAGGGTGCCCAGCGCCAGCCCCACGTCGGCCTGCGTGAAGCCCAGCTTGATGCGCCGCTGCTTAAACTGCTTGGCGAACTGCTCCAGGTCGTCCGAGCTGGGCGCCTCCTCGTCCGACGCCGCCGACCCCGGCTCGTGGCCCCCCGCGTGGCCCAGGTGCGGCGGGGAGCCCTCCAGGTGCGCCGCCTCCGCCTCCTCGTGCTGGTGCGGATGGTGCTGGTGGTGACCGCCGTGGGGCGCGTGGCCGTGGGGCAGGTGCAAGGCCGGTGCCTGCGGGCCCAGCATCCCGTTCAGCCCCGGGTAGGCCGCCTGAGAGTAGAGCAGCGCCTGGTGCCCACCGGCGGCCGTCGGGGACATGGCCGAGGGGCAACCGCCCAGGTGATGCGCGGGAGCCCCCTGCCCCCAGTGCGCTCCGCCGCCGCCTCCTCCGCCGCCCGCTTGCTGGTGCACCAGGTGTGAGCGCGAGTGGAAGCCGTCGAGGTCTCCTCGCGGGCCCGCGCCGCCCCCTTTGGCGTGCTCCAGGTGGGTCCCCCCGCCGCCGCCGCCCCAGTCTCCAGTGGCGCCTGGCAGCCACTGATGGTGCGGGAGGCTGCCGATAGGGTGCCCCGGCGTGGCGGCCAGGCCCTGTAGGTACTCGTGGTGCATCATCTTCTGCACCTCGCGGTACGTGGGGCCCTGGTGAAGGCGCTCGGCGTCCGGCGTGGGCACAGCCAGGAGGGGGCTGCCGCGCGGCAGGTATTGCGCCGTGGTGGTGGCCATGGCGGCAGCTGCTTCCGCGTGGGGTCGGGTTGTCGGCTGGCCCGCGCAGCGCGCCTCTCACTGGGGCCCCCTCGGCGGGGGGACGCGCTTTAGAGTCCCGGCTCGGCCCCACGCGCGGCCACTCCCCCACGCGCGCCCCATTGGCTCCGCCACCCGCGACTGGCAGCCCGCACCGCACCTCCATAGGGCGCCCCCGGCGAAGGGAGACGCCCCCGCCCCGTCTGCCGGCGCCGGCCGTGATTGGAGCGGGAAGGCGCGCCGGGCGCGCCGCTCGGCCACTCAGCGCGTGGGGGGAGCGGCGCGGCCGCGGAGGCGGCAGCACCTGCTGGACGGGACGGGACGCGACGCGAGAGCCAGCCAGCCAGTCAGCGCGGGGTCGCCTGCGCCCTAGCAATCGCGCCGCGTCTGCGGAGCCTCCCGGAGCTCGGGCGCCGGTTCCCCCTGCTCCGCCGCTGCCCCGGTGAGTCTGCCGGCTGGGGTTGGCACTAGGGTCTTTTTTTTGGGGGGGGGGAGACACACTCCTGTCCCTCCAGACGGGTCCTATCTCAGACTCGGGGCGGGGGGTTTCCTCGCGTCGTTGCCCAGCTTCTCTCTCCTTTTCGGGCCTGAGGGTCTCGCGTGGGGGAAGGGGGGAGAGAATTTCGGGGGTGAAGAAGAGATCGGCCCGCTTTTGTGACGGCCCCATAACAACTGTAGGGCCCACGATTTGGCAAAACTGCCGGGCGGAGCGGGGTGTACCTTCCTCTCCAATTCGGAGGGAACGTGCCTGCGAGAGGCCGAGAGGGCGCCTCTGCTCCGGAGCGAGGCCGAAGGGGAGTAAGCCGACCCTTCTCCTCGCCCAAAGCTCTCGATGTCCTTTTCTCAGGCATGTTTGGTTCTCCGGGAATTGTCTCCGCAGTGGGATCTGGATGGGATCTGGAGAGGGAGCGCCCTGAGGCCACAGCGCTGGGTGAGTGCCTAGTTTCGCCCCCTTGCCCGCATTCCTGATGCTGATGTCTGTTTCCACAGCTCTGCCGCGCACGGCTTCCTCTGAGAAGCAGAAGGAGTTTGAGCTTCCCAGAGCGGGTTTGGCCCTTACTCTCCAAAGCTTGCTGACAGAAGCGTAAATCCTAGGCACTAGCAACCAATGGATTCAAATGACAAGAAAGGAGATTCCGACTTAACATTAGGAAGAACTTTCTGACGGCAAGAGATGCTCGGCAGAGGAACGGGCTCCTTCGGAAGGTGGTGGACTCTCCTTCATTGGAGGTTTGTAAGCAGAGGTCGGGTAGCCATCTCTCATAGAATCATTAGTTGCGATTCCTGCATTGCGGGGAGGTTGGACTAGATGACCCTTGCGGTCCCTTCCAACTCTACAATTCTCTCTCCTGTCACTTGTTTCTAGAAAGGGATGCCATAGTTGTCTGATGGTTCTGGGTTGGAGAAGATGGGATAAGGGGCTCGTGTGTTGCTGAGGTTCCCTTCCTCCCCCAACTCCCCTTGCAGAATGGGGGACGCCGTGGGGATGAGAGGATCCTCCCAGCTGCTTTTATGAGGGTGTGCTGGGCTTCTGAGCCACTCCAGGTGCGCCCTCCGCATGCTGAGCGGGGCAGAGACTCACCTTGGACCACGTTTATGGAGCTCAGCCCTTCCTTCGCATCACTGCCATGCAGGAAGCTGGAAGGAGCACAAACGTTTCAGGTTTTATTCCACCGCCTCGTGAAGGCTTCGCTTTCCAGTGCCCACCTGCCAGATCCGGGTTCAGGACTCCGGGCTCCTCCGGCCGTTTTCCATTGGGAACTTTATTTAGGAGTTGGCCCTGGAAGAGGGGAGAGGGGCGCTCCTGCCTGCAGGGCACACATTGGGTCTTCCCAGCACGGAACGGGCAGCGCCGGGAGAACTGAGTTCCAGCATCAAGGTGGCCCCCATCTAAAAACCGGGCAGTGTTGTGTAACGGGTAGTGTCGGACTAGGACCTGGAAGAAACCAGGGTTAAAATTCCTACTGGGCTATGAGGCTCACTAGGTGTCCTTGGCGGACCAGTCGCCACCTCTCAGCCTAACCTACCTCACAGGGTTGTTGTTTTGGGGGATAAATGAGATGGGGGGGGGGAATGTGTTCGCCACCTTGAATTCCTTGGAGAGAGAAAAATGTGGGATGTAAATGTAATAAATAAATAAATAAAAAAAATTAAAAGGGATTTTTTTCCCTTCCCTGGCCACCCTTTCCTCAAGCAGTTTAGAGCAGCGCGCAGTCACCCCGCTCCCCTACAACTTTCACACTCTCCCCAGACGGCAGCAGCAGGACACAGGCGGAAATGCTTGTTGGGCAAAACTAGGCCAAGCGGTTGGAGAGGTGGGGGCGGGTGGGGCCTCCCATCATCTCAGAGTTGGGGGTCTAACTAGTTTTTGTTTCTTGCTCACAAGGAGGGTGGGATGAGATGCCCCCCCGCGCCTTATCTTTGGCCCTTGTGCCCCAATCCCTCCGCAGCCTACAGCCACGTCAGGATGTGTTTATTGACCTTATGCAAATCGTGTTTGTGCTGCTTCTCAGCGGGAACGGATGCGATGGAACCACCCTATCACCTTAGGAGCCACCAAGGCCAATGACTCACAGACTGTCCATCCTCACGGGCACAGGATGGCACGTGAGTCACTGGTGAGTTAATGAGCGGTTGTATGAATGAGACCTTCATTCTCTGGGTCACCAGCTTAGCTTCCTGCCAGCTTCGGAGTGAAAAGAGCCCCCCTCCCGCGTTAATAAAGAGCAATATTTGTTTATATATGCATTGGTGAATAACCTGTTTTCCTTCGAGAAGCTGAAGTCGTTGCATGTGCTCCTCCTTTTCCCTTTTCATCCTCCCAGCAACCCTGCGGGGTAGGTTAAGCTGAAAGCTAGTGGCTGGCCAAAATACTTCACGGCTGCTGGGCTGGGGGGCACCACTCGCCCGCTCCCCCGGTTCCGATGCCTCCCAGTCCCAGACTTTACAATCGTGCAGACTGCCCACGCACGGCTAGGGCAAAGATTCTGTGCTGGGATTCCTGCATAGCAGGGGGCTGGACAAGACGGCCCTCTGAGTTCCTTCCAACTTTCTCTTTCTGTAGCTGTTTCCACGCCGGTGAAGAGGCAGAGGGCGATTGCTTGAGAGAGCCTCACGGAGGTCGGGGGCAGAAACCACAGGGGTGGTGCTCAGCTCCTCTCCAACGCGGCTTCCAGGGACAAGGAGGGCAGCTGAGCTCGACCCCCGCCATGTTGGTCAGTTGGGGTCGGGTCGGGGGCTTTAGCAGGCCTGCCTGCTGCGGCGGCTCCTAGGGCTTCAGCGCCAATCCTGCCGCCGCACTAGCCTGAGAATCTCCCCGGAGCGTCGCTCGCGCCGAGTCGCCTGGAAGGAGCGCCCGCGGGCGTCCCTTTCCGCCGTTCCGGAGCGTTTCTGGCAGCGCCGGCTCCGGTTCGATGCCAGATCTGCAGCCCGAAGGAAGAAGGCGAGGCGAACAAGAGGAGTGGACTCGAGCCATGAAGCTCACTCCCTCTCGGTCTTAGCCTACCTCGCAGGTTTCTTCTGCGGATAAAATGTGGCCTGCGGAGGGGACAGGACAGCCAAGCGGCTTCTTCGCGCCAGCCTTCGCCTCTGGGCAAGGGCGCGAGGGGAGCGTTTGTCTCGCTCTGAAGAAGAGAATTCTTGCGGAGGTTAAAAGCAGGAGCACAAGCGCCAGTCAGCCCGCCTTCGGGGACGCAACTCCAGGCGGGCCGCGCTCGGCGGCTGCGGACAGGGCCTGGGGTGGCTCTCGGTTGTGCAGTGGTTGGCTAGTGGGCACTCTACACATGCTCAGAGGCTCTTTTGATCACTACTGGGACGCGAGTGCCGAAGAAGCGGCTTCTGTGTGTGTGGCGTGGGGGCTCAGGAATATAGCCTCTAAAGTGGAAGGAGGGAAAAGGCACGAGCAACCCGAAAGGTTTGGGGGGGGGGCGAGATCTGTCATTGCTTCCCGCAGGAGAGGCAAGAAGCAGGTTAGGCTGAGAGGCAGCATTGCTTAACAGCAAAACGAGCCTGGCTGCCGAGAGAGCGAGGCGAGCCTGGAGTGGAGGTTTGCGCCGCAGCCTTGTGAGCTGTCTTCAGTTCTGGGCACTCAGGCGAAGCTCCTGCCCTCGAGATGCTTTGACGCAAAGCATTTGTCTTTTGCACTTGGTTTAGGCCGATGAACAGATCTTGGGGTGCTTGCGGGAAACAAAGCAAAGATCCCACAAGCCAGGAATGGACTTTGGGATTTATTTATTTTCAAGGAAGTGCCCTGGACATCCCTGTAAACTCCCTCCTGAGATGGTCCTGGGATGGGTCTGGCAGTGCCCTTTTGTGTCCTTCCAGAAGTTGGTGCTGACGACCCGCTGCTCTGGCTTTGGCTGCTCTTGTCCCCAGGTGTTTTTGTTTTGTTTTACAAAAATATCTCCATGTGAACCCACTGCGTGGGGAGGTCCTTTGGAGAACTGGGCTGAGCAATAGCTGGCTCTAGCTTTGTGTGTGTGTGTGTGTGTGTGTGTGTGTGTGTGTGTGTCTCCCCCTTGCTTTTCAAAATGGTTCAATTTCTGGGACGTTTTTTAGTATAGCTTTCAGAATTGGTGATTTTGCTGCTTCTGGCTTTGCATTGTTGTTTCCCTCTGAGCTGCCTAGTATCTGTCTGCAAAGAAAGATGGGGTATAAATGTTAATTTAAGTAAAGAGTTCTGGGAGAGAGGAGAGGGGAAAGGGAGAAGGGGGTCTGCTAGAATGCAAAATGGTGGAGAATCTTTGAGGAAGTGGGAGAATGGCAGACTTTTTAAAAGGACTACATAAGCACACAAGGGCTCCCCTTTTATTAAACCCTTTAAAAAGGGTTTAATAAAAGTTCAGAACCTGCATAGATCACCTGGAGGGTGAGAAGGGTGAAGAGTGGTGTCTCATCATCTATGATGTCCATGATGGGCTATCAGATGCCAAGGTCTGTCACACAAAGGTGTCCTCCCTCAGCAAAGAAGCCCTGAGCATGAGGTGTAAAATGCAAGGGAAAGGGGGGTATTGTTCTTGTTTGTTACTGTGTTGTGCATTTAAGT